TATAAGTTCTGATGCTAGAAGCAAGCTTGATCCAAAATCAAAAAAATGTACTTTTATTGGGTATGGCACTAATGAGTTTGGTTATCGGTTTTGGGATGATCAAAACCGGAAGATAATTAGAAGCAGGGATGTCATGTTCAATGAGAAAGTAATGTATAAGGATAGGTTAGCATCAGATTCGACTAATACAGGTGCTCAGGCTGAAAATGATGAGTTTGTTGAGTTGGAGGAAATCTCCGAGGAAGATGTGCAGGGGAGAGTTCAGAACAATCCAGAAAATATAGTTCCACGGGTGGAACATGACACACCTATTACTGCATTGAGATGATCCTCCAGAGTCTTCAAACCTACGCAGCGTTTCTCGCCTTCTTTACACTATTTGTTGTTGTCTGATGGTGGTGAACCAAAAAGTTATGATGAAGCAGTGCAGGTTGGTGATTCAACCAAGTGGGAGTTAGCTGTACAAGATGAGATGGACTCACTCATGTCAAATCAGACATGGGAGCTAACTGAACTACCAAAGGGAAAGAAGGCTTTATATAACAAGTGGGTTTACAAAATCAAGGAAGAATATGATGGCAATAAGCGTTACAAAGCCAGATTGGTTGTGAAAGGATTTCAGTAAAAACATGGTGTATACACTGAGATTTTCTCCCCTGTTGTGAAGTTGACTACAATCAGATTGGTGCTTAGAATTGTGACTGCAGAAAATTTGCATTTAAAGAAGTTAGATGTGAAGATTGCCTTTCTCCATGGTGAATTGGAGGAAGATAGCTATATTAAACAACCACATGGATTCACAATGCCAGAAAAGCAGGGTTTGGTATGCAAGCTGAAAAAGAGCTTGTATGGTTTGAAGCAGGCCCCCAGACAGTAGTACAAGAAATTTGATGGATTCATGTGCAGCAATGGTTTGACGAGATGCTATGCAAATCATTGTTGTTATGTTAAGAGGTTTGACAACAGCTACATTATCTTATTATTGTATGTTGATGATATGTTGGTTGCTGGGTCAAGTCTCGAGAGGATTAAAAATCTGAAGAAACAATTGTCTATGCATTTTGCGATGAAAGATTTGGGTAAAGCAAAACAAATTCTTGGTATGAGGATTTGCAGAGACAGAGTAGGTAGTACTCTGAAGCTATCACAAACAGAGTATATTAAAAAGGTTCTCAGCAGATTCAGCATGCAAGTTGCAAAACTAGTGAACACCCCATTAGCTAGTCACTTCAGACTAACTAAGGAACAGTCGCCCAAGACAGAGGAGGAACGAGCATACATGGAAAGAGTTCCATATGCCTTAGCTATTGGCAGCATAATGTATGCCATGGTTTGTACCAGACCAAACATAGCACATGCAGTGGGAGTTGTGAGTAGGTACATGAGTAATCCAGGCAAGCATCATTGGGAGGCGGTAAAATGGATCCTTAGATACTTAAAGAGTACCATAGAAACAACACTATGTTTTACTGGGAAAGGGTTGCATTGCATGGTTATGTTGATTCAAACTTGGCTGGTGATATGGATAATAGGAAGAGTACTACGGGGTTTATGTATACTTTGGGTGGTACAGCAGTGAGTTGGGTCTCTCAATTGCAGAAGATTATGGCTTTATCGACTACAGAAGCTGAATATGTTGCAATTACAAAAGCTAGCAAGGAGATGATTTGGTTGCAAGGTTTTTTGGAAGAATTGGGTAAGAACCAAGAGAATAGTATTTTGTACAGTGATAGTCAGAGTGCTATTCATCTTGCTAAAAATCCGGCATTCCATTCCAGAACAAAGCATATACATTTGATGTACCATTTCATACGCTTACATTTAGAAGATAAAGTTTTATCACTTGAGAAGATCCATGGGAGTAAAAATCCAGCAGATATGTTAACCAAGGCAGTGACAATTGAGAAACTGAAGCTTTGTTTAGCTTCAGTTGGTGTTCAAGCTTGAGGACAAAGGAGTGAGTTGCTATGTATGAAGGCATATGGGAGTTGACAGTTTGATGTTTATCAATCTCCAAGTGGGAGATTGATGGGTAGTGTGGAGCTTGATAGATACTGTATACCAAGACCCAACTTATTTAGAAGGTAATTTGGTTATTTCCGCACTTGGGGTTATGTTACCCTAGTGCGAGGGTATTTATTTATTCTAAACTCTCTGTATTTATAGTCATTTTTTATTATCATAGTGAAATCCCTGCAACCCTTGGACGTAGCCCTAAATTTTGGATGAAACAAGTAAAATCTGTGTGTATTCTTGTTGTGTGTGTATTTGATCTTTTTCTTGTATTTTTCTGTTTAATTTCGCAACACGGCCAACTACAGCACTCAAGAAACTGATGCATATTATTAGAATGTGTCAACATAAGTATCTTTCATACTGATCTAATGCAACAATGAGGGGCAAAATTGATTGCAAGGTATTGCCATGCCTCGGTTTTGCCCTGTTGAATTTTTTGACAAAGGTTTTAATGAGATTGTTCTAACACGTGCAATACCATTTTTAAATGCACAATTATATATATTGTATTCTTTTTACTTTGTTAGGGTTTTTTCCATTGAATTTTTCTTAGTAAGATTTTAATGAGACATATTCTTAGTGTAATGTGTAGACCCGGAGTGTTGCATATATGGGGTCCACTCGTATTACAATAGTAATATGTGCTGCTATTTGATTGCAAGTGTTGAGCAAGTGGACTCGGGTTGGTAATTGATGTGTAGCTATATAATTTAATAATTTGGGGTGCAAGTAAAGGCTTTGGATTGGTCTATTGATATTATGTCTTGCTCGGCATCTATAAATATTTGTATGCAGTATGAATTTGGTGTATCCAAAACAAAGTAATAATGGCGTCTTCCAGTTCTCTTGGATCTCAATCATTATTTTCATTTACTTTGTGTATCTTTCCATGATATGTTAATATAATTACATATATATATATATATATATATATATATATATATATATTTGTAAATTTTAGAAGCACTTGCAAGTGCATGTTTCTATAAGCTCTTCCATAATTACTTATACCTATCTCAAAAACAAAAAAATAATAATAATGGTCACCAAGACTAAAATTGCGACTGTAATATTCAGGTGTTTGATGCTAGTTTCCTTCACGATTGCTACTGATTTCAGGTAAGCTCTGCATAAATATGTGTGTGTGTTGATAGAAAATATATCATGCAGATAGAAATATTAACTGATGTTTTTATGTTTTCTTTTATTTTGCATAACTTTATTTTTTTATTTATGTTTGGCCAGCAGCTTTCAAGTAGAAGTGGTGGAGCCTGATGAGAACAACCAGGACGCGGTGGACGTCAACCGGTAATTTTTGTATACGAACTTTGCTTAAGATTTTTTGAAACAATTTTTAATCTTTTCAAAACAACGAAATCCTATGAAATTATAATCTAGCTAGACTTTTTCACGTCTCTTTTCTCGTGTTTTGTGCATAAACAGTGTTGTATAAAAAAATATATCGTTTTGAATAAAAAAATCTAATCAGAAGTTAGAATAAATGAAATTGAGAAACGTAACACTCTAATTATGGACTTAAATTTTATAATTTTTTTTTTCTTATATTTGCAGAATCCAAAGACGAGAACTTTCAAGATTTGGGGATGTAGTGAATGTTTTCTGTCGAGTATATAAAATTTTTAATAAGGAGAAAAAGCATTTTGAGAGAGTGAATTGGACAATTTCTGAAGTTCATGATTATATTGATAAACAATGTTCAGCCCAACAGTACTGTTGCTTAAACGACAAAAATCTTGTATGTAAATCATGTTGTATCGGGTCACGTTCCGATTTGATACCATTTTCGTTGTTGTTGCCCTTGTCATCATCACCATCTCCATCGCCATTACAGTCACCGGTACCGCCATCGACCTCATCTTCATCAATGCTACATCCATGGACAGCCTCGTTACTCTTGTTGCTATTTCTAGATATTTATTTTATTTATTTTGTTACATAAACTTTATTATGTTGAGGAGCGCTCTCACCGTGAATGCATTGTATCCATAAAATAAAAGGTACCCAAAAATAAAATCATGGTGTGACGTTATATTTGTCACTCTTTATATGCTCTATCAGCTTTCTTCTCCATGTTGAGGGCTCTACTGAAGGTCTTGAGATGACTTAATTAATTAATTAATTAATCTAGTACGTGCTTGCTTAAATGAACAGTGTGTGTGTGTGTGTTTTTTTTTTAATTATGAATTAATTTGAATCCCTTGTTATGGTTTCATGATTTTACTTTTTATAAAAACTATATATATACATACAGTGATACAAATGTATATAATATATATATATATATATATATATATATCTTGACATGTGATGCATATCATATATTTTCATGTGCACACATAATTTCTATGTCCATATAAGAAATGTGTTCAGTAACTTCAAATTAGAATATATATATATATATATCTTGACATGTGATGCATATCATATATTTTCATGTGTGCACACATATAATTTCTATGTCCATATAAGAAATGTGTTCAGTAACTTCAAATTAGAAGTTACTTAATTATTTACTATTTCAAAACTCAAAAGTAGAGACTCTTTCCAATACATAAGCTGATGAAATGGTTAAAATCATTTGTATTGTTGTTCTCTAATGTGAAATTTGATCCATCATGATCAAAGAATCTTGAATTGAACTGTTATAAGGGCCGGAAGTACGTGTTTCTTTTTCTGAATTATTGAAAACAGCTTTTAAAAAACCGAAACAAATTAACAGAATCTATAAAATTAGAAATTCATTCTTCAGTACATTTAAAATATATCATTACCCAAAATAAATATGCTTCTCCCAAATATTTTTTTTTTGTGTAAATTTCTCCCAAATATTAGTTAGCCACTGTCCCATATCTCTCTCTATCTTGTATTGTTTATCAAAGAAATAGAACATGAAACAAAATTCTATCTAGAATAAAAGATGCTGAACATGGAAAACTTTGAACTTACCAGCTCAAAGCATCAAAACCACATCATTGTATGTAGAACTGCCAGTACTATAAAACAAGTCCTAAACACTTCATTATCAAAGCATAAGCTAATTAATTCACCATAATCCTTATCATTGCTGGGATGCATCAGTACATATATATCATCTCACATGTCTAACATTGTAACTAATTAATTAACAAACTAAAGTTGACATATATGTACATCAATTTGTAACCCAATCTAAATATATACCATCACAAACACATTAAAAAAATAATAATAAAAATAAAAACATGAAAACAAAATTTTGATGATCAATATGGACAATCTTGTAGAATACTAAAAACATCCGAGCGTTGTTCATCGCTCAAATCTGTGGGAAAATTCACAAGAAACTTGAGTCTAAGATCACCTCTTCTTCCTTGATCTTTGGTTTTAGGCATGCCTTGTCCTGTAATTATCTTTTCATAACCTGGGTATAAGATATCATTGAATGTTAAAGTCATTTTGTCACCTCCTAACAGAGGGATAGTGATGGTGCAACCTGTGAGAGCCTTAACTAGAGGAACCTCAACTCCGAGCTCCAAATTGTCCCCTTCTCTCTTAAACAATGAGTGTCTCTTTTCGTCGATGATGAAGATGATATCTGCTGGTAGCCATGTAGGTTTCTCGTCGCCCATTCCTTCGAAGGTAATCTTTGTTCCTCTTTTCCATCCAGGCTTCACTTTTACCTCTAGTATCTCAGTTGCTTTAACAATTATCCTGTCAATATACATCATTGCAACTGTTACAACAGATGCCGCGAAATCAACAACACAATCAAGAAAAAGATAGAAAAAATAAACCATCCACCACATAATACAAAGATTTATGTAGTTCAACATCTAGCTGGTATATCAGCTATTCGGCCATGGTAAATATGAAACAGAGAAGATTATAAGTTGTCAAGCTTCCAACTTTTGTCTTTTTCTCACTCTCTATTTCAAATTTAAAATGTTTTCTAGTACCACGTACGCTAAGCACTCTTATATACTAAGTTACAATTAATAAAGAATAGATTTGGTTTCAGGAGTAGTACAGTAAAAATAATATATAAAGTTAGTTTTGGCATATTTTTTTTGTTTCTTAACGTGGCGACGATCTATGTGAACGTGTGTGAATAGCCACTGGAGGGACTATCATACTGAACGAGTTCTCCAGGTGGCACATCAAGTGAATATTGATTTCATAGTGTATTCATGAAATCAATATTCATAGTGTATTCATGAAAATTTTCTTATCTTCTAAGTACATCTTCTCTTATTTATATTTTGATTCAATATAGTTTACCATTTGATCTTCTTTCTTGTAATTATTCTTATCATTCATCTTCAGATTCTAATTTCGACATTATCTTGTATATTATATATATGTATATATTATTTATATACCCGTCTGTGATGACGTCTCTGGTAATCTTGATCTTCTTGACACATCCGTGGCACAACTCCTCAAGCGTGCACTCGAGCCTCTTCTCAATAGGCGGGGGCTTCTTTCGAGCTGCTGATTGTGAAAAAATGATGGGCGTAGTGTTGTTCCTCCTGGTGGCGATTTTCGAGGATTCTTTTGGTTTTGCACTAAGTGTAGGGGTTGTTGTTTGTATCACATTACCACTAGCAGTTCTTGATATGGAGGCATAGAAGTCTGTCGGAGTCGGAGTTGTGCTTCTTCGGCTCCTATTTCTCGAGAAGGCCGCCGAACTCGGAGTCGGGGTTTTGCTCCTTCGGACTGAGTTCGGAGAGAAAGCCGAAGGGCTGCCGGAAAAGAAGCTGTCATTGACACTATTCCGACGATAACCAGGGGTTGTTGGCTCATTCATTTCTTCTCTCTTCTTGTTAGTAAGAACCTGATAATATGTTTAAGAGAAATGAATATAATGAGGAATGAGGACCACGTACATATAATGTTTTTAATGTGTGTCTATATGTATCATGTATATATGTATTTGCATTGGTACATGGCATGGATTAATTGATGGACGTACGTGTGCATCAGAATATAGTTGTAGGTTAATTGGTGCAGTCTCTCAAAATTGCAGCGAAAGATTAGATGTACGTAGTTTAACTATGCATGGACTACATGATATTTTGATTAAAAATGTATTTGCATTGTTGCGTGGCATGGATTGACCAACAATTAAACGCATGCATACATGAGAATATTATTGCGCGTGTGTATATATTATTTAAGACATATATGTACCCTGTAGGCTTCATTAATAGCTTTAAACTTGGCTTCAGCTTCTTCTTTGTTGGATGTGTTCTTATCTGGATGCCATTTCATGACAAGGGATTTGTATGCTTTGCCAATGTCTGATAGGGATGCAGTTTTGGGGACTCCAAGGATGCTATGGTAATTTTTCGGTGTCGGTGAATGTGGATATTGATCTCCCATGAAGAGAGAGAGATCTAGAGAGAGAGAAGGTAGTGTTACAGAGGAGAAGGGATTAGAAACATGAGCAAATGGAGGAAGAAGAAAGAGGTGGTTGTGTCTATCCAACCAAATGTTATGAGAAGGACCAAAGATGAAGCGTCATGTTAGGGGCTTTTATTAGGCAAAGTTCGTTTTGAGTGAGAGAGGAAATTAAAGGTCATTCATTTGTTCTCTTGGTTGAGGGAAACTTATGCTCTTTTGCCCTTATTTTTTGTTATTTCGGATTTTGTTATGTTCCTTCTCTGAAAATAATGTTGAGAAAAATGTAAGAATTAATGAAATAGTTCTTAGATAATTACAAATAAATTTTTTACAATTTTTTTTTTTTTTTTTTTTTTTTTGGTGAGTAAGAATATTACCATTAGCAAGGAGCAAAGAATATACAGAGGAGGGCAAAGCCCAACAAAAGAAGGCTCAAAATCCAGAAGCCAAAAAGGCGCAAGCACTTAAAACCAAAGCAGCCCATCCCACACACCTAACTGCCGGTTGCTGCGATAGCGCCAAGCAATCTAAAGCAGCAACAGCACGAGACAAAAAAATAATACACCTTCCGTCCCAAAAAAATTATTATATTTGGAGAACTGTGATAAAAAAGTCTCATATTTGGGGAGCTGTGCATAGTTCCTCATGACACTCTTTTTGAAACAAAAGAAGTAATAGTAACAATAATAAATACAGGGTCTAAGCCAATATCGCAATTCAATATGCAAATAATTATGTTGACTTTATCAATTCTTTACTTATGGGTTTGGTTATAATTTGGTCTTTACTTGTGGGTTTGGTTATAATTTGGTCAGAACCTTGTAAGTTTTGATTATGTAATAATTTCTACTGATCAAGACTAAAATTAAAAGGTGATCATAACACGAACATAAAAGTTTGTCACCATAATTAGTCACAAGAGTTTCTGGTGTCTCAAGGTCAATTCAGTTTTTAACTCTTATATGATTTTTTAAACAATTCTATTTCTATTTTTTATTTTTCTCTAAGAGCATAAACCGTTTTAGAAAACTAAAATCAAAGAGGTTGGGTTGTTTGGTTCAATCTTCTGATAATAGTTTTTTTTTTTTTTTTTTTTTACGTGTGTTAAATGATAGTTAACAAATTGTACAAAAATTTACTTGGTTAAGAACAAAAAAAAAAAAAAAAAAAAAAAAAAAAAAAAAAAAAAAAAAAACTCAGTTAAAAATTATCTATTTTCAAAACATCATCTTTTATAATTTTTAAAAAATATTTGAAAACTATTTTTAAAAAATTGATCCATATAAGTGATTATTTCCTTCAATTTCTGCTGTATTTCGTTTTTCAGCATGACATGCACATTCTTCACAAGGTTGCACTCTACTGGTATTGGATGATTAATCCTTAATTTATATACATAGGAAAATTTCCATAACTATTAAAAAAAAAAACACGTCAGTGTAGGGATCACATCCCACTCACAACAACTACCAAGTTAAGTGGACACCACTTGAAACCTCAGAACTTTCTCATTGCAAAATTTGAGAATTGTCACACACACATCTTTTTATCATTGGTTTCTTGATTTGAACTCGGACCTCAGTTGAACAATCTTCTCATAAGGGTTACGAAAGTCAAAGACGAGCAATACCATAATGTTGAAATAAATACCATCACAGCCAACCATAAAGATCCTTTTTTTTCAACTGGCACATGCTGTTGACATTTTAGCTAAATTTGGTGACACATAATTAACCACAATCTGATTCTATTTTCTTCAACAGTTAACAATCAGCCGCCGGAAACTATTAGAAAATCAAGTTTGACTGGGTATCCTATCATCTCGAGCTATCCACACTACTCTCAACACAGACCAGACAGAATAACCAACCGAGAACCTTCTCCCTCTTTCTCTCTCCTCCTCCTTTCTCTCTCTAACCCGATCCCTCCGCCCTTAGATACTTGTAATAGATCCCCTTTTTCTCTAAATCCATAAGAACCAAAAAAGAATCACAGAATTTACATAGAGGGAGAGAGACATGAAGCTTGATTTGGTGTTTCTCTCTCTACTTTCTCTCTCTATATTAGTCACCCCAGCAGCCGTCGCCTCAGCTCCTCCTCCGACCTCCACCAACTTATCCACCACATGTCCGATGGACTTTGGACATGTCCTTAGAATTCCATGGTCCTCTTCTCCGTGCCAAAATTATGATTCCAACAAAACTGAGTGTTGCCAAACCCTACTCAGCCTCTTCGGAATAGCCCTTTCTCAACACCTCAAAGAGACCTCTCTCTTCCAGCTCCCAAACCTACCCACTTCCATTTCTTGCCTCTCTGACTTCCAATCCAAGCTCGACTCTCTCTCTCTTCCCTCCAATCTCACCTACCTCTGCTTTGACCCTCTTCAGTTCGTCATTACACCGAACATCTGTGCTGCAATCGAGTCAACCCAGGATTGGGTCGCCAAGCTCGGACCCTCCACGCCGATCGACACCGCCTGCCGGCCGGACCTCACCCTTCTCACCTCCTGTGACGCCTGCGTGGCTGCTGGATTCCAGGTTCAGTCCAAATTGATCGAAATTGATGGTAACAAATCTCATTCCACTGATTGCTTTTACTTCTCAATTCTATATGCTGCTGGTATTGTGAATGAATTTGGGCCTGAGAGTAATGGTGCAATGACTTGTATTTTGGGTCTTTCGCTCACTACGCCTAAAGGGTCAGATAAGAACCACTCGGCTCTCGTGTTCGGCCTCACCGGGGCCAGTGTGGCCGTGTTGGTCATGTCTTGTTTGTTGGGTCTGTATTTTTGGTGGGACAGGAAATGGAGAAAGAAGGATTCATGGTTTGATTCGGGTTCTGGGTTTGATTTGGAAGAGTTAGGAGGGTCAAGGCCACAAAGGCGGCCTACTTCAGTGTCAATATGGTTCAAGATTGATGAACTTGAGAAGGCAACTGACAACTTTTCACAGAAGAATTTTATTGGGAGAGGTGGGTTTGGGATTGTTTATAAGGGGACTCTTTCGGATGGAACTACGGTTGCAGTTAAAAAGATCATTGAATCGGATTTTCAGGGCAATGCAGAGTTTTGCAATGAAGTTGAGATCATTAGCAATTTAAAGCATCGAAATCTTGTTCCGCTTAGAGGGTGTTGTGTGACAGGTGAATATGCTGATGGTGAAGAGAGTGGAGGTGAAAGGTACCTTGTTTATGATTACATGCCGAATGGGAATCTGGATGACCATTTGTTTTTGTCCTCTGCAAATCCGAGTGGAATTGGTAAGCTACCATTGACATGGCCTCAAAGGAAGAGCATAATCTTGGATGTGGCAAAGGGGCTAGCTTATCTTCACTATGGAGTGAAGCCAGCTATATATCATAGAGATATTAAGGCCACAAACATACTTTTGGATGCAGACATGAAAGCAAGAGTGGCAGATTTTGGGTTAGCAAAACAAATCAGAGAAGGGCAGTCTCATCTCACTACTAGAGTAGCTGGTACTCATGGTTATTTAGCCCCGGAATATGCTCTATATGGTCAGCTGACAGAAAAGAGTGATGTTTACAGCTTTGGGGTGGTTGTGTTGGAGATAATGTGTGGGAGAAAAGCACTTGACTTGTCTTCCTCGGGATCACCACGAGCATTTTTAATCACGGATTGGGCTTGGTCACTTGTGAAAGCGGGAAAGATAGAACAGGCTTTGGACCCTTCTTTGTTGACAGAAGGGGATTTGGCAAATCCGAGGGGGATCATGGATAGATTTGTACTAGTTGGAATATTGTGTGCTCATGTAATGGTGGCTTTAAGGCCTACCATTTTGGACGCGCTGAAAATGTTGGAAGGAGATATTGAGGTCCCTGCTATTCGAGATAGACCAACACCTCTTGGGCATCCTTCATTTTCTGCCGATGGCAATACTTTTAGCATATCCCCGGCATTGAGTGGACCTCGGTTGCATACTGGAGACATGCTTAGGTAATCATGAAAAGCTTATTAGTATTTATTCTCTCTTCATTGCCCAAACAGATGAAGCTAGATAGACACCATGCTCATGGACTCCCTTCTCTAAGTCAATTCATGGAATGTTACAGAGAAGAGTAAGAAGATGGTGGCTTCACATTAGAAAGTCTTGGATATTTATCAATCCAATTGAAGGAACCAAACTTGGGTATGAACAAATAGCATTTCTTCCCACATTAGACACTCCAAAATGTGAGCATCAAACTCCATGTTATCGTCCAAGAAAATGGAGGGCGAAGAGTAGATATTTGGACTTTTTACAACTGCTCAATCATTTCGAAGATTCCAAACTTTCTAACCTATTGTTGAATTTTTGTAGGCAATCAATGACACAGCATATGATTTACTCTGTGGAGAGAGTATTCATGAGATATTCAATTGTAAATATATATATACACGTTTGCAAGCTTTTCTTTTTCCTCAATAGATATGTAAACTTGTCTTCTTGGTACTTCACTCTCCATACAATTGAAGGTTCAGTTATCTTATTATTATTATTATTATTATTATTTCAATAAAAGACCAAAACACTGACTGATTAGAGATTTCTTTACATTGCTTGTTGGTGTAATAAAGCGAGAAGCTAAGCCTCGGTTCTCATTTTAATTTGCATTAACCATTGTATTCAAAAGCTGCAGATTCAATAGTGTTATGCAAAGGCCAGGTCTGTCAAAGCAAGTGAAAGCACCCTTGTTGGGAATCTACCTTAGCAATGCTTCACTAAAGGAGAGAAATGCTCATATCCTCTGAATATATGCTTTTTTCTACAATGTTGCAGTTTCTTGGTTTTGTAATTGCACCCTTGGAGTAAAATTGTCCTCTTTTCAAAGTAAATAATTGTTGTTATGGCATACTGAATGCATGAAATAATTTAGAAGCTTGTATGTGTATCCATCAATATGCTCCCATCTTGCCACAACGAGTTTACAAAGCAATTTTTTGTGTGAGATTTTATATATATATATATATATATATGAGATGTTAGATTAGTTTTACTATGCACAATTTTGATGTGAGAATTTTGCATTGATAGAAATTGAAACTTTTGATTCAAGAATTTATTGAGTGACACATACTAGTGAATTTGAGAAGAAAGATACCATGGTTGCACCAAAACATTATGAAAAGTTGTGTCTTTTATTGAAAAATAAATTGAATCTTACAAATAATTGACATTTTACCCGATTTTTTTATTTACAAAATTTCTCATTTCAAACATTATTATTTTTAAGAAACACTACTAATTCAAAAAGAGTGAAAAAAAAATAAATAAAATAAAATAAAAAATAAAAAAAATCACTTTTAAAACATTATTATTAAAAAAAAAAATTGCATAAAATAATACAGTAATACATAGAATTGATACTGGGCTTGATGGGATGCGCCAGGCCCGTGCTGTAGTGCAACACTTGGGCGACACTTAAGGCCCCAGTTGCCAGCTACTGTGGCAAGCTTTTCCCCTTAAAAAATAAATTTAATACCGGGTGGGCCATTGGCCCACGTATTAGATATTAAACTGATAAAAGCATATACTCGATCTCAACCGAAAGACCGAAAAAGGTACGCTTTGAACTCTCCCGAATGTTTGTTTTATAACACAATTAATGACCCCCCTTTTCATCTTTTAGTCGATGTGGGTTGAAAAAAGAAATAAACCCCCCAAAGAAGTGCCCTCTCACTTTCATCTTTTGAAGTATTTTCAAATTGTCATTGCATTAAAAAATATACTGTAACTTTTTAATGTCTTCCAACAAATGTTTAAACTTTGGGTGGAACATCTCTGATAGAGGGACAAGAAAGAAAGGGGCTTACGTAGAGTGATAATTTTCAATACAACACAAGGAACAATAAACGTATTTGGATTGTAATTGTGTTATTTTGAGTTTAGTTTAAATCGTAGTATTCGGGTTGTAATTTTGTTGATTCAAATTAATATGATGATAATTAAACGCATCGTATTCGTGTTTTACTTCTCAACCAGTCTAACTAATCGTGTCGTGATCATGTTGTAAATAATTTATTTTACTAAATTTGTTTGATAAATGTGTCATAAAAATCCTAATAGTATAAAATTTAATTAAACACGTCGAGTACTATTGTGTCAGGTTTTGAACAATTTATTATAAGAGTTACGCATATTGTGTGTTCTGCTCTCGTTTGGACCCACAAAACATCATACTCATGTTTTGACATGATACAAATATGACACGCAAATATGAATTGCCACCCATTTGATGTTTCAACCATGTTACATAACTTATACCGACATTGTCATAAATTAAAAAGAATATTGTTGTATACAAAATTTAGACACCCATTTTACATTTTTATAATAAGTTATTACATTTGTATGAAAAGTCATTGTTCTGTTCATATAACAAAATCACACTTGTAGCCCTTGCATGTTTTAAAAATAGGAATGAGAACATGCACATTCATTCGGAAAATTGGACTCTCTACCAACTAGGTCATTAGGTAATACCCGACTTCTATATCAATTGTTTATACAAAATTTAATTTCCAAATAAATATTTCGGAGAGGGAGAGATGGAGGAGGAAATTTCAAAAAGTTTGTAGAGCGGAAATTTCAAGGAGCTTTTGGTTTCAATTTTTCTTATTTTTAGCTTACAATAGTGTAAAAGCAATAAATTTTTGTATTACAAGAAAGAAACATAAATTCTGAATAGCTTTAAAAGATCATTTAAATTATTATTTTTGTGTGTAAAAGAACAAAAGATAAAACTTGAATTGGGGCTTGGAGGGCACCAAGTGCGTCAGGCCCATGCTATAGTGCTATGCATGGCTATAGCATGGGCGACGCTTAAAAGTCCCATTAGCAAGCTACTTTGGTAGGTCCTTTTCCTAAAAAAAATTAATTTAATACTGGGTAGGTCATTGGCTCTGACAAGAACAAATACTACACTTAATCTTAGCCAAAAGGCCGAGAAAGATATGCTTTCATCTCTCTTTAAAAGCTTCTTTTATAACACAATTAATGGCCTCCCTTCTATTTTTTATTCGATGTGGGATGAAAATAGAAATAAACCCCCAAAGAATGCTCTCTCACTTTCTCATCTGTTTAAGTATTTTCATATTGTCATTGCATTAAAATATTATTTTTTTAATATCTTCCACTGAGGTGTGTAAACAAACGTTGAAACTTTGGGTGGAACAGTTAGGAGGGACAAGAAAGAAAGGGCCTTAGGTAGGTGACAATATTCTATACAACATAAACACAATTGTGTGACTTTGAGTTTGGCTTAAATTGTATTCGGCTTGTAATTCTGTTGACTCAAATTAATATGATGATAAGCGTACTTGTGTTTGACTTTTTAACTTGTTTGATTAAACATGTTCCATAAAACGTGTCACAATGATCTAATAGTATGAAATTCTAATTAAATGTGCGTATGATAGTATTGTATCAGGTTTTGAACAATTTATTAAACGAATTACATGTGTTTGTGCTCGTTTTGACCTACGTAACATTATACTCATGTTTTGACGTGATACAAATATGATACACAAATATGAATTGCCACCTCTCATGTTTCAATCATGTTACACCGACATTGCTATAAATAAAAAAGAGTATTCTTGTATACGAAATTAAGACACCGAATTTACATTTTTATGACAAGTTATTACAAAAGAGTATTATTTTATGCGAAATTAAGACACCCATTTTACATTTTTATGATAAGTTATTTACATTAGTATTGTTCATATAACAAATCACAGCCCTAGGTTGTAGCCCTCATGCATGTTTTAAAAATAGTAATGCTATCAAGGGAGCACTCTTATGAGAACACTGATATACTCGTTCAGGGAATTGGATTTTCTACCAACTAGGTCATTGGGTAATGCTTGACTTTTATACTAACTATTTAATTCTCATTTATCTGGACATGAGAATTTCTTTGTTTTTAACATAATAATAACAAATTTTCACAATAATTTAAAGCTGTATTCTTCTTCATCAGCATCATGGCAAATTAAAGTTGCAAAAATCACAAATCTACAAAATACAATACCTATTCTCATGACTTAAGGCATATCAAAGGCATATTTGAAAAATATTTTATTTTCTAGTTTTTTACATTTTTTATTTTTGTCAAAAACAAATAATTCCATAATGTATTTTTTATTTCTAACTTGTTTCTATTTTACTAGTTACTAGTTTGATTGATGTCCTTAATTTAGGATTCATTTGGATAAACATAAGAAAAATAAAAATAAAGAATTAATTAATAATTTTGAAATATTAAAGTTTAAAATATTACTATTAATATAATAATAAAAAGTTTATGGTTTTATAAGATTATGTGCTTTTGACCTTTGGTGTGAAAATATGATTGAATTTATTGGGCTATATTTTGAGTTTAAACTATTCAGTGTAAGAGTCATTTTCTTATACCAAATACAATTAAATGGAACGGTTCACTTCCTTATTTGTTGCATAATTGACCAATTAAAAAAATTGTGACTATTCGGTGTAAGAATTATTTTCCTTAAAAGTTTCAGCTCTCACTCTATCTTGCATTTTTTTAATTATCTCACTCCAAACCATTAAGGAACTTTATATACACACTTTTATTTTATGTTTCTTTAATTTTTACCAACGAATGGTAATTTTTTTTTAAAGATATACGGATTGATACATATTACAGCGGTCACTGGTTTTATAAAGTTTAATAAAATTAGTACTAAATTTACTAAAGAAAAATTAGAAACAAAGAAATTTACTAAAAAAAATATTTTAATTAAATTATATTATAAAAAATTGCATACAAGTGTACGGTTTAGAAAATTATCACCAACCATCCTAGTACCAATAAAATAAAATAAAATAAAATATAAAAAAAAAACCCATATTACATACGAAGTATTTGTAAACGAAGCACATTCTGGACTATCCCACATTACATTTTTTTTGTGGTTATAAAGCTTTTCATTTTGTGATTTACCATACGAACCCAATTTTCTCGTTTAAAGACATATATATCCCATTCATATCTGACAGGGTCTACGGTGAACCTACGGAGTCTCATTCATATTTGACAGGGTCTACGGTGAACCTGCGGAGTCTAATATTTTAAAGTTGATGGTTGTTAACCACATAAAAATGTAAAGTAATATATGATATATACAAAAAATAAATGTTTCAGAACACTCACCCATAAAGTCATCACAATCATCCCCTTTTTAGGACGCTAATTTTGATTTGGGATCATTTTATCGATAATGAAATTTATATAACTAAAGCCCTAAAAAAATATATAAAACTTGAAACCGGACTTGGTGGGGGTGGGCCAATCCGTGCAATAGTGCAACACTTGGCAACGCTTAAAGGCCCAATAGCAAGTTAGTAGGCCCTTCCCTTAAAAAAATAAATTTAATACTAGGTTGGCCAATGACCCACATATCAGATGTTAAACTGATAAGAACAGTACTACACTTGATCTTAGCCAAAAGGCCGAAAAAGGTATGCTTTATCTTCATTGGGCTACTTATTTTATAAGACTAACTAATGATTCCTCTTTTGCTCTCTTTGTCGATGTGGGATAAAAACCGAAACTAAAAAAAGGTCTCACACTTTTATCTTTTGAAGTACCATTCTCAATGAGTCATTGCATTACCTTAGAGGTGTATACAAAGGTCGAATATTTTGGTGGAACATTTGTTAGAGGGACAAGAAAGAAATGGGGTGAAGCAACTAGCAAGTGACAATATCTCACACAACACATAACATGATAATTAGGCGTATCGTGTTAGTGTTTGACCTCTTAATTTCTTTAAATAAATGTGTCATGATCGTATTAGAAATAACTCTTTTAACCGAATCTATTGGATAATCGTGTCATGTGATAATATGAAATTTTAATTAAATGTGTCTTAAAATGTCGTGTCATGGTCCCTTGGTATAGGGACGTTGCATGAATTTAGGAGGTAAGAATTGCACTCCTAACTTGAATGATATGTGTATTGTCTCTAAAAATAAAAAAAATAAAAAAATGTAGCATCATATTTTTTTAAAAAAAATTTAAACCATGTATGCATTTTCTATTGTATTAATCTCATATAATAGGAGACTTATGTTTTCATAAAAGACAAATACAACATGCAAATATAAATTGCCATCACTTTTGTGTTTCAATCATGTTACAAACAATGTTGTCATAAATAAAAAGGATTACTCTTGTCTTCGAAAATGAGTCCCTTTTTACATTTATATGATAAGTTATTACAGTCTGAGCAAAAAAAAAAAAAAAAAAAAAAGAATTACAGTTATATATGAAATTTTTCTGTTGATATAAATTTGAAGTCCAAATCACATTCCTCGGAAAAATGGTCTATGACATGTATTAAAAATAGTCCATTAACATAAATGAGTGACTTGGTGGATAAGAGGACTCTTGAGAGTCTGAGACACATAATGCAAAAAACACTGCCAATTAAATGTAATTTAATATTTTTGTTTAGACTATTTCAAATTTCACATAGTATAAGTGAAGATGCAAAGAATTAACTCTCTCGATTTTGACAGAGTCTCATTACATTTTCAATTAAAAAATCCCCCTTACATTCTCTCCTTCCTGCCTATTTTATAGGCTTTTACAAGTGCTAGTAGAATGCTATAAGTGATTCCCTAAATTGGGTCCCTCGACCTCAGGCTTCATTCCTTACGGGCCTAGCTATTCTCGGAAGATCCCATGCATTCGGCCCATTCCGCAACATCATCGTGTGGGCTGAATCCAGTTTCTCGGCCCGATCCTCTTTTCGTGGGTCATAACTGGCCCATGTCACTTCCGGTATCCTCAACTGCCCCCATAATTACTCCTTAATTAATTAAGGGGTAATTATTAGAGACTGTTAATCATGGCTTGACGGCTCGAGAAAATCTCATGGAAGAATGGACGGTTGGATTTGGGAATTGGTGCTTCGAGATTCAAAAAACTCCTCGTTATCCTGACTCTTCAGCCTTTGGACCCACCTTGTCTTTATAAGCCTCAGAGATGTTCCATCAATCCTCTTTGCCGTCTCTATCTTGCTTTACTGTTAGTCAAATCTTCATCTGTCTCTTTTGAGTTAAATCTCCTCTGACGAACTTTTGCAAAAGCTTCTTTTTTGGGTGATCTTGCAGTGCTCTTCGCGGTGTTCAATCTTTCGAAGTTAGTTTTGCTTTTTTCTCCTCCTCTAGGGATTTGTTGTTCTTCTTCAGAATCTTTGTTCGTTTTCACCATGACTATAAACTTAGGTGTTCTTCGTATGAGACTTAACCTTCCTGACGACATTCAAATTAGGGCTTGCCCCAAAGATGTAAATATTAGGACTGGTGCTGGCATTCTTCCCGGCGAGGTCTTGTTTTCCAATCTTCAATTAAATCTCATTAGGTTCCTTCTGCATCTTCTTTAGCTACGTTTTTAATAAACTGAAACTTTCCCCTTTGCAAGTAAACCCAAATTTTCTTAGGGTTCTATCTGCTATGTTGCTTCTGAACCGTGACAGAGGTTTAGATCTTGACCTCATAGATCTTCTCCTCTGTTACAAGGTTAGCAAAATCTGAACTGATGCCCCATTTTACCATTTCTACCCAATTGAGAAGAGGTCCATATGCAAAGATAAAATCAAATCTGAGAAGGGTTGGAGGAAAAATAATATTGGGATTAAGGGAGTCTGGTTTTCTCCAGTCGTAGAGGACTTCCCTATTTAAAGCGCTTTTGGCAAGTGCTCTGTTTCTTCGTATAAAAAATACAAAACCCATAAGAGTGATTGTCCTTGCGAGATTTGCGTTCCTCGCTTTTGTACTTTCTTATGCCGTTCATTGGGCATTCCTTGTGATGATTTGAGCTACGGTGTTTGCAGGGATAGGGATAATTATTTGAAGAAGTAAGTTCTGAACGACATTCCCTCTTGCTCGGACCTCCTTACCTCAGATAACCTTTTTGCTCTCTCAGCCCTTGGCAAGACAATGAGTCAACTCCAGATCCCTTTTTTCGGCAGGAAGAAAGCTGCCCCCAGGACCGTTGTTGCCCATACGGCAACTTCTTCCCCAGCTTCAGCATCTTCTTCTGCCACTATTTCTGATACCATTCCTTCTATCGATCCGACCGTGACAGTTACCGACCCGGTCTCCAACGTTCCACCTGTCAATCTGAACGTGACCCCTTCTGTCAGCAACCTTCCCAGCTCTGCTATTGTTGCTGCTCGGGAAAAGGTGAGAGAAAAAAGACCTCAGCCTGCTAGTGCTCTCAGCATTGATGACATCCCTTTGTCACAAAGGGTTAGGCCCTCTGTGCCAAGTGTGTCCGTGCCTCCTCTGACCAGGCCTCCTGCCCTCTCTGGGCCTATCTCTGTTAATGCCTCTGCCTCTGTATCGGCACCATGGAACCCTCGCTTTATTCAAACGGACGGATAGTCTATAAAGCCGGACGAGTCCATGTTCAAGGATGGTCAGACCGCTATGGCATACTACAGGAGCATGTGGACTCCTAAAGATATTGAGGTAACCAAGGGTCTGTCTCAGAAAGAAGTGTTCAGCCGGTTCCCCTTGTCTGCCATGGAGGTAACTTTTGCCCCTCAGTCAATGAATCTTTACATAGTCTTTACATTTGATTTATTCTGACCATCTGCTCGGCTTAATCAATTATCATGTATATCTCTACAGACCCTGTATGGGATGATGGCCATGCAGAAACAAGTTGAGTTAGTAAATGCGAAGGCTCGTATGCTCTGTGACAACCTTGGTGCAGCTAACAAGGAGAACAATGCTTTAGTTACTCAGAATGCCGAGCTGATGGTTCAGCTTAACAAAGTTGAGAAAGGGATGGACGCTCTGAAAAAGGAAACTGACTCCCTTCAGGATGAAATGGATGCTCTTCAAATTGAGAAGAGCGTTTGGCAGACCGAGCGCGAGTCGCTCAGGAATGAAAAAGGAGAACTTCAGCGCCTTCTGGCTGATGAGAAATCCGCTCGGATGGCCTTCGAGAGGAGAGCTCTGGATGAGTGTGATGCTCTGCTCAGCACCATCGGTAAGGTAAATGGTGGTATGCTGGCTCTTCATGCTCGGTTTTCCAGGGTTGGGGCTCTCAGGTATGCTCAGGGATTCTGAGAGGGTTATACCGATCGTGTTCCAACTGAAGGTCAGACCGGCTATACCCCAGATGAGGTGGATAAGGAGCTGGAGATTGACCCCCCAGGAGTCTATGCTGACCCAGTCTCCACCCCTGCTGAGGACATATTTGGCGAATGCCAGGAGATCGCCTCTTTCGGGATCACTCCTACTCCCTCTAAAGCTCAACCTCTGGATGTCACCCCTCTGTCCACTGTGGTTCCATCTGCTAGCACTACCGAGGGAGGAGTTTCTCAAAATGAGGCAATCATTCATCTTGACTCTCCTCAGCATGAGGATGAGACTGACAATGACGGTGAGGGGACAGCTCAGCAGAACCAAGGAAAAGATGGAACTGATACAACTAGTTAGGGCCTCTCTGTTGTCTCCATCTCTGCTCCTTTGTACTGATGTCAACAATGCACCTCATTTTTGTACTTCAAAGCTTTATCATTAATGGAATGACTGATTTTTGTTTGAACTTTGTCCAAACTTTTAATATATTCTTGTTAATGTTACATGCATTTTATTGGCAATAATCAACATTATTTGTATTTTTTGGCGTTCGGCTCGTAGTGCCACTTGCCACTTACTTTGCTGAGTGGTTGGTGCTCGGCTATAACGTCACCTGCCACTTTCACTCTTTATTTTTGGCAAATTTTTGGCATTCGGCTCTTAGTGCCAGGTGCCACTTTCTTTGCTGAGTGGTTGGCGCTTGGTTATAATGCCACTTGTCACTTTCACTCTTTATTTTTGGCAAGTTTTTGGCGTTCAGTTCTTAGTGCCAGGTGCCACTTTCTTTGCTGAGTAGTTGGCACTCGGCTATAATGCCACTTGCCACTTTCACTCCTTATTTTTGACAAGTTTTTAGCGTTCGGCTTATGGTGCCTGTTGTCACTTGCTTGACTGAGTGATTGACGCTCAGCTAGAATGTCACTTGCCACTTTCACTCTTTATTTTTGGCAAGTTTTTGGCGTCCGGCTTATGGTGTCTGCTGTCACTTACTTGACTGAGTGATTGCCGCTCGGTTAGAACGCCACTTGCCACTTTCACTCATTATTTTGGTAAGTTTTTGGCGTTCGGCTCATGGTGCCAGCTGCCACTTTTTTTATTGAGTGGTTGGCGCTCGGCTATAATGTTACTTGTCACTTTTACTTTTTATTTTTGACAAGTTTTTGGCGTTCGGCTCATGCTAAATTTTTTACCACTTTCACTCTTTATTGTAAATTTTTTAACTTAATTTTTAACATTAAGAGAATTTTTTCCCCTTTTCTCTCCAATTTATAACAAATAATATATATATATATATATATATATATATATATAAATAGGGTATGTTGCAACAAGAATTACCACAATGATTATTAAATTTTTTTTACTACATTTTAAATTTTTTTAAGTAAGAGGTTTATTCGACTTTAAAGGATTATAAGTGATTTTATTTACAAATTACATTTAATAATCATAAGGTAACCATAAATAATTTATTTATTTATTTTTAAATTTTGGAAGGCGAATTTTATTTTTTATATGGAAAATGATCATTAGTAACTATAATTTAGTATCATAAATAGATAGAGTTTTACAAAAATTTTGGAGGACCAAATTTAGTTTTTATATAAAAAATCACCATTATTTGTAAACGACGGATATCCCTAAACTGGAGTTCCTCCATTTACAAGTCAAATTCAATCACAAAGTGCCACGTTACATTTTGACGTGGTTATAAGACTTTTCATTTTTTGAATGACCAAACTAACCCTATTTTCTTATTAACAGACGTAGACATCCTCATTCATACATGACTTGTCGTGACGCTATTGCACACCCGAACAAACTAGTTAGGGTCTACGGTGAACTCTAGCATTGTTCTCTGACTCAACCTGCGCTCGCTTGACTCAAGACCAAGAAGTCTCTCTCCTCTTCACTCCATCACAGACTCGATCTCTTCCACACCACTGTCTATATTCAAGAACAGGCGAAGACAAACAAAAACCCATTGAACATCCAATCTGTGTGATCTGTTATTTATCGATGGCCATTCTGTGATCAACGTGAAGGACAGAGAGAGAGATTGCGATCAGGTTTCGGCAATGGAGACCCGTTTCAGATCTGGGTTTTGGGTATTGTTCGCTCTTGTTGTCTTCTTGAGTCTTTCGGGTCATCTGGTTTCTGGAGAGAGTCGTCGTCCAAAGAACGTTCAGGTGGCGCTTCGGGCCAAGTGGTCTGGTACCCCATTACTCTTAGAAGCTGGGTATGTAAATATATATATTTTTTACTTCCATTGTACTAATATAAGGGTCAATTGATTGTGTTTTGTTGTAAAAATTAATTTTTGTTGAATTCATTGTAAGTGATGTTGTAGTATTTGTTATCGTTTTGGGTTTTGCAATTCTTATTTCAGTTAATTCTTTGTCTGAATTACCTGGGTATTTGTCGGTTCGTTATAATTGACATTAATCTATTTGAACTAAATTTCGTCCAATTCCAATTCCAAGACCCAATTCCCGTGCTCCCAAATGCAACATTAATGTTTTTTGGGTTACTTGTTTTGATATATCTATATATATATTATTGCAGAAATGCATGTTTATGTTATTTTTAGCTGAAGTTTTGATTTTTTTTTTGTGGACATGTTGAAATCATCTATATTGGTTTTGAGTTGGTTGGTTTGATTCTGTTCCATTTCAGAATTGTTCAGTTAAGCCCTTTTTCGTTTTTTGATGACCTTGCATGCGTTGGCGTTGGTGAGAGGGAATGGATAGGTTGTCATTGATTTACAAGAAAGTGTAAAAAGTTGGAGAGGGATCAAAGGAGGGAAAAAGGTTTGTTAGAAAGTGAAGGTAGATAACAGTGCTCTTTTTTTCAGCTTTAGAGGGTTGTGGGGAGTTATATATTTCAAAATATTGAATCATAAAAATGAATTGTACTTTAGGCATATAAACTTGCTTTTGGATATTTTTTCAACTCATGACTTTATTAATGGTAACTGTATTCTTTTATACTGAATTCAGTGTAGGAAATTAAGTTTTTGTAGCTAGCAAATAATTATTTTCCAAGATTAAATAGTACTGACAAATTTTACATTAGTGAACGCCAGTTCATTTGAAACCGTATTATTTGATGCATTTTAGTTCCCTACGAAAGCCCAAATAGTACTCACAAAAGTTACTTTTGAGGATGACAGTGCATTTGAACCTATATTAATGATTGCATTTTAGTTTCCCCACAAAAGTGTTCCAATATTGAGTGTGGAGTGGCTTCCTTTAATCCTTTGACAGGGAATTGCTATCTAAAGAATGGAAAGACCTTTTTTGGGATTTTATTGAGATCTGGCTTCATACAGAGAACGTGGATGCTGACTCTCATACGGCCAAAGACTGCTTAAAGAAAATTTTAAAATATGGGCAATCTCTTTTGAGTGAACCTCTGGCATCGGTCTTTGAATTCTCTCTTACTCTACGATCTGCATCCCCAAGATTAGTGCTTTACCGGCAATTAGCGGATGAATCTCTTTCTTCATTTCCGCTGACTGAAGATATGGACTCTAACTTTGTCAATGGAGGAATCTCTGAATTAAATGAAAACATGGAAAAAAATGAGCCGTTGCTCGTGGGCATAAACCCAAGAAGTCCAAGGGGAAAATGCTGTTGGGTGGACACTGGTGGGGCACTGTTTTTTGATGTCACGGAGTTGGTATCATGGCTCAGTAGCCCAAATGAATTGTGAGGCCTGCTCTTTACTTTCATAATAGAAGGAATCTTTTGCATCTGATGGAAGTCATTTATTTCTCTGTTTTACCCTTGAGAGTGTTTTTTTTTTCAGAGCTGGGGATTCATTTCAGCAGCCTGACCTTTACGAATTTGATCATATGTATTTCAATTCAAGTATTGCAAGTCCAGTTGCAGTTCTGTATGGAGCTCTTGGGACTGAATGCTTCAGGGAATTTCATGTCACATTGGTGGAAGCAGCCAAAGAGGTGGGCAACCTAATACTATGAAATATTTTTGGGCATGGTTTGATATTTTAATCAATTTATCAGGTTGAAAAACAAGAGAATCTTCTTGTTTTGTTATTTGCTCCTGTGGCCTTCTTTTTTGGCAATGGTTATGTTATATTGTTATACCCATATGTAAAGTCTAGTGCTACAAAAAGTACAATATTACTATAATATATATTTGTTTAAGTAAGAACTACTACAATAGATAAACATCAGAACTAATTAGTGTTTGCTTCTATTCAATTGAATTTCTTGTTCCTGTCACGCATCCTTGGATTAAAGGCTTCAAAAATGATAAATAAAGTTGCACGAGTACCCCTTTCTAGGGAGCCATATCCATATTAGATACACTAAGAAGCACAGATATGGGATGCGGATACGATATGACACAGATACGCCGATAGGACCCAGACAAGCGTAGACCCAGCTAATAAATGTAGTGTAAATTTTCATTTCTATATCTATTGATTAAGGCAATCTTAGAACTTAAAATTTAAAAATTCTATACTAAAGTTGCATAAGTTAGAAGATAACTCTATTTGAATATAAAAAAGACCATGTTATATTATATATGATATTACTATCCTACCTTGTCATTATAGTTATGTTTTTGTTGCTTTAGAGGTTGAACACTTTGAAATGTTTTCGTAATGTTGTTTTCAAGACTGTCGATGTTTCTTTTATATAAGTTGAATAGTGTAGGATGAGTTGGTTGGATGTTCGGAATGCGTTGACTAAGTGTCCGAAGTTTGTCAACCAAGTGTCCAAGATGTGTCGGCCAAGTCTCCAAAGTAATAAAATTGATTTTAAATAATGGACACGGCCATGAAGTGTCAGACACGTGTCTAGGAGTGTCCATGGGGTGTCGATGTCCGACACGGACACGACACCTTCATACAAGTGTCCGTGCTTCTTAGTAGATACATAACAAATCTTGATACTTCCTAACAATATCTTATATATTGGATACATATCAAATCTACATTCATGCTTAAGACGTCTGACAACATCTTCCAGTAACCTTTATGTATTATTCTGTTCATCACTTCCCTTGTACAGTGAAATAATGGAAGCTTCTGCAGGAACTGCATTTACTTTGTTTGCTTTACAGGACAAATATTGAATTGAATTTTTGCTTATTCAGCTAATTCCATATGTGAACTTGTTGGGAGCATATTAAGGTCAATTTACCAAATCAAGTTTTATATGCCTTTTTACTGTTCAATTCTGAAACAATATAGTTGGTTCTTTTTTTTTTTCTCTGCAACAGGTTATGCTATGAAGCAAGGGATCTGTTTTTAGGGGACTTCTTTTTGTATTAGTTTTGACTTTTTGCAATGCTTGCTGATAATTTATTTTGAATAATCTTCAGGGAAAAGTTAAATATGTTGTTAGACCTGTGTTGCCTTCTGGTTGTGAATCAAAAAGTGGCCATTGTGGAGCTGTTGGCACAAGAGATCCCTTGAATTTGGGTGGTTATGGTGTAGAGCTTGCTTTGAAGAACATGGAATACAAGGCCATGGATGACAGTGCAATAAAGAAAGGTTAGTAGGTTAATTCATGCTAGCCTATGAAAGTAATGCCCAAACTTCACAAGCTATTCAGGGTTTCATTCTCTTCTGTTATGATATATCTAGATGGTACTGCTCATACCTGTCTTTTATTCCATTTGTTTCACCAAAATAGTTCCCACCCCTTGTACTTTTTATTTGTATATTATGCTGTTAAAATACATCATGAGCATCTCAAAGATCATTCTGTTCTCGTTTCCATGATAAGATGCTTCATTCTTTTTCCCCATATAGAACAGTCATGCCATTTTTTTCCTTCTTTTTGTATGCCTTTCCAAGAGAATAACACGTCCAGTGATACTTCAAGACTTTAGATATTGATGTTTGTTTGTCAATTCAAATTCTGTCAACACTGTTGATGTAATCTTTTCTACATGCACTTCCATTTTGTACTACTGGGTTTTTCATTAAGATTAGTTTCTTTAAGAAAATGATGTATGTGGTGCAGGTGTCACTCTTGAAGATCCTCACACGGAAGATCTCAGTCAAGAAGTTAGAGGGTTCATATTCTCTAAAATTCTGGTTTGTTTGTTCCTGAAAAAGTCACTTTACTTTTACCCAAATTGTGATACCACCTTACAGTGGCTTTGATGCTTTAGTTGTTTTTATTACTACTTAAATTGCTGATCCTTTATCTGAAAACATTTGAATTTTTTACCATCTAAATATTCTGTATCACATTTTAGTGAAACATAGTTGTGACTTGTGACCCATAATTGCTATTGTTTTCCGAGTAGGAGAATCTTCTTGTCTGAAAATAAATTCTGAAGAAACTGCAAAATGTCGTTTCATCATCATACGCCATGTCTTCATCTTGTATCTCCCTCTCTCCATCTCTATATATACATATTGCTTGGTCTATACAACCCCAACCTCACAATGGGAAAATTAAATATAAGAATATGAAATCTTACTTGGTTATAAGCAGCAGATTTAATCCTAATACTGCTTGCTAGTGGGCTATGAAAGGTATTAAGTCTAATCCAAATGTGAGCAATTTGATTCCAAACAAAATGTTCTAAGAAAGTTCAAGAAAATTAGAAAGACAAGTGACTTGTGTAAGGTCAAAATTTCTTAACTGTCATGGAAAATTGTTTATTTATTGATTTTTAATTATGCTGATAATCGATTGTGACTAGCACATAGGATACAGTGACAGAATATTTTTCTTTTGATAAGTAAGATACAGTGACAGCATATGATATTATGAAGTTCTAACAAACCTCAATTTTTTAATTATAATTTCAATATATATTTCTGATGAACCCCAAGACCGAAGCTGAAGAGAGAAACAAGATGATACTTGTCCAAAAAAAGAAGAGAAGTCATTTTTTGAATTGCCAAACTAGATTTAGAAAAAACTAACAATAATATAAAACACAAAAGTTTTCTGTACTAATCCTACGGTGGTTTATGGTGGGCTTGTGATTTGGACATTAGTGAGCGAATGGGCATGAATCACTACTGGAAAGTTTTTTTGTCTGGTATTTAATTAGTAAAATAAAATATAGTAAAAAAAGTATATATGAATTACTTATATTAGCTTGAGTAAAAAAAAAAAAAAAAGAGTAACTTAACTAAATATATATATATATATATATATATATATATATTAAAAAAATATCGCGGGCTTTGGTGGGTGGGCTAATGGGCCTTTGATGGGCAGGCTCACAGGCCGGGCCGTGGGCCAGTACCTATACCCAATCCCGTCTTTCTATCTTAAAGGGCCGGGCTGGGCCAGCCCTTCACAGGCTCTGACCGGGCTAAAGCCCTCGGGCCTGGCCGCAGGCCATTTTAGCACCCTTAAATGATAGCATACTGCAGAGGTAGGCTAACTTGAAGACGCATATGAATTCTATTGTGAACTCCTTGTGATAGTAGGTTTGTGTGTCAATAAAAAAGACCATGCAGATGATCGACGCCTTTAGATGAAGTTGCTTCTTTTTGGATATTTATTGGTGACTAGTTCATAATATTTTTCTTCCCCTCCTGCCCCGACCAATAAAACTCTTGTCATAAAATATTCATTGTTGGTTATACATGTAAAGGCCATAACTGTAAGTTAGGTCATTATATCCTTATAAGGTGCATAAACCTTAAGATATGATGTAGGCTTTTCATTGTTTTTTGCTACCCTTCTTGTTGATATGGAATGTTAGTTTCATCAAGTACTTTGGCAATATAGAGTACTCTTGTAGAAAGGGTAAAAATATAGTTAAAAGTTGTTGTTTGTAAAAATATAGAGTACTCTTGGACAAATCATTACTTGAAAAAAAGAATAACAAATAAATTAAGATAAGTTACATTAGGTGTACATGGCACTAGTTGATAACTATGTTGATAACTCATCTTGAAAATAAAATTTGTTGTTTGTAACTAAACATTAATCTAAAGACGAACCATTACTTGAAAAAGAGAATAAAAAAAAAATAAAAATCAGTTAAATTAGGTGTATATGGCACTAGTTGATAACTATGTTGTGGCTTGTGAAATTTTGTCGCATGAGATCACCAGTTATTTCTGTAAAGCCTCTAAGATTTCATTACTGCCTTAACTTTAGGTGAGTCTCGACAATTCCTTCTTCAAAACCTTGATTGTTCTGGAAACATTATCTTGTTAAAAGTTTTTAATGAAAGAAAGCATGACTGTGTGAGATATGCACCTGCAACATGGAAGAGCTGATGTTTCCTTGATTGTTCTGGAAATTTTATGTAGTTAAAAGTTTTTACTGAAAGAAAGTATGACTGTATGAGACATGCACCCGTGACATGGTAGAGCTGATGTTATCTATTCCCGTGTGTCTTCTTGTAGGAACGCAAACCTGAGCTATCGTCTGAGATAATGGCTTTTAGGGATTATCTTTTGTCATCAACTATATCTGATACACTCGATGTTTGGGAATTAAAGGGTAAATCCCATGATTACACTGGCAAACTCGCGATCAGTTTCACAAACTGAAGGTCAATTTTGTATTTAATGAACAATTGTTTTGCAGATTTAGGACATCAAACTGCACAGAGGATAGTTCATGCCTCGGATCCTTTGCAGTCAATGCAAGAAATCAATCAAAATTTTCCAAGTGTTGTTTCTTCTTTGTCTCGTATGAAGGTAAGTTTTCTGTTGTAGATGTTTATAGTTCAGGTGTGTGTGAAAAATGTGACTGTTGTTGTACGCAAAATTCTTTTTAAAGAATATGATTGCTGATCAATTAAGCTGATGAATCTTTATGTTAATGCCTTGTGCAGCTCAATGATTCCATTAAGGATGAAATAATAGCAAACCAGCGAATGATTCCTCCTGGCAAGTCCTTGATGGCTCTGAATGGTGCTTTAATCAATATTGAAGATATTGACCTTTCTATGTAATGTTTTCCCTCGTACTATTTCTTCACATTAACCTTTTTGTTCATGGCTTCATTTTTTATGTTTTGCATATTTTTTTTTGATAAATATGTTTTGCATATTATCTTATCTGTTTTTCCTAAATATTTTTATTTATTTATTATTTATTTTAATTATCCTGATATAATACAAAAATGTTATTAGAAAGAAAAATGGGAAACGTACATGGACTAGGCATCATTCATGGAATTACAGAAGGGGAAGATAGAGAGAGAGGGAAAATGAGGATAACATGGTAATTGTACATTTAACTGAACCAATTACCCCTAAAAAAATATGCCTGATGTGGGCGGATGACCTCTAAAATGCCAAAACATCTTTGTCCCACCTTTCGCTTGAGAAGTCGCCTTTAAATTAGCCAAGTGAAGGATTGATAAATTTATAAATAACGCCAAGTCCAAAATTTGTGCATTGAGAAGACTTTTCCTCTTAGATCCTGACTGCAGTTTATCACCTACTCTGTAAAGGATAAACCATCTAGAACACAAAGATTGATTAATCCCAACACTTGAGCTTCTTGAGTACCTTCTAACAAAGATAAATTTCAGCCTTGAAAGCATTAAAAGCATGCCCACTTTGACTGGCCTTAAGTGAAAGTATTGTTCTTTTTGTGAACCTTCATGAGGTAATAAGGTGAACAATGTCTTTATGTTACATAGAAAGCTTGAATGAAGGTGGGGAAGAATTTCTGAAAGGTTGGTTTCCCTTCCACCTTTGATGCTAAAAGTAATTTTTTAAGTCATCTCCAGCAATAAACTCACCAGATTAGAGATACCTGGGTTACAGTGATTGGCATCCCTTCCATTCTTTTAAAGATTATACTTTTAATTTTTTTTGATAAGTAAAGATTATACTTTTAATTACCCCCAACCAAAGATGGATTTTTTTTTAATTTAAAAAAAGCCTCCTCAACCTCTTTCAAACAAGGAATTTATTCAGATTGACAACATTACTGTGCTCAACTCCCTCCTCATCCTAGTACAATTTCACTGCTAGCCACATGATTCCTAGTATGCTCTCCTACTCCTTTCTTTGAAGGCTTTCTAGTTTGGCTGCAAGAGTTGAGTAATTGTAAATTAAGGTAGGTAGGGATATGCTAGTAAGAGATCTAGATTTCAGTGATTTTATTCCCAGTTAAATGTATACCTTCTTTCACCCTTCTAAGTACTTGGCACCTTTTCCGCTGCTGGACCCAAAAGACTTTTCCCTCTTCACTCTCAAAGGAAGACCAAGATACTTAAGCAGCCAACCTCAGATATCACAACCTAAGGAGCTAGTAACTTTCCTCGGAATACTTTGGTTTTATCTTCATAGCCCAAACACAAACACAAACAATTCAGAGATGGGATTATAGAACCCTTACTAAAAGAAAGAAACTAATATTTTATATTTGTATATTGGGGTGTTATACAAGCTCCAAATTTTCTACCCTCACAACATTCTAGTAGGAACATCAACTGTGAAAGTTACCAGAAGATTCTAGCAAGGAGAATTGCCCCATCTTTTTGTGTAGCTGGTACTAGGTTTTCTTTGAATGATCTTGGTGTTATATATTACCAATCATATGGATGTAGGGTTTTCAGTTTTGTAGATAACACCGCAAAAGGATCTTTTTGCGTTTTGAGATACTAAAAATTATAACTCAACAGACCAGATCCTAACTACTCTAGATTGGAATGTCATTTTTCTTTCCTTTCCATCAACTTACATAAGAATAATGAAAGGTTTCCTGTAGGCTGCCTTTTCTCCTTTGTCTGAGCTTTGGGGACTACGTTACACACAACCTCCTTGTAGTTCACGGGTTTTCTTTTTTTTTTTGATAAGTAAGAATTTTTATAAAAAAGCGCTCAAAGGGGAGCGAAACCCAAGGAAACAAGAAGAAAAAAAAACCAAAAAGAGCCTCAAGCCTTCAAAGAGGCCAAAAAAATAACAATCTCCTCAACAGAACGATAATCTCTCCCTGAGACCCAACAAAAGAGAGTAGAAATAATAGAGAACTTAAGCATAGAAATGGGTTTCTCCTTGCCATCGAAGTATCTTCGATTCCTCTCTAGCCAAATGCACCACCAAACACAGAGAGGGGTAGCCCTCCAAGCATCCTGGATGAGCGCCCCAATAGAGACACCTCTCCAAGCCTCAATCAACCCTCTAGAGGAACAGGGCATAACCCAGGGAACCCCAAATTACCCAATCATCAAATCCTAACAATTTCTGGCCATACTGCAATGCAACAGAAGGTGATCCACTGTCTCCTCATCGCAACGACACAAGTAATAGCGATTGATAACCACCTGCATTCTCCTCCTCAAATTATCTTGGGTTAAAATCCTACCCAAGACAAACGTCCAAGCAAAAAAGGTCACCTTAAGGGGAGCCTTGGAACGCCAAATAGACTTCCAAGGGAAAGTGCCACCCTCCCCATCAGAAAGGCACCTGAAAAAGGATCTCACCTCGAAACGACCCTGAGAGTGTGGACTCCAAAGCCAACAATCAGCCTCCTCATGAGAGATCACCTGACGATACAGTAACTCCAAAAAACGAGTGACCTCCTCAATTTCCCAATCCTGAAAATGCCTCCTAAACTGAACGTCCCAAATTAGTCTTCCGTTATCAAGGTGATAACAGTCAACCACCAAGGCCTGCTTGTCAGAAGCAATCCTGTAAAGCCGAGGGAAGGAAAGAGCAAGGGGAAGATCCCCACACCAAAGGTCCTCCCAAAATCTGATCCTTCTACCATCCCTGATCCTAAAGCGAACATGATTACGAAAAACGTCCCATCCCTTTCGAATGCAAGTCCAAACCCCCACACCCCTAGGACCACGCCCCTCGAGAGAACACCACCCACCACTGATTTCCCCAAACTTGCTGGCAATAACTTTCTTCCAAAGCCAAAGTCTCTTAACCCCAAATCTCCAAAGCCATTTCCCAAGAAGAGCCCTTTTGAAAGGCAACAACCTTCGAATCCCTAATCCTCCACTCCGGAGGGGACGACACACTTGCTCCCATCGAACCAGATGATATTTGAACTCCTCTCCTCTCCCTCCCCAAAGAAAATTCCGCTGCAAACTCTCAATTCTCTCCGCCACCAAAGAAGGAATCTGAAAAAGGGAGATAAAATAGGTGGGAAGGCAAGACAGAGTGCTCTTGATTAGAGTGACCCGCCCCCCTTTGGATAGGTACTGCTTCTTCCAACCCGCCAGCCTCTTCTCAAATCTATCCACCACCGGATCCCAACTCCCCACACATCTTGAAGGAGCACCCAGAGGCATACCTAAATAAGAAATAGGAAACGAGCAAGTGCCACATCCGAGGATCTGAGCAAACATCTCAATATCAGGAACATCCCTGACCGGCACTAAAACACTCTTTCCAACATTCACTTTAAGCCCAAAGACGACTTGGAACCAAATCAAAACACATCTCAAATGTCTCAGCTGGGACGCATCAGCATCACAAAGAACCAAGGTATCATCAGCAAACATCAAGTGAGAAATCTCCAATTGACTAGCAACATCTCTACCCGCCCAAAAGCCTCTCAACAATCCCAGATCAACAGCCTTTTTCAACAACCTGCTAAGAGCCTCCATCACAAAAAGAAAAAGGAAAGGAGAAAGCGGATCTTCCTATCTCAAGCCCCTCGAACTAGAGAAAAACCCCGTCGGAGCTCCATTCACAAGGACAGAAAAACGCGCACTAGAGATACAAAACAGAATCCATCTCCTCCAACGCTCCCCGAACCCCATCCTCTCCATCAAGTAGATGAGGAAACTCCAACACACATGGTCGTAAGCCTTCTCAATGTCCAACTTACACAAAACACCCGGAACCCCACTACTCAACCTGCAGTCCACACATTCACTAGCAATAAGAACTGAATCCAAAATCTGACGACCTCCCACAAAAGCATTCTGAGAATCAGAAATGACGCCATCCAGAACCTTCCTCAGCCTAGAGGCTAAGACTTTGGCAAGCATCTTGTAAAAACAACCCACCAAACAAACAGGACAAAAATCCCTAACATCTAGCGCTCCTCCCTTTTTCGGAACGGGTTTTCTTATGCATGAAGAGATAGAAGCCTAGAATTAAAATTTTAACTGTCTTATAGATTGGCATCTGATTAAGTAACCTAGATACACTAAACTCTTATGAGTAGAATACATCTTCATAGTAGAGCTTTCGTGTTTTGATAACCAATGGTGGTTTTTTCCCCTGTTCACCGTTCTTTCATTGTCCACCTGTTATGATTTTCTAATTATTCTTTTAGTTTATATTTTGGATGTCATCACTAGTTACAACTGAAATGTCTATTGGCTAACTTTTGGCGATGCATACTGATGTTCTTTTATAGGTTGCTTGATCTCGTCCATCAGGAGTTATCGCTAGCTGATCAATATACAGAATTGAAGGTAATGATATTAATCGTATCTCTGGCTCACTGGACCATGATTGATCACAGGATAAAATTTTCCTTGAATTTGTCAGATTACTTGTATATTACTTTTTTCCGTGTTTTCCTTTTAAGCTCTTCTAAATAAATGGCTTAGATGATTCCTAGTTTCTAGTACTTCAAGATTCTACAGCTCTTACTCAGTTATTCTGTATTTTCCCCCAACATAATATTTAGGGGTTGGTTTCTTTGTTATCTTCATTCTATGTTTTTCCTGAGTATATGGAATTCCTTATGAAGCTGGTTTGTCCATCCTTTTTCTATAGTGCTGGCATTACTGTCAGTTAGCATTTGTGGCCAATTTTTCTGGTTCAATCCAATCGGTGTAATATTGTATCTGAACAGAGCGTGTGCCAAAAATTCAGTTCAGCTCCTAAATTTTGCATCCTGTTTGAGAGTAACATCTGGAATTGGTCCTGGGTTAAGTTCTGAATCTGCTAGTGCTTATTTCCAAGCCTCTGTCTCATGCATGTAAAATGTTTTTACATTATATATCTTGTTCCAAATTGCGTGCAGTGCGTTATTACATGGTTGTAAATTTTCTTCTGTTTCCTCAAGCGTGGTAGGGTTACTTATGTGGTTCTTTCCTTGCAGTTTACTTTTTGTTGTCCTTGCATTGCTGGTGTCATCAGTTAGATTGATTTGACACCACAAATGTCCCCCATCCCCCTCCTTTGCTCAACCTTTGCCTTAGATTTTGTTTAGCTTTGCACTTGTTTCTTTATTAATAGATTATATTATCTATCTGACAACTCCAGCTTATTCTCCGAACATTTTGATTATTATGTGAGAGTTTGACTTAGTGACTTATTTAACATGCTTTTTTCTTCTTTTTTTAAAAGTCATTTCATAAATAACACACGTGTATAGGATGCCATCCTAATATGATACATATCAGTAATAACTGTTTTCGGTAAAATATGTATTTTACTGCATGAATCATATTACATACTGTAAGATTCTTGCAAACATGATCCTTACCGTGGACATATATCTCTTTATGTGTTATATTTCCGTTTCAAGACAATAAACAATTGAACACTATCAATTTCCATTATATATTAAACTATTGAAAATCTTACTGTATCTGTCGATGTTGATAATGTCCATTGATATCTCTGACATTTTTGAACATTTTATTTTCATTTCCATGGTCCTTAGCATTTGCTCCCATGAATATTTTATGCTCTCATGACTGCTAATTTCTTGATGATTCCAAGCTTCAATCTCCACCAAAAGATATCAAACTTTTCATTACTTCATAGGATGTTTCTATTTTTGCTAAGTTGGTCATTGATCAAAAGTACACTGATATTTCCTATGAAATTTTCATGCAAATATAGTTAAACAATTCCACTATTGAAGTCAGACTTGGGTTTAATGAGTTTTATAGCATTATCATTGTTCATAATGAATGCAATCAAGATTATTAAAGGATAAAAACATAATTATGAAAGAATATTGTAGCCTGAACATAATAATGGCTTTAAGTGTATTCTGTTTGATTAATACCTAAGTGATGTACACTACATCACGATTTTAAATGATTCATGTGTTTTGATTATTATTGGCATATTAAATTACAGTTGCACATCACTATTATTCTCTCATGGAACAAAACAAAGTATGTCCATTGCTTGATTCCAACTCACCATTCCTAAATTCACATTGTTCAACTACATTAGTGTCTCCATCAAAAAAAAAAAAAAAAGTTATAATAATCTGTATACTACCTTATTAATTAATTGCTCACAACTTGTTTGTTTAATGCAAAATGAGTCACACTAATTGTTAGTTGTGGTAAATTAAACAAAGTTGAGCGGACAAATTGAGAAGCCAAGTTGACTTGGTCAATATGTGTAGCATCGTTTGTTTGGTTGCAGGAACAAACAATGCTATTAAATGTAGTGGAAATAGAAGACGACTATAATATGAGTTGTGGATTACTGTTACTTTAAAAATTGTAAGATTAGACCTCTACAAGGCAAAGTTTGAGGATAAACAGACAGTTCAGACAATTTATGTTGGATTTTCAACAACCTCAAAATGTGTAATTTTTTTCATGTAGAATTCCTTTTGGCATATATTGCGAACCCTTGTGGTGATAGTGATCATGTAAATATTTTTAAAACAATTTTCATAGTTGTTATTTTTAATTAATTGTACAATTTCATTATTTTATAAGTATCTTTATCTATTCATCATATAAAAAGATTTTGAGGGTTTACTTGAAGATTCATCCAGACACAGTTGCAAATATTTGTAGAAAATGCAAATTTACCGGTAGCTTCCAAGCTCAACTTGGCTGTTTTCTGGCATTTGTTTCTTATGCATCCGCTTTTCGTTTTCTACCTTTAAGCTCTTCATCAGGTACTATAGTATCAGCTGATATGCATATTTTGTGTGGCAAAAAGTAAAAATGTAGTACGTAATATAATAGTCTGAAGACTACCGGATAATTAAAAATATGGTATTGGCTATTGAATTAGTCTGAAGACTACTGGATAATATTTTTTTGCTAAAATTATAGATTCCTCCAAGCACTGTGCGGAAACTCCTATCAACTCTACCTCCTCCAGAGTCCAATAGCTTTCGCGTTGATTTTCGTTCAACTCATGTGCATTATCTCAATAACTTGGAGGTGGATGCAATGTACAATCGTTGGCGTAGTAATATAAATGAGGTGTGTTTATCTTTCACATGGATGTATTCAATTATATTATTTACTTTAGACTGCTTCATGCACTAATTTGCATTCTTTTGAAAAAAGCGTTTCTATCTTTTTACTTTGGTGTTGTAGATTTTGATGCCGGTATTCCCTGGGCAACTACGTTATATTCGTAAGAACTTGTTCCATACAGTTTTTGTTGTGGATCCTGCATCCATTTGTGGACTTGAGGCAAGTTTTATTGTGTAAAAAGTGACGTCAGTTCGTTGTATGTGCATATACTGTTGCCAGAATTGCTTATCTAATTTTAGTTTCATTGTCTTTTGCAGGCAATTGACACGATTATTTCTTTGTACGAGAATAGTTTTCCTATGAGATTTGGGGTGATATTGTACTCAGCAAAGTTTATCAAGAAGATTGAATCGAACAGTGGAGAACTCCCATTAGATCCTGTGGAAAATGACAGTGGGACAGAGGAAGATGTGTCCAGTTTGGTACTTCTTTCTATCTTATTGTACCGTCTTTTTACATCTCAAACATGTCTAGGCTAAAGTTGATAAATTTGTACAATACGTTATGTGCATTTAAGGAGAATGCCTTAGATAATCCAGACGGATGCCTCTTCTGAGTTCGGCTTGAACTACATCATTTTAAATAGAAATATGTTTTACTACTCCTAACAGTTTTATGTAAACCTCATAAGAGTACAAATTTTTGTTATAGTAATGCGAAAATCAGATTTTTAACGAATCAGTTATAGAAAAGGTTTCTGTTCTATCATCTAGGTTGTAGTAACAAGTTCTGCCTTTTTTTTAGGAAACCAGTGACTCACCATAGTTGATAAATAGAATAGATCCCTGTATAAAGGTAATTCTGGAGGTTAAATAGCATAGATCACTGTATAAAGGTAATTCTGGAGGTTAGAGCCTTCATTAATTTTCCCGCTCTTGACCTCCGTCTAACCAGTGTAGGCACAAAAGGGAAGGGATTTTTCAATGCAAAAAGACTCAGATAAATGGGAAACATCATTCCTCTATAAAAGTCTTTTTATTGATCTAAACTAACTTAACATGGATGATCACCTGATCAAAGATATTCAGCAGGATTGCAAATTCAGTAAAGGACCTGATAAATTCTTCAAATATTGATGTAGCTTAAAATGATAATTTATTTATTCTTTCATAAATTACAATGAACCCTTGGTTTGGCCCAATTGTACAGTGTGCTGTAAACTTACATTGGGACCACCTGTCGAACTTTGTTTGTGAGACAGTGTTAAAAGGTTCATGTAAATTTAAACTTTCACCATTGTGGTATTTTATAGCTTTTTAAATGAAAGGGTCACAAAAATCAACTTAAAAAAGACCGTTATGCCCTATATCTTCTGTCTTATTTTTCTTTCGTTTCCTTCTTTTTCTCTCTTTATAAAATTCCTCTAGCTTTCTCTCTCTAAAATTTCTTGTTTCTCCACACTCAATGTGTCTGCTACTTCACCACCATAGCCACAGTTCTCATATCCATCAATGAGCTTAGGAAGCTTTGCCAATCCTCTTGCTGCTGTTACTGAGGAAACTAACCTCATTGTCCAATCCACCTTTGTCAACTCCCTCTTTGATTTTCATCCCTCCCTTGCAAGAAAGCTCTTTTTAGAGCTTCCCCACGGCCGCCTTCACTCATTCAACAGCCACTTTACCACGTATCATCCATTTACTCTCTTTAAACCCTTCTTGCGCTCACCGTTTTTTAACACTGCTACCACCTTACCAACGACTGTTGCTACCATTCTTTTCTTACACTTCTCTCCATTCTTTCCCTTCCAAAATTACTGATCTACCAGAATCACCACCTTAGTCGACCTTGAAGAACGACATCCCTTGCCTATTGCCACCAGAAACCAATATTGCTGGAGGTGAACCCAATACCCGCCAAGCTATCACACTGTTTCCACCATACCTTTAAATCCTTTGTTTACCCAAAGTAGCATCATCCTCTCTTTCATCTCTCCGCCTCTTGCAACTTCTATAAAAACTTCTCTCCCTTCATTGTTATCATTCTTAATGACTCTCACTAATCCCTATTTCTACTTTCTGTTTCTTGCGTTCTTTTTTGGATCCGTGTTCTTTATTTTATACTTGTATTGGGAACACCACAAATTCCAAGATCATCTTCCACACTTCATAAATGAAAACCCATATGGATTGATGAAAAGAAAGTCATGTTTTTCACAAACCATGCATCTTCATTTTGGGTTCCCTTGTTATTTTCTGTTTCGAATTAGTTGTAATTGCTTCCCTTCTTGGAGTTGTGTGATTTTTTTCTTTTTCTTTTTTTTTGGCCTAAAGCACCATGAATAGTTTGATCAACACTAACTGATTTGATGGGAAGCAGACATTGTAGAGAGAACATAAAATGAGATCAACGATGTGTAATGTAAATGAAAATAATTTACTTTAGGGGTATTTTTGTTCTCTTCACCATATGGAAGTGAATTGCAATGTAAATGAACACCTTTTACGTCAAGAGTATTGAGTATTTTTGTGCACTTATTGATCATAGAATGAGGGCAAATTCGCAATTTTATTTTATTTTATTTTTGAATAAGTAAAAATTTGCAATTTTATAAAGCAATATAGGTGTATTTTTATGCCTTTTTTGGACAGATGAATGGTAAATTCAATAATCCATAAAGATTTAATTAACAGTTCTAATGGTTAGATAGCAGGAGGGAAAATCTGAATACAAGTCAAACCTCTTGGCAGGTCTTTTGCTTTTTCAGCAAGCTTAGAGGTTGTATATAATTGGGTCACCAGGGATTAGTGTAATTTAACCAAGTCCTCTTTATTTTGGACACTGTTAATAGATTTGTTTTGTGTTTGGCTATCGTGCCTTCATTCATTTAAGGGCTTATATGTTGGATACATTACTACTCAAGTGACATGCCACTTAAGATTAAAAGGATTTTGACACGAAAGGTAGGGGAAACTAATCACCTGGATTTTATTGTCTTTTGCTGCACCTAATTTTGCCTCCTTTCTGTGAGGCTCGGTGGGCGGGAGCAAAGCCTGTGAGAGGCAATGTTCTGGTGCGAGTTACGTGTGCTCACAATTCCCACATCGCTTGGGTGTGGAAGAGTGAAGTGCTATATGTAAGTTCAACACCCTTCTATGACACAACGCATTTTAAAGTCGTGATGGCCGTGAACCTATCAGAACTTCAGAATTAAGCGTGCTTAACCTAGAGTAGTACTAAGATGGGTGACCTCCTGGGAAGTCTCTGGTTCAGGGGAGCCAAAAGCGGACAATATTGTGTCTGGGTATCAGAGCTTGATTCCTACCGGAAGTGTGTTGACGGGGACATCGGGCTCCCAAGGGGGGTGGAATTGTGAGGCTCGGTGGGCCTGTGAGAGGCAAGGTTCTGGTGCGAGCTATGGGTGCTCACAATTTCCACATCGCCTGGGTGTGGAAGAGTGAAGTGTCATGTGTAGGTTCAACACTCTTCTATGACACAACGCGTTTTAAAGCCGTGATGGCTGTGAATTTATCAGAATTTTGGAGTTAAGCGTGCTCAACCTGGAGTAGTACTAGGATGGGTGACCTCCTGGGAAGTCTCTGGTTCAAGGGAACAAAAAACGGACAATATTGTGTCTGGGTAGGGTGAGGGTTGTTACATTTTCCGTCTTTTTCATTCATTTATGTTCACTCTTTCTCTCCCCCTCTCTCCTTCATTGGTTCTCGAACACTTCTTTTTCATTATCTTGCTTCTTTTTCTCACTTTGCCACCTTTTTTTTGTACTTGGGCTGAGGCTGCGGTGAGCTTGGTTTAAAGTATTTTTCTTGAACTAGAGGTTGGTCTGAGCTTTGCCTGATTCTATAATATGTAGGTTGCTGTTGTCTTGGTGGTTAGCCTTAAATTATAATTTGAAGGTCTAAGGCTCTTTATCTCATTTTGGTGAAATCATACTTGATGCAAGATTTTCATGAAAATGTTCAATTTGGGCCATCTCTTATTTGACATGGAGCACATCCCGTAGGATCCACACAAGATGTGTGGCTAAGGGATGTGAACTGCAATCAGTTGCGGCAGTGGAATTTTTATTTAGGCTGAGCTGACTCTGTGCTTATCTTACCCCAACTGATAGCCTAGAAGTCACCTTTAAGAAATTTCTGTACTTTATTGCCCATTTCTTTCTGCTTAATGTTCTTCCACAGCTTACTTTTATTTGCTAATGAAAATTGTTGACAACTTTGTTTTTCTTTTTGCAGATTATACGTCTTTTTATTTATATTAAGGAAAATCATGGCACTCAAACGGCTTTCCAGTTTCTGAGCAACGTATGGCTTTGGAATTTTTGTTATTATTATTGCCATATACTTCTGGGATTTACAAGATGGGTCATCTCGCAATCTGTTGCTTGCTTAAAATTAGTGTTGTTTTATCCAATTTTTTCTGTTCACACTGTCTTGCCATTTCTGCATGTGTCCGCACTATGCTTTTAGCATTGTCCAGGGTCTCCAAAATGTGTGGGAAGAGGCAATTTTTTTATGGTATCTGGGGTGGGTGGTTTGCTTTTTATTTTTATTTTTAAAGGATTGTTGGTGTGTTTAGGTTTCTCCGTCACTGCATGCGTGTCTGAATGATACCCTTGAGTGGAGTGTATCTCAATCCTCTTGTCTAGTTGAATTGCAAACTGCGATCGGGTTCTGGTAGGATTTCATATAAATTTTCTTTTGAGAGTGAGAAGATTCATCAGTGCTTGTGACTTGGGGCCCTTAGTGCATGTTTGGCATTTCTTTAGCTTGAAATAATCATGTTCTTTTTATGTAGGTCTGTTCTTCCCGTGGAAGATCAAATAGTGTTTGATGACGCAATATATTACTTTTCTTAAATATTCTGTCATAAATGGACTCATTCCATGAATTTTTACCCCTAATTGAATCGCATTTACAAAAGCTCGAAGTTTGAGCTTTGGCTAAAAGCTCTACCAGGCCAAAATCTATACTACTAAAAAGTATTTTTTTTTTGCCACTGAATACAAATAAAAGCGAAGGGCCTCTCAGATTGAAAGAGCTTTGAACCATTCCAGGCGCAATGCCAAACATGCTCTTATTCTCATGTGTGGATAAAGCTTATTTGGCAATTTCTTTCCTCTTATTCAACATTCCCCCCCACCCCCACCTAAGTTTCCTCTTATTAAGTTCACTCCCCATATGCATGTCATGTGGGAAGTATTGTTGGATTCCTCTTTATGTTAAATCTAATTGAGTATTGTGCACATATATGGCAGGTAAATAGATTACGGATTGAGTCCGCTGATTCTGCAGAAGAGGCTCCTGAAATGCATCAAGTGGAAGGGGCATTTGTAGAAACGCTATTGTATGTCTGAGACTCTAAAATTTGTTTCAGAGTTGAGTTTGCTAATGCTGTGGGCCTGCTTGGTTTGTAACTTTGGAAACAGTTCTCAAGAACTCAGAAACAGAATCAAGCAGAGATTTTATACATTTTTCTGTTTTCAGAACACTCAAAACAGAAAATTGTTTTCAGAGTTACAAACCAAGAAGGCTTGTTTTTGATAGTTCTGTATCTCTACTTGTGAACTAATTATCCTTCCCATACAATTTACAAATAAGATAAAGATAATACAGTTTTTCTTGTTCTATTGATATCCTCTTTTCTATAAACATGCATGGTCTGTTTTTGTAGACCAAAGGCAAAATCTCCACCTCAGGATACTTTATTGAAACTGGAAAAGGAGAAAACATTCAGTGAACTGTCTCAAGAGAGCTCCATGTCTGTTTTCAAGCTGGGTTTGGCTAAGCTGCGGTGTTGCGTATTGATGAATGGACTTGTGTATGATCCTAATGAGGTACTGGTCAAATTTCATGTTGCAATTTCTTTTTTAATTTTAAAATCAATACATTCAAATCTTCCTACCATTATGTTTTTCAATTTTTTTTTTTTTTCCTACCATTATGTTTTTATTGGTGTTAGAAGTTCATTTAAATTCTATCAATTTGATTGGATTTTAAACCTTTCTACATTAAGGAAGAATTTTTGTGTTAGGATCCTTCTAATTCTCTAGTGGTCGTAAACAAGATTGACATAGTTTTAGAAGGCATAGTCATCGTGTTTTTTTCTTTGGAAATTTTGTTATTCTTCATATGTGACATGCTCTTTTCTCGCTATCAGTGTTTTTGCAGGAGTTCTTCTTATCATGTTAAATTGTTTTGGTTAAGTTGCTCTGTTCGTTTCCAAAAAATTCATCTCAAATTTCACCATGGCCTCATCCATGTGATCCATGACCTCTGCTTATTTAAATATGCTTTTATCGTAGTGAACCGCTGGTACACATATTCTTCAATGATTCAGTTGAACTTTTCTGGATTCATTTTTATTAGGAAGCTCTTTTAAATGCCATGAATGATGAGCTTCCCAGAATACAAGAACAAGTTTACTATGGGCATATAAATTCTCACACTGATGTTCTGGACAAATTTCTATCGGAAAGTGGTATCCAGCGCTATAATCCTCAGGTACAAAATTTGATATATAGTTGGAAAATTTTGATCTGTTTGAGTAGTTACTGTTTTTGGATAAATGTTTGTTAATATATATCTATCTCATTGCTTAATTTCCCATTCCATTGTGATTATCCAGATTATTGCTGATGGCAATGCCAAAGCAAGATATATATCTTTGTCTACATTAATCCTTGGAAAGGAATCCTTGTTGAATGATATCAGCTACCTGCACTCTACCGGAAGTAAGCCGTGCTCAAGCTAAAACCATCAGTCAGCCTCTCACATGCTATCTTTCTGACTAATTGAATTATGACATATGTTTTTTTGATCCATCTGTTTCAGCTATAGATGATTTGAAGCCCGTGACTCATCTTCTTGCCATTGATGTTGCATCAAAAAAAGGGACGAAGTTGCTTCGTGAGGGAATACGCTACCTGGTAATTCTTCAGACCAAAACAGTGAACCTATGTTTTGGATTTATGAATTTGGTTTCATTTTTTGATTATTGCCATTTCTTTCTACTATTTATATTGTTAGCATTATCATTATTTATGTGTTGTTGCTTGTTATGCTAAAGTGCTTCCAACTGAAATGCAGATAGGAGGTTCAAAAAATGCTCGCTTAGGCGTGCTATTTAAAGCCAACCCAGTTGCTGATTCACCTAGTATTGTATTTGTGAAGGTTTTTGAAATCACTGCATCGTCATATAGGTCTGTTGAATTTTCAATCGTATACATTGGAATTGTTGCTTATTACATAAATCTTTCTCTAAATTTTAATGTCTTCTTTCAAAATTCATTTGAGGTTTTTTCTTAGTCATTAAGATCCTTTTCTTTTTTCCTGGCGTCAGTCACAAGAAAAATGTGTTGGATTTTTTGGATCAACTGTGCTCAGTTTATGAGCGCAAGTACATGCTTGCATCTTCCTCAGTTGCTGAAAGCAAGGAAGCATTTATTGATAAGGTCTGTGAGTTGGCTGATGCAAATGGATTGCCATCAAAGGGCTATAGATCTGTTCTCAATGAATTTTCGGTTGACGAGTTGAGACATCATTTGAATAAGGTATATGGTAGTTTATTTCCTTTGGATCAGTTTGAGGGAATGGTGATGTATTCTTTTATATAGTTGTTACTTTGGGTGCGCTACCCTTTGAGCATCTTTTAATGAAATCTTATATAATAATAATGGTTTCTTTAACATTGTAGTGCACATATGCCATGCCACGTTAAAAAGGGAGGATCTTTTTCTTTTTCCCCCATATGGACTTATCTCGAGATAGTTTTTTGCATTTGCTTATAATTTTCAATGTAAATGTTCTTGCTAATTGCATCACTAGGAACAATCATGACTGCCTCTCACGTATAATTTGATGTGGTGGTATTGATTAGTATACCTCGTGTTCACATACCTATCATTACCCTTTTTTATGTATTATTTTGTAGAATCAATTGAATTCAGGAAAAATTTACTCTTTTTACATTTACTGTTTAAACTGGTATGCAGGTGGCACAGTTTCTATACAGGCAACTTGGCCTTGAATCCGGGGTTAATGCAGTTATTACAAATGGAAGGGTAAGCTTTATCTGGGTGTTTCTGCTTGATTGGATGTTGGCAATTCACTCTCAAATTCTGTTTCTTTGTGGTCACTAAGAAATTGATTCTGTTATACACACACACACACACACACACACACATATATATACTAGTAAAAGGCATTGCAATGTCTATCTTCACCAAAAAAAGAAAAGATTTTCCTTTGCAGCTTGTCACTTTCTTGCTGAATTGATCAATGTCTTGCAAAACAAACATATATAATTTAGAGCTATTGAGAAATTCAATTAATATATTTTTTTTAATTTAATTAAAATTTTATGAATAAGGGTGGAAAATTACCTCAATTTGTAATTGTAGTAAATCATCTAGTGAACAATTTATTAATGTTTGGCAATCATTGAACATTGTTAGGGTTGCAAGTGTTCCAATATATTCTATAATTCGCACTTTAATTATTATCATGAATCTGCACATGAGTAAAGACAAATAATTATGTATTTGTAATATTATTAAACCATTGAAATAAATATAATAATAAGATTTTAAGATATAACAATACTTTTGAAAGCATTTTTGGTTTGTTGTGTTGCATTGAGGACAGTATAAAAATTTAGTACTACACTTTATCTTAGTCAAAAGGCCGAGAAAGGTGTGATTATTATTTTTTTAGGTCTATAGTTTTATAAGAGGTTTCCATGTAATCATTTTTACTTGATACCAATGTGGGACAAGAAAAATGAATTTTATTAGGCAATTTGTAATTTGAATTAAACTCTTTAAAATTTTATTAGGTAATTTGTAATTTGAATTAAACTCTTTAAATAATTTTTAGGTAATTTTTTGTTTATAAAAACTCTTTTTTATATTAATAAATAAATACTGAAAGTAGTACTACACTCGATCTTATCCAAAAGGTCAAGAAAGTAGAACTACACTCGATCTTAGCCAAAAAAATTTAGTACTACACTTGATCTTAGCTAAAAGGCCGAGAAATGTGTAATTATTATTTCTTTAGATCTATAGTTTTATAAGAGGCTTCCATGTAATCCTTTTTACTTAAAACCAATGTGGGACAAGAAAAATGAATTTTATTAGGTAATTTGTAATTTGAATTAAACTCTTTAAATTAATTTTTATAAATTTTATTAGGTAATTTGTAATTTGAATTAAACTCTTTAAATAATTTTTAGGTAATTTTTTGTTTATAAAAACTCTTTTTTTATATTAATAAATAAATACTAAAATACTGAAAGGCCGAGAAAGGTGTGATTATTATTTGTTTAGGTCTAGCATAAATTAATCGTCTGATACACTGTTAATCAAATCTCAATTCTCATGTAAAGATTGGTATTTTGGTCATTACAGAATGCATGCGCATTAAGCATTACTAAACAAGAACAGAATCATAATCTTTCCTACGTGCTTTCAACTTCTTCTCTTTTATTTTTTCTCCTCTTTCAAATCATAGTGCACAATCCTGCCATAGAAATAGAATCCACCTATGAAGAAAATTGTACCAAGTAGAATGCGATACTCTGATCTACAGCAACGTCCCCAACACATAACACCAATTGTAGGATTAAACAACCACCGAAGAGATACCCCTGATTATCTCTATCAAGCAATTAGATAGTTGTTTTTATTTTTCTTTAAGAAAGGTTAGCCAAAAGGCCGATTCCAAAAAATTTAGTACTACACTTGATCTTAGCCAAAAAGCGAGAAAGGTGTGATTATTATTTCTTTAGCTCTATAGTTTGGCTTCCATGTAATCTTTTTTACTTAAAACCAATGTGGGACAAGAAAAATTAATTTTATTAGGTAATTTGTAATTTGAATTAAACCTTTTAAAATAATTTTTAGGTCATTTTTTGTTTATAAAGACTCTTTTTTTATATTAATAAATAAATACTGAAAGGTAAAAGGCCAAGAAACCCAAAAAAAAATTAGTATTACACTTAATCTTAGCCAAAAGGCTGAGAAAGGTGTGATTATTATTTCTTTAGGTCTATAGTTTTATAAGAGGCTTCCATGTAATCCTTTTTACTTAAAACCAATGTGGGACAAGAAAAATGAATTTTATTAGGTAATTTGTAATTTGAATTAAACTCTTTAAATAATTTTTAGGTAATTTTTTGTTTATAATTTTTTTTTTTTTTATATTAATAAATAAATACTAAAAGCCAAAAGGCCGAGAAAGTAGTATTACACTTGATCTTAGCCAAAAGACCAAGAAATGTTAGCCAAAAAGCTGACCCAAAAAAATTTAGTACTACGCTTGATCTTAGCCAAAAGGCCGAGAAAGATGTGATTATTATTTCTTTAGGTCTATAGTTTTATTAAAGGCTTCCATGTAATCCTTTTTACTTAAAACCAATGTGGGACAAGAAAAATAAATTTTATTAGGTGATTTGTAATTTGAATTAAACTCTTTAAAGTAGTACTATACTTGATCTTAGCCAAAAGACCAAGAAAGGTTAGCCAAAAGGCCGACCCAAAAAAATTTAGTACTACACTTGATCTTAGCCAAAAGGCCAAGAAATGTGTGATTATTATTTGTTTAGGTCTATAGTTTTATAAGAGGCTTCCATGTAATCCTTTTTACTTAAAACCAATGTGGAACAAGAAAAATGAATTTTATTAGGTAATTTGTAATTTGAATTAAACTCTTTAAATTAATTTTTATAAATTTTATTATGTAATTTGTAATTTGAATTAAACTCGTTAAATAATTTTTAGGTAATTTTTTGTTTATAAAAACTCTTTTTTTATGTTAATAAATAAATACTGAAATATTGAAAGGCTGAGAAAGGTATAATTATTATTTGTTTAGGTCTAGCATAAATTAATCGTCTGATACATTGTTAATCAAATGTCAATTCTGATGTAAAGATTGGTCAATATCTTTGTGGTATTTTGGTCATTACAGAATGCATGCGCATTAAGCAATACTAAACAAGAACAGAATCATAATCTTTCCTACTTGCTTTCAACTTGTTCTCTTTTATTTTTTCTCTTCTTTCGAACCATAGTGCACAATCCTGCCATAGAATCCACCTATGAAGAAAATTGTACCAAGTAGAATGCGATACTCTGATCTACAGCAACGTCCTCAACACATAACACCAATTGTAGGATTAAACAACCACCAAAGAGATACCCCTGATTATCTCTATCAAGCAATTAGATACTTGTTTTTATTTTTCTTTTTTTTTCTTTAATTAATAATATAACCAAAAAAAAAAAAAAACCAGATAAATTGATTATGAAAATTCTAAAATAACCCTCCAGAGTCTCAATCTTCTTGAACAGACTTGTGCTAAGATTGAAGAAGTAAATGCAAAAGAAGCTGTTTGATTATGATGATTTTATTAGGTAATTTGTAATTTGAAGCTGTTTGATTATGAAGGGGAATCTGATGATTTTATTAGGTAATTTGTAATTTGAATTAAACTCTTTAAATTAATTTTTATAAATTTTATTAGGTAATTTGTAATTTGAATTAAACACTTTAAATAATTTTTATGTAATTTTTTGTTTATAAAAACTTTTTTTTTATATTAATAAATAAATATTGAAACTCTTTGCACAAAGGCCGAGAAAGTAGTACTACACTTGATCTTAGCCAAAAGACCAAGAACGGTTAGCCAAAAGGCCGACCCAAAAAAATTTAGTACTACACTTCATCTTATCCAAAAGGCCGAGAAATGTGTGATTATTATTTCTTTAGGTCTATAGTTTTATAAGAGCCTTCCATGTAATCTTTTTTACTTAAAACCAATGTGGGACAAGAAAAATGAATTTTATTAGGTAATTTGAATTAAACTCTTTAAATTAATTTTTATAAATTTTGTTAGGTAATTTGTAATTTTAATTAAACTCTTTAAATAATTTTTAGGTAATTTTTTTATTTATAAAAACTCTTTTTTTATATTAATAAATAAATACTGAAATACTAAAACATTGAAACTCTTTGCACATTTAATAATAGTATAGATATATATTTGATAAGTGACTGTTAATTTTTTTCTCAATGTTGGTAAACCTAAATGATAATTCTCTTTATCTGTCTTCATTGTTAAAAACAATTACTCTTATTTATAGATTTTCATTACATCATATTTGACATTTGATAGGTGATCCGCACTACTGATGACAGCACTTTTATGAGCCACGATCTACATCTTCTAGAATCTGTGGAATTCAAACAAAGAATTAAGCATATTGTTGAAATTATTGAAGAAGTGAAGTGGGAGGACATAGATCCTGACATGCTAACAAGGTATGTTTGTTTCTATGCTTCATCGTGTCTTCTGTCGTATCTCTCTTACATTTTTAGGAATTGCCATTTAGACAAGTCTGTGTCTTATTTCGGTGCTCCAAAACCGTATCCGTGCTACCTATATGGGTCCAACTATGGCATGACTCAAGGGTGCAAAGTATAGCAGAAATTTGTAAGCTGAGTCTCAAAGAGATAAAGAAGATGATAACAGAATTTCTTATAGTAACACTTCCAGATATGAATAAGATTTTGAGGTACATGATGAAGCCTTAAAGGTTGGCAATGGAGGTGTCAAAGTGTTGGGTAACACAATTACAGTTCTGTCTGTGCTCATCATATTTCATTATTCTTTTGATCATTCTGTTCTATCTTTTTCTGTTTCAGTTTTGTGTTGGAGAGTTTGGTATTTCATTTTACCCTTCTCCTTTATGGCATTATGACAACCTAATTAGCTTCTTGATTTGATGTCTGGTCCTTTTGTTTTATAAGTATTGTTTGTTGTTAGCAACTCCTTTCGTGACTATGGATTTGATCTTATTTCTTTGTTTGGCAAATTTATAATGGTTTCATATTTTTTCTGGTGACGTTAATTGCAGCAAATTCATAAGTGATATCATTATGTGCGTCTCATCTTCAATTGCTACAAGGGATCGAGGTTCTGAAACTGCACGCTTTGAAGTTTTGAATGCAAAATACAGGTGTGCCCTATTCTTATTTAAATATTGATTCCATTATGGTTATTGATGTTGATTTTCTTTCTCTAGATCTATGTTACAAGGACATATAGACAAGCGTTGTGTGCTTTTCCATGTTGATATCAATTTCTATATCTAGATTGAATATGAATGTATACATGTTGATGTCAAATTTAATGTTGATTTTATATATAAACTTATTGGTACTTCTTGAAACAGATATTTGATAAAATTGTTTGAATCTTTGAAATGAAACAAACTTTTGATAAATAAAAAAAAACACCGGAAATCCGTATTATAGAAGTATGTAGTTTTCTATATGGCTGATAAATACTAACATAATTGTTATTCAATACTATCAAGCTTTAGCTTGGATGGTATTTTTCTCCACCTCTCAAAGGGGAGGTTGAGGGTTCGAGTCCTAAATCCTGATTGGACATGAAGTGTGTGTGTCTTAATGATAAAAATAACAGACTAGGTCAACAATCTCTTCTCTCGTACGAATTCATACTAAAGGTCAGTCAAATGTCCTAAACAAACCTAAGAATTATTGAAATTGCATCATAAATATATTGATGGACTCTAAAATCTATCATAACTTTATGTTGGTGATAGAATATCTATAATAGTTTTTAACTTTAATGAAATGAAATAAGGCAAATATTTAAACAAGAAAGAAAAATATAGACAAGTACCAGTTAAAGACAGAATGCTGTTGATGGAAGGTTTAATAAAGAATATAAGAAAGTTTAAATTCAAACATGCTAATTAAATATCTTGTTAATTTTCTTTTTCATGAACATAACAAGAACCGATAAAGGTCATTGTCACATTATATATGCAGACGAATATAGGACACTGCATCACATTACCAAAGATGGAATTATTGTTTTCAATTGCCCTGATTGATTTTTCAATATATCAATTGTCATATCGATTACATCATTGGATAACCGTGAGGATACAAACGATATATATTGATATGCATTGGTTCATATATGTTTTGTTTTGTACATGGACATTTTAGCATTTATAAACATTAATAACCCTGACCTAGAATGTAAATACGGCAATGCCTATAGATTTCCAATATATACTTTGTATGTGACATGGCAAAGGCTTGATTGATATGCACTAGTATAGTAGCTTGCAAACATAGTCCTTCTCCATTGCATTGTAATTTGTAACTGTATTATTAAAATTCTCCTATTGCTTTTCTTTTTTTGATAAGTAATTCTCCTATTGCTTTTTAAAAAGCGAAAAAGAAAAAAATTTTGGGCCAACTTGTCATTTTGATCAATGATGAACTCACATTATGAGTTGAACATTATCTTCCGTTTTCCATGAACATCAAACTATATGGATATGGTATGCAATACATGGGTATGGTATGCAATATGTTTTCTGCACACTGATTGTCGGAAATGCACCCCCTAAGTCGTCCAACAAAGCAAGATATGTATATATTATTGAGTGCTTAAGATTTTCAATGTACTTTCTTAATATGTATTTTTTCCCGTCGATATCTCAAACTATGTGAATTACCATATTTTGGTGCAATTTGTGGCATAAACACGTTATTTTTCCCTAAAGTGCATAAAAGAAAAATTAATCACACTAAAATTCAGCATTGCTCCAGAGTTTAATTATTTGAGAATTTGATGTGTGGCACCTGCAACCACACTCCCACCTTTATCTATTCCAATCATGCATACCACAGTTCATGTTACATGGAGGGGTGAGTAATTCTGAGGGCAATGTTTTCCTAACAGTATGTGACTAAGTAGTAAACTTTTAGTATTGAGTATAAATTTGCTATAATACACCATTGTTTAGGCCTGTCTAAAGCAAAAAGTTGGCCATTCTGCTGGTGAAATGGTAGCTTCAGATTGAATGTTCGTCAATAATGACTCTCCTTTTAGTCCGTATTATGTGCATGCCCATGTGTTTATCCGCACATTTGTGCATGTTAAACATTGCTGTTTTGATCTAGAATTTAAGTGTGCATGGATTTTTAGTAAAAAATGAGCCTTCATGAACTTGCATGTTCAGTTTTGGATCCCTATGGATTTCACTCTATCCTATTCATTTCTGTAGCATATTTTGGTAGTCATTGTCTTTATTTAGTTCTCTAATATTCATATTCATTCTTTGTGGTCATCATGCCTGATGTTAACTTACTTGCCTCAGTACTTAAGTGCTATTGACCCCCCAATCCTCTTCAATGCTAGGCTGCCAAATATATTACCTTATCATACAGTATCAAGTTAAATATGAAATCCAATAGACAAGAGCAAGGGTTTGGAATAAATTTGACATGGGACTCTGGCTCATTTTCTTTTGGTAGAATTCTAACTATTCTGGTGTTGTATGTGCAAAAAGGAGAGTCGGTGAACCACTTTCTTCTATGTTCTTTGCCCTTTTTGGCATACATTGGGTATCTCCTGGTTCCATGGGAAATATGATTGAGTTTTGGAGAGGGTGTATAGTTGGGTAGCCGAGCCTGAGACGCATGGAGGGCCACTCCCCTTTGCCTATGGTGAGGCTTGTGGCGAGAAAGAAATAGGCAGTCTTTTGATGGGGTGGTTACCCCTATTTGGTCTCTCAAATACATCATTTTGACTTCTTTATTCTTTTGGGTAATTGAGTGAAACTTTATATCTGTGGGGGATCTCGTGGGTTTTGTTGATGGTCTGAGATTATAAATGGCCATGTAGGGCCTTTTGTGTATTCCCCCTTTGGAGCGCGAAATTTTACTTATCCAAATAAAATAAAATAAATAAATAAATAATAAAAAAGAAAGAAAGAAGAAGAAGAAAGAACTATAACTGGTTTGGCCAGCTGTGGAAGATACTGCATGAGAAACCAAACAAAGATGGTTTTGGTATATTATTTTCCTTTCACTAGCACTGCACATTTAGCTTTTTCGTTACATTTGATCTTTTATGACCTTATTGATCTCAGCATTTAACGCTAAATACCCTGCCAAGCTTTTATAGAATTTAACTGAACCAAATCTCGGCATATACTTTACTTTTTGGGTTGTTTTGAAGGCATATTATTTGTTTGTTGCTTTCTTATTTATCTCTTTGTATTTGTTACATCATCTGTATTCCTCACTTGTTGATATTTTATTTCGTTGAACTTGTATTCATTAATTTTTTATACTTTGATTTTCGACAACCTAAAATTGTACTGGCATCTTTTCGTTTGACTGTATGCAGTGCTGTTGTTTTAAGTAATGAAGATTCTAGTATTCATATTGATGCTGTTGTTGACCCCCTGAGTCCTTCTGGTCAAAAGCTATCTTCACTTCTTCGTTCTCTGTGGAAATGCATTCAGCCAAGCATGAGGCTTGTACTTAATCCATTGGTGAGTCTATTCTTATTGACTTACATTTGTTTAATTTTTCGCACCATATGCTGATATGAAATACCAAAGAATAGATTGTTTCCCTTCTGTGGGGAGGGGGTGCATTAGAATGATAAGCATGTTGTTGAAACTATATTCTATGCCGTCAGAAATAGTTTCTGCAATTGTGAAGATCCACATTGTACTGATATTGAGTTAATTTTCCTATAAAGTCGCATTTATCTGTCAACAAGGTTCTTAAGAAACTTGAATTCTCAAAAAGACAAAGAAGAGGGCCATAAAATATTTTATATTACTCTCTCGGCAACTTGGCCAGTCTTCACCAATTAGAATCCACCTCAGAAACATCACCTTCCAGTCCTCTTGTGACCTTGGACTTTTGTCTCTTGAACCATATTTTTGCTCTTTATTCTATTATTTTTCTTCATACAACACATTTCACCTCCACATTTCTTTTGTTCCCCCAACCGTGAAGTGGTTCCCCACAAAAACCATCTCTTGAAAACCAAAGCTCTTATGAAGTTGATGCTCTTTTGCATACATACTCAAATGTAGTGTTGAGATGTGTTGATCATTTACTGAACTAAAATGTTGTTTCTGGAAAGTCATTGGTTATAGGTAGGGAACCTGTTGGTTTTGCTAGTCCATCGGTCATCCCATATTCACTAAAATTGGCAAACTACTGGAGTAATTTACTTATTTATTTATTTATTTTGTGTTTTAGGAATGGTTTCTTCTTCCTACTAATGATAAATATGGTATTATTTTTTTTCCTTAATTGGTACTCACACACACATGCCTCCACCGAGGCTCGAACCCCTGACCTCCCTTTGGGAAGTAGTAGCCTGGTACCACTAGGCCACTGGCGTGTTGGTGATAAATATGGTATTGATGGTGAGCCCGTGTGGAAATAGATTTTGACCCGTGTCAGTGCCTTAGTGGGGACTGGCAAGTCAACAGTTATCTACTTTTTGTGAAGCTATCAGTGACCATTTCAATTCTATCTACTTCTCCACTCTTATTTGTTAATAGTTTGAATTCAAACTTAGACACATATTCACATTTTTAAGTTTGCGTGTCAACATAATAATGTATATACACATAAATTTTTGACAAGTCCTTCCAATAGAGAAGCCAAGGAAGACCACATAATGGATAACAAATTGAAATCTATGGAACAGTGTGTAAAAATATACGGTGGAATGCAGCTTTCTCTTACCTAAGAAATTTGCCCAAACTGTCTGATCTATAAACTCAGGTGGAGCGCACCCCTGCAGAGGCACTGTGGTGACTCGGTGGTAACCATTATTTCTTTTGTTTGGGGGAAAAAAAGTTGGTTGTAAGATACGATTGACCTTGTGTGTTTGAGCTCTTTCACTCTCTATGATAACTAACTGACATATACCCCAATAACTATACCAATGAGCAAGCATGATGCGGTTCACATCTAGAGTAATGTTGAAGGAAGACTGGACAAACGTGAAGTGAGATGGTAATATATTGTGGTTAATTCAAGTTATGGTTTATATAAAATAGAATGGTTAACCAGGAATTATATAGCTGACCCAGACATCTGGGATATGAACTTGTTGTGTTGAGTATACTTCATATATTCGTATGGCGAATAGCATATCAGACAAAAGGACTATCTTTTATGGCAGAGAAGAGGAAAGAATAACAGACTAATACATATGATTCTTCTTATTTAGCATATCAGACAAAAAGATTATCTTTTATGGCAGAGAAGAGGAAAGAATAACAGACTTCTACATATGATTCTTCTTATTTAAAACCATAATGGGATTTTAAATACAATAAAACCATTTTTCTGGGAATGATTTGTTGCCCCCCTTAATTGATTGATTTGTCTCGTTTAGATTAAAAATAAAAATAATTGACAACTAATGTCAATTTATTCTCAGTCCCTGTAATTACCAGTTCGTAGCCTCCCTTGATTGCTTTATTTTCTGTTTCTCATATGTGACTTACATCTGTTCCGTGGTGAAGTATGTTGCACGCTTATGCTTAGCTTCCCCTGTCTTTTGATAATTGCTTTCTATGATAATATTCTTTATCAGATGTCTCTGCGAAAGCTGATTTAATATGGTTTTGTGGAACTTTTTCTCTATTTGATTCTATGTTTTCTATTTCCTGGCAGAGTTCACTGGTTGACCTACCTCTGAAGAATTACTACAGATATGTGGTGCCAACAGCGGTATCATCAAAAGATCTGATCCTTGTACATCCAATCCTTTGCTTGAGTCTCCTTTTTTGTGATATTAGTTTTTATATGAATATGCAGGATGATTTCAGCAGTACAGATTATGCGGTACATGGCCCGAAAGCATTCTTTGCCAATATGCCATTATCTAAAACCCTTACCATGAATCTTGATGTTCCTGAACCTTGGCTTGTGGAGCCTGTTATTGCTGTGTAATCTTCTGCCTGACACCTTGGCTTATTATAACATTTTTTAATGTACAACACTGGAGTATTATTGTTCTGTTCTATCAGTTACAAGTTTTTTCCCCCAATAAGTTATTAGCAATGTGTATCCTAATAAGTAATGCCTCAATCTTAAATTTTGTTCTATTCATTTTGGTTCTCAATGTTTCAGTCATGACCTGGATAATATACTGCTTGAGAACCTCGGCAACACAAGGACATTGCAAGCAGTGTTTGAACTCGAGGCTCTTGTTCTTACTGGTAAAATTAAAATCCTCTTTTTTTTAATTAAAGTGAAATTTTGATGTTTACACATAACTTCAAAGAAACCGAATGATGAAAATTCTATCATTTACCAATAAATTAGGTTATCGTTTTAACTTTGCAAACAAATCCAGGTCATTGTTCAGAGAAAGATCATGAACCTCCACGTGGCCTTCAGCTGATCCTTGGAACTAAGACTGCACCTCACTTGGTTGATACACTTGTGATGGCCAATCTGGGTTATTGGCAAATGAAAGTTTCTCCTGGGGTTTGGTATCTGCAGCTTGCTCCAGGTAGAAGTTCTGAGCTCTATGTTCTGAAAGAAGATGGTGATGGAAGTCACAATTTGCCTTCAGCAAAGCGTATCACTATAAATGATTTGCGGGGTAAACTAGTTCGTTTGGAGGTGGCGAAGAAAAAGGGCATGGAGCATGAGACATTACTGATTTCTTCCGACAATGATAACAATTCACAGAAGAAAAAAGTTAGTGCCTAAAATTATTTACCGGACTTCCTTTTTTGTAACTTTAAATCAGTAAACTAGGTTCACTTATCAAAAAAAAAAAATCAGTAAACTAGGTTCACTGGATGACTTGGAAGATGTTCTTCCTTACACGCATGTTTTACTTAATAGTTAATATCTACAGGGAGGTCAGAAGGGTTGGAACTCAAATTTTTTGAGATGGGCTTCTGGTTTAATTGGTGGAACTCAGCAGTCAAAGAAGAGTGAACACACTTCAGTGGTGATTTTTATTTCTAATTTGACTACATATATGCATATTTGAAATGTGAACTCATTTTTCTTTCATTTGATGACCTAAAATACTTCTCCTCTAGGAGCATGGAAATGGTGAGCGACATGGAAAAACAATCAATATATTTTCTATAGCTTCTGGGCACTTGTAAGTTTCTTCTTCCCTTCATGGTTCATCTATCTGTTTACCGTGATACATCTTGAGAAATAAGCAAACTCAGTTCTTGGTATCATATTATGAAACTTATAATTGTTTCAGTTTGAATCTGAATTAGTCAAATTAAGGACCCAATAAAAAATGTGTCTATGCTAATTTAAACTCTCAACTCAACAAAGCATTTTCCCAACTACTTGGGGTTTGTGACATGAATCCTTTTTTCTTTTTTTTTTTCTCCCATTATTCCTGTGATTCATGTTCATGTGGTCTTGACAGCAGTTTTATGCTGCCTAAAATATTCATGTAGTTGGTATCTCCCACACCCAATGCATATTTGGTTATTTATGGGTTTAAATTTTGTTTCATTTAATCTGTGAAGGCTTGAGGCCTTTGTGGTCTTTTGTATTTTCTCGGGTTCCGCTCCCCTTTTGAGCCTTTTTTTATAAAATGTTTATTTATCAAAAAAAAAAAAGAAGAATCTGTGAACAAGAATCAAACGTGCTACAAACTGAAGCCGGAGTTTAGATGGAGTTTTGTTTTGAATATAATTAAGCTGGGTAATCCCATCCTGTACAATATCTGTTATACTTGTTCACATATTTTTGGCACATATCACGATCAAGGCATTAAGGTATTAGCAGATCATTTTCAAACTGTAACAGGGTTTATCCTAATCTCATCCATTCAGCAAAATGGCTGGTACTATCAGATCCTATAATCCAAAGGATTTCTAATATTCCAAACAAATATTTTATATTTGCTTGTTATCAGATCCCAGACAAACTGCAGCCTGCAGAATCTTGATCTAAGAAAGAGTAAATTTGTAGAATCCCCCCACAACCCCTATCTGCCGCACACACGGAAGGTGAGAGAGGGAGGGAGAATAAGCCATGAAGATGATGCATATACTATCAAACAATATTGTATTTTTTATTAAATTGTACGAGGTGTTCAAAAATTCAGATTTGTTTATTACTGTTCGTGTGTAATTAATGTTGGATTAGATCGCAGTAATCCATGGCCAATCTGTAAATATGTCTGATTTGGAGTACTCTTTCATTGATATCTAGACATACAAGTTAAATTTGGGTTAAAATCTAGCTGGTACAATAACAACTATATCAATGTTATATCCTCCTGTAGTTGCAAAAACATATGATCTCACACATATCGGTTTTTCCATTTTCTTTTTTTGCAGATATGAGCGGTTTCTGAAAATCATGATACTAAGTGTTCTGAAGAACACCCGCCGACCAGTAAAGTTCTGGTTTATAAAGAATTATCTTTCTCCTCAGTTCAAGGTTTGGTGGATTCTTGCTTGCAGTCTTCCCCTTTTGATGTTTTGGACTTCCATATTTGTTGTTTCAAAGTTTGTGTGCAGATCACTTTGATTGCTTAACGTACAAATGTTCTGTTTATTAATTTTTATGCAGGATGTAATCCCACAAATGGCACAAGAATACGGTTTTGAATATGAATTAATCACCTACAAATGGCCTACTTGGTTGCATAAACAGAAAGAGAAACAGCGAATCATCTGGGCATATAAAATCCTGTTCCTCGATGTTATTTTTCCGCTTTCTTTGGAGAAGGTATTTCAATTTCTTAGCCTTACATAAATTGATTTTGCTGCCTTGTCACTCATTTATCTTCCAAGATTGGCCTGCGTTGCATAGATGGATATTCTTGTGACAATGTGTAACATATATGTGTGCAGGTTATATTCGTTGATGCAGATCAAATTGTCAGGGCAGACATGGGAGAACTCTATGACATGGATATAAAAGGACGACCTCTTGCATATACTCCTTTTTGTGACAACAACAAGGATATGGATGGCTATCGGTTTTGGAGACAAGTAGATACACTTCTTTTATTTTAAATTTTTTCTGGATCATGACTTTTAGGTGCACACCATGATTGCATCATGCTGCCAGTAATTTATGCACCACTGTTGCTAAAAAACCTATGACTTCTCTTGAACAGGGTTTCTGGAGGGAACATTTACGTGGAAGGTCATATCATATTAGGTAGGAACCTGCTCTGCTGATGTTATTCTTGTAGAAGGACTGCGGACTTATATGAGTTATACCTCTTGCAGTGCGCTATATGTTGTTGATTTGGTCAAATTCCGAGAAACTGCTGCAGGAGATAATCTAAGAGTATTTTATGAAAACCTAAGCAAGGATCCAAATAGTCTTTCCAATCTGGATCAGGTAAGTTACTGTTCTAATGTTTGTGTCATTTTCTGATTACAGCCCTTACTGTAGTGTGTGCCTGTTTTTTAGTTGCCACTTTGTTAGTTCTGCCCTATCTTTATCGTGTTTTATCTTACTATTAAATTGCATTTGATAGTCCTGTATAAATTGAAGCATTCTTTTTGTTTTGTTTCCCTGGAATTTGAAGGCATAAATTTATCAATAGAACTATTTCTTTTTAACAGAAGATGGAGCCTTCACTGCAATGATAGTAAAAAAATTTAATGAGATCATTTCATGAACTGATTCCATAAATTCCAATAAACTTCTTTTGTTTGGAACATTATATATAAATCAAACTTATCATCAATAATGTAAAATACAAGAAAGTAGATCCATTTCCAGTGGATGTCTGACCATACCTTTCTTTAATGATTTTCTCCAACCTCTTTTTTTTTTGTTCCTTCACAAATCTGCTTCTCAATAGCTATCCTCATCTCCAAACTAATCGTCCACTCCAATCTAGGCTTATTGATTATTTTGTTGGTATTGAACTCTTCAAAACAGCTACAATAGTTATGATGTCAATGCACTAATATAACACTCTCGAATCTAATGCAATGGATAAATGGTTAAAAACACACGCACACGTATATATATGAATGCATTCAAAAGTGGGTTAAAATCATAAAACCCCCCCTCTTCTTTCCAAAAACTTCATAAAACCCCTTTTATTAACAAAAAAAACCTGGAACCAATAAAAACTATCATATTGGCCCCATTCTGTGTGACAGAATCGTTAAATTCATACAAATGACAAAAATGACCTTGATAGTTTAATATTAATTTAAAAGGTAAATATATATATATATTTTTTTAAATACAATTATATCCTTCATGAGTCCAGCTTAAATAAACCAAAATTTTCAAACAACATCGTTTTCTTGTTCGCAACGTTCTGGTTCATTCACAATATATATATATATATATATCTAGTGTGTGTGTGTGTAACATATATATATATATATATATATATATAGAAATCTCTCAACTTTACCGAAAGACCAGACCACAAGAATCATAAATGGAGGTTTCGATTGCTGAAGCTAGGGATATACAACGATCCAATCCGGTCTCAATCTGTCTACGTTTCTTTTTTTTTCTTTTCCTCTTTTTTACTCCTGTTGTATTCTGTGTTTTCTGTTTGGTTACTGAGAAAGTCTGAAAATCAGAACAGAATTTGGTTTTTCCAATACAGTGATAAATATTATCAGGTAACTAATTTCAGTTTAATTCATTTTAAATATTAGACAATGGAATGATTTGGGGCTTCTATTTGTGAAGAAGAAGACTCTGTTCGGCTACAGTGTTTCTCTGGTTTCTCACCCTACTTTCTCTCTACACACTGTCGTTTCTTTCTTTGGCTTTAAAATCACAACAGACTATGCGGTTTCAATTTCTAAGGGTGTTATTTGATAGACAATTGGTGTTTTAGTCCAATTAGGCATTTTCTTTGGTAACTCGCCGGAAACGCATCACGTCTTCCTTCATAGTTCTGGGTTTTGTTGGTTTCACCGGAATGATGAGGTGGGTTGTGGGTTTTGTTGGGTTCACCGGAAAGATGGTTATTGGGTTCACCGGAGACGACAAGTTGCAGGTTTGGGTTCGCTTTCTTCATCAGTCAGCGATGGAAGAGTCGGTGATGGTTGTGGGTCTGGTTCTACTGAGTACACGGTGAGTGGCGGCGGTTTCCAACAACCACCCGCAGTAAAAATGGCTGGTTTCAATGTCGCCAGAACTGGTCCGGGAGTTGTGACCGAGTCCCTCTTCACTGGTGGTCGGACGGACGAATTGGTTGGAGGTGTCTGGGTTGGAAAATTGGGAGAGTTTGTTGTCTGAATCAGGCCAAGATCAGTCTCTTCTCCGGTGGATTTCCGATGGCGACGATTCCTCGTCCGGTCTCAAACAGTTGCTACAATTGTGATTCCTTGTTCGGCCTCAAAGGTGTTCTACAAGGGCAATTTATAGGTGATTAAAAGGGCAGTATGGTCATATTCAAGTGGAATAGTATGCACATGACAATCATGTGCTTTTTTCCTGTTAATTTTAAACGGTGTGATAGTTTTTAAAAAAAGATTAGGGGGTAATATGATAGTTTCTTTAGTTGAGGGGGTTAGTTGATAGTTTTTGAAAACAAGAGGGGGATTTTATGATTTTAGCCCTTCAAAATATGCTGCAGATCTCTCTAACTTATATGTTTCTATGTATATTCTGTCTTTGACTCTTTAAGTTTGTACTATTATAAAGTATTTATAGACCAACCATTCCTGATCCATGAATTGCCTGACGATGTCGTTTTACATCAAGTTATGATTGTCATTCCCTTATCTTGCCAGAAAACTCCAAATCTGTACTTATTGAGATTGAGTTGGGAAAAACCGAGATTGACTGAGACTAGAATGGAAACATAAGATTCATATCGTCGTGCAGTTGCCGCTCCCAGACAAACCACCATCTCCATACCCAGCCCTGAGAAAACCCAAACTAGACTCAAAATGTAGGAAACATTGTAAAACCTAAACAAGACCCAAAATCTAGGCAACAATGCAGATCGTCAATCCACCGGCAATATTGCCTCATCCAGTCACCATTACTAGAGTCAATGCCATCACCACTCTCCAGAACCTTTGAACCAGACCCCCAACTCGCTCCAACCATCATATGTCATCACATCTTGCGCTCTCCACCACAAACTCAAATATCATCCCAAACCCAAATCGACTTCAGCAAGCTCTCAACCTTCATCAGCCATGGCAGGTGATCACAGGCATTGTGCGAGTCTATTTACCTCTGTGAGACCCTGCAATCAAAACCCTGATCAAACCATAGTTACTTGATCGCATTTCCAAACCTAAATAATACCAACAATCTGTCTGCCTTCGTCATAAACCTTGCTGTCTTTCATCATTGGCATCCAGCATCCTTCCCATAGCCCTCTCCACTGCAATCTGTTTTGCCAACCATTTGTTCACCGTTCTCTTCCATTGCAACTGCAGCCTGATCAAGAACAAGGAGTTTGTATTGAAGTGATCCGCTTATTTGTTGCTTCAGTAGTCGAGATACGTAAATAACCTGCATAATTGGTATTAATAAGTCACTTTTAACTTCTTGGGGTAAATATTTTACTTTTTTTAATACCAAGTTTGAAGGTAACCAAACACTAATATTTACACCAAGTTTGAAGTTAACCAAACACCAGAAAATATATATATATATTTGGGAGAACATATTTTATCGAAACAAGTGGAGCACAAGTTTGATATGGTTTTGAGTGGATGTTAAACTACCTAGCATTGTGAAATTAAGAAGGTAAGTGCTATTTTATTTTCTAACAAGTTCGTGCTTGGGTTTGAGTTTAAAAAATGAGGCCAAAATATTCACAGAGTCATCAAAACAATAGAAAGTTCTATACTGGGGGGAAAAAAGTTGAAGTTACTAGATTAATATAAATTAAAAATAAAATAAAAGGTACAAAGTTGCCCAACATTTGAATTAGCAAAAACAAGTTTAAATGGGAACAGTAAATAACAAAAACTCCACGTCTTTTTTCTCATTAAGTAAAATTCATTCACAGAGTAAGAGGGGGTTTGTGTTTGCGGGCTCATAAGGGGGTTGTAGAGAGAAAATAAATAAAATAAGTACAAAAAAAAAAAATTGAAAACAAACCACCACAGACCTAGGATCTGCCCTAACAGGCTTTAGGGGGCAAAACCTAAAGACTAAGAACTGTAGTCTTGTCTTACGAAAAGTAGCACAGCTCAACAGCTAGCCCATGGTACTACATCATAGAGCAGTGCCTGAAGCATCCGGTCCCACAGTACTGGAAAATATATAGCATCTGCCAAATACCAGTTCATTTGGATAGAGGAAATAGATTGGTGTATATTGTTAGTAATGGATACCAGTCAAACTAGAGCGAGGTTAATAGGTGACTCTAAAAGTTCTATGTTAATCAAGAAGAATGCATGGAATGCAAGGGTAATGTCAAAGTTGAAATTTTAAATAGGCATATAATACTAACACTGGAAAGCGCTAGTTGTGTTTGTCAAATGCCTAGATGTTTCATGTACTTTCTGAAGCATGTTCATTTTCATGGTTATGTCCTTAATTTTGGAGATAAAATTTTATGTTTTGGACATGTGCTCAACACTTCTGAAACACTTGTTGACACATGCCAAAATTCTTTGGATGTTACAATACGACCTAGTATTTAAAAGTTTATACTTGTAAAGGAAAGGGTAATAACTTTGTATGGGAATTATTCAGAACTTAAACCAGTTTTAAATATTAAACAAGATTTAATGAGGATTTCAAATTAATAAAGAGGAGGAATGACGGGTTAATGAGTTGTTATGATTGTGTGTTCAACATGCATGCTGGTGTACAAACATATGCTTGCATATCCTCGTGTGTGCACACATAACAGACACTTGCTTATCTTTTTTTCATCTGTTTCGTTCTTGTTTTAATAAGAATTTGTTGTTTTGGTCTCTTGTCAATGTCCTGCATCTGTATCATTTTGTCTGGGTGAAAATATATGGCAAGGAAATACCCCAAAGTGACCTCGTTTTCATCATCTTTGACATTGTTTTTTGGATGATCATAAAATGGCTTTCAAGTAAAAGAAAGAATTTTGTAAGATGAGTTCAAGGCAGGCTATGCATGTTTTAGTACAATATGTTATGTAGTTGAACACATGTTCTGAACGACAAGATGAACATAATTAATATGGCTCTTAGTATATGCCGTGAGTATCTAAGACAAGGAGTGTCAATAAAAATATGGACCAATTGGTTGAGATAATACACATTTGTCAGGGATTGTATAGATAATATTGCAATAGGTTGAGCTGTTATATGGCAAAAAGATTTATGCAGATGACCCCAAGTGTTATTGAGATGTGTTGAAGGATATATATATTTATGTTACACCCTCTCTGACAGCTTAAGCTTTTGGAGTAGATGGTTGTTAGCATGGTATCAGAGCCAAATGTCTCTAGTTCAAACCTCACCGTCACCCTAATTAAAATATTGAAAAACACGTGTTGGACCAAAAGAAGGCCACACGTGAGGGGGCGTGTTGAAGGATTTATATATTTAAGTTACACCCTCTCTAGCAACTTAACATTTTGGAGTAGTGGTGAAGGCCACACGTGAGGGGGCGTGTTGAAGGATTTATATATTTAAGTTACACCCTCTCTAACAACTTAAGCTTTTGGAGTAGCAGTTGTTAACAAGTTGAATATTTATATCAAGTAAGATAATATTCTTTGTTATCATGCTTGGCCTTCAACTGAAAGTTTCTCCATTAACTCTCTATTACCACTTGTTGCTTACAACAGACTCAGTTCACGTAATAATTCAACTGGCATACAAGGACTGTTGTAGGCTTTGGCTACATTTAATTATTTGAGTCAATTGTGTTCTACATGGCATTTTTACTGTTAGCCGAGATATGTTAAGCCTAAAATCGTGGGATTTGACCACGTAATTATTGTCATAATTAGTGGGATTTGACCCCTGACTAATGTAAATACATGGGTGTAGAGATGTCAGAAAAATAACCCTTTCTTAAATCTCATTCAAGCCTTTACACTTTCTATTCCTTCTGTCTTGTATTTCTTCTTGGTATTAGAGCCAGGGTGGTCCGACCACAATGAGGGTGTTGCAAGTTCGGCACCACCCATTCGGGAATGGTGTGAAGAGACATTGTTGATGGTTTGTGGTATGAGGAGACGGTGGTGATTCTAAAATTTACATATTTTTAAACGTGTATGAAGGGGAATGATATGAGGAAACATTGTTTATTCTTTCATCTACATATTTTAAATATTTGTATGAGGGAGAATAGTTTGAGGAGACATTATTGATTCTTCCATCTACATATTTCAAATATGTGTATGAAGGGAAATGATCTGAGCAGACATTGTTGGTTGTTTATGGTATGAGGAAACATGGTTTGTTGTTTATGGTATGAGGAGACATTGTTGATTGTTTATGGTTTGAGGAGACACTTTGATTAGTTGATCGGCACTTCATTCGAGAAAAAAATCATCTCCGGTCTGATTTGTACTCTGCGGCTTACAGAATTCTGACGAAGGTTGTTATAAGGCCCTGTTTGAGGATGCATTGTTCAAGTTAGACGTCTCAGATATCCACGCACCAACTTGAGGGGGAGTGTTAGCCGCTATATGTTAAGCCTAGAATCATAGGATTTGAACACGTAATTATTGTCATAATTAGTAAGCGTAACTAGTGGGATTTGACCACTGACTAATATAAATACATGGGTGTAAAGATGTCAGAAAAATAACCCTTTCTTAAATCTAATTCTAAGCCTTCACATATTTCTCTTGTATTCCCTATATCTTATATCTTATATTTTTTATTTCTTCTTTAACAAAACAAGTTTTAGTGTAATATGGAGCCATGATGAACCTAGTAAAAAAAGTGTAAAAAGTCTCTCTCTCTCTCTCTCTCTCGGCTTTGGTTTTCTGTTGCTTGTAGTTTCATGGCTCTGAAACCACCATATATTTCAGGATCTTCCCAACTATGCTCAGCACACTGTACCCATCTTTTCACTCCCTCAAGAATGGCTATGGTGCGAGTCATGGTGTGGTAATGCCACAAAATCCAAGGCAAAAACCATTGACCTCTGCAACAATCCCATGACAAAGGAGCCCAAGCTTCAGGTAAGTAGAAATTCCTCAATATCCCTCCTCTCTCCGTTCACTCTTACCTGCATTTCTTCTCTCCATGTACTAATTTATTTTCTCTTGACATACTCTAGGGTGCTAAAAGAATAGTTGCAGAGTGGCCGGATCTTGACTTGGAAGCAAGAACCTTCACTGCAAAAATCTTAGGTGAAGATGTTGATCCCCAAGAACAGGTGGTATCCCCTACTCAGTCAGAAAACAAAGTCAGCAACCCTCCACCAGAAGACATTGAATCAAAGTCAGAGTTGTGAATTTAGGTCCAGCATCAATTCAAGATCCTCTGAATTTATACTTGGAGATTGTGGGACCAATATAATGGATATGAGGTCTTTCTTGACCTTGTGCTTCTACTTTACATTGGAGAATTTTGACTCTTTACTCTTCAGCAAGTCAAACTGAGAGAATGCAAAAGTTTTGTTCCAAGCCACTCTCCTCATGCAGCAAGGACCCTTGGAAGTTACGCCGGTCAATTGGTTTGCCTACTGTAACCCTATTTAGAACCCTATAGCACCTATTAATGTTTATTTTGTCACGTATCCTCAACCAGGCCTTTAGAAATCCAATAGACTTTGACAGTAGACGCCAGTGAAGGAATCTGCAAGGTTTTGATGGGAGATGTTTGTTCACTTAATTTGTGGAAAAGTTTTAGAAGGAAAATGATGGAATTTTCAATGTTCCATTTCGGAGAACACTTGGGTAATAACTATAATGGCTTACTCATGCTAGATATTTTGTCACATATAGATGAAAAACTGTTTACCCTTAAACTGAAGGCCAGCTCAGTTTAGTAGTTACATTTTATTATTTTGAACGAATCCACAAAAGTGGATACATTAGACCATAAAGGGTTCAAGATTAACTTTTAATTTGATGTTAATTGCATATGTCTAGTGGAGTTTGTGAATTTTCTACTGAATAATTTATTGCTATGGTACTTTTTTGAATGATATTCATTTATGAGGTCTAAATGGTGTTTTTTTTTTAATCAATATTATTGTTAGTATTAAAGTACTATATATATTGTTGGTTAGTAAATTGGGAATGAAATTCTGCTGTTATGTGTGTGGTGTAGTGGGATGCATGGAGATATTCAAATGTTATGGTTAATGTACCAAAATTATATATATTTTTAAAATTATATCATTAAGGAAGCGTGTGTAAACATCATACGTAATAATCTTTCCCCACATGCATATGCTCGGACAATCTCAAAAACTACATGAGATTATGAGGATTTCTATTGAATAGAAAAAATTAAATAAAACTTTTCATCATTGGTTGACAATTGCCAACTTTTTGTTCAAATGACTAATTGTGGGAGAGAAATCCATGGAAATTTAATCAACATTTTAGAAAAATAACCTCATTTGCATAATATATTCTAACTACATTTACATGGTCATCACACTAATATGGGACACGGGTATGACTTGGGTACGGCAAATTTTACGAACAAGAAGTATACGATGATAAAATAATAATATATATTTTTACTACATATAAAATTTTAATTTCACTTATAATTTTATTTATATTAATAGACATAACTCATTTACATTAATTTCAACCAAACTTTTATTAAAATAAAAACAATAAATAAATAGTATATCTATATATCCGATAACTAGTATAGTTAAATTTGTAACCAAAAACATTGAAAAAGATATAAATTTTCAATGTTATCTTTTTGGTCTTCCCACATTGACGGGTTATCTTCTCTCTCCTCTAAACAGTGTCTCTATTTCCTCTGTCTCCCTTGTTTTTCATTGATAACTCTATTTTACAATATAGTGATATATGAATGCATATGCATACAGAAATTCAATCAAACCATTAAAAAAAGATTCTCTTTAATACTGTGAATCAAATTGGGACTCGGTAAGACTTCCATAGGTTCTTCATCACCTCTTTGTTGCTTTCCCCTCTCTTCCAATTGCTCTCTCATCCCCTCCATCTCTAGATCTATAGTTGCGTTTGGTGTGTTGTTTTCGATCGATCCACACACATATCTTCATCTCTATTTTTTTTCTAACAAAATTCTGAACTGTCGTGTCCTCAGAAGTGTCCCGACCCAGACCGTGTCCTCCGGCGTGTTCAACTTGAAAAAAAAATAAATAAATAAAAAATAGGGCACCTGTAAAAGAGTGTCGGACATGTGTCCAAGACTGGTACTTCGCCCCTACCCTGCGTGTCCAAGCTTCATAGGTCAGTCATCAACTAGTCCTTGAATAAAACAAATTTAGAACAATAAACTCATTTGCATGATTCATGTAACAAATGAAAATTCTCTCAAATACACCAAGGCTATGTTTGCTAGGCATGGAATTGAAACTTTGGAATTGGAACCGGAATTTTGGAATTGGAAAAAACCAAAATTATCTCCAATTCCAAGGCTCCAATTTCATGTCGCCAAACACAGCCCAAGTCTTGAGTATCATTACAACAAAGTTGCAGCAGCAAAAGTATCCTAAATTGGCCAAAAGAATCGTATCCATTACAATGATATTGATGTGAACAAGGTCTCAGAGAATCTGTGCTGTACATCATTATATGGTATGGCAATTACAGTCAAGGAAGTATCAATAAACCAATTAGATCATTGGCCCAACATTGTGCTTAATGAATCAAACAGTAGTAGAGAGTATTCAGGGTTTTTCACTACTCAGTATATCAAATTCAAATAAATTGTCCGACTTCTAATAACTTTATGGAGGATACTGTGCCAATAATCCTTTCACGACCTTTCAACTTGTCCCCAATCACAGAGCGTAACATCATGGGAAAGGAGCAGCTTCACCATTTTACCAAAACAGCAGAACAGAACCATTACCAAAACTTATTGCACTCTACCATGGAAAGAAAACAAGTATAGTGATGTTGTAGACCAATTTGCTGAAGGCTAACCACAAAGATGAGAAAAAACAATTATAAATAACACGAACCAAGTGCAAGGAGATAGCTGGATGCAACATTGCTTTTGTTACCATGAACATCAGATGTCGGCGCTTGATGAAGGAAGGCATTCTTCATAAGTAGTTGCATGGAAAGAAAGCAAGTACTATACGTCAAATCCTGGCATTGCAAACTGAGCGGCAAAGTTTTCAACTCGAGTCCGAAGCTCTACAATGTCTTTGTTATTCTGAAGACCCTTCAAGAAAGCCTTCTGCAACTTCCCATGTTCTCTCTGCACTGAACTCGCAATCTGTACAGCTCTGAGAAGAAAGTCGGCCATTGTCTCAAAATCAGCTTCTAGACAACCTCTTGAGGTCATAGCAGGAGTACCTGAAGGCAGGAACACGAGAACTTAATAACAGAAGCACACTTGTTCGGTTACATACCACCTCGTGAAGCTTAATAATTTGCAAATTAAAATTTAGTTTAGTTATTTACTTACCAATCCTCACTCCTCCAGATGTTATAGTCCCATTATCACCAAACATGGCAATTTTATTGATAGTAATGTGACACATCTCGCAGACCGTCTCAAAATATTTACCTACCACGCACAAAATTAGGAAAAAAAGATAAGGACGTGATTCAATGTCAAAGCTTTATGTAACAGAAATCAAAATAAATAACATAACGCACAACAACAATAACTTCAATCCGAAAACTCTCAATTATAGTTTTGCACGGTAGTTTTGAAGTAACAGTATAACAGATGAAAGTGAGCTATATTTCTTTCCAGTAACAGAATTGTTGAACTCGAAGAAGAATTGCAACTACATTTTAGCTAACAATATGTTCACCAGGATACAGAAAGTTCCACTTCCGTTTGATTATCCCCTTGAAGTGTGTGTGGAGTGTAATGATTCTTTTTGCTTGACGGGAGAAAGGAGGAATAGGGGAATAGACTTGATATTAAGTAAAACAATTAAAGTCGATCCCTTCATGTGTTTCATCTTTTTCAAGAATGTATTCTAAGAATGAAAGTAAAATGTTATGCTGGATATGCTACCTGTTAGTCCAAGAGTCCTTAAATCCCAAAGTAATAAATGATTGTCGGTGCCTCCTGTTACCAGTCTACAATTTCTTCTCAGTAAAGCAGATGCTAAAGCCTGGGCATTTTTCTTCACCTGTTGCATATATGCCTTGTACTCTGGAGTAGCCACTTGTTTCATGGCTATTGCAAGAGCAGCAATGTGATTATTGTGGGGTCCCCCTTGCAGTGCTGGGAAAACAGCAAAATTTATCTTTTCTTCAAACTCATATCTTTCGTTCCCATCACTTTGACCCGAAAGGGAACCTCTCTTCCCAGGCTTCAAACCCTTCCTGAAAAAAATAATACCTCCCCTAGGACCTCGAAGACTTTTATGGGTTGTTGAGGTAACAATGTCACAGAATTCAAATGGATTTGCGCACTCCTACAGAAACAATCACCAGACACAGGATTAGGAGAGAATGTGGTAGAATAAATTTTGAAAGAGATAATATGAATTCACTTTCATGAGTTAATTTCATTAAACAAGAAAGAAACTACAGAGAAGGATACAAAACCAATAGCAAATTAGTAAGTTCACACAGTGGAAGTAGATTTATAAAATCGAAATAGGTGCGACTAGGACAAGAAGCTCAAAAATTCCCCTAGAAATCATGAGAACACCCTCCAACTCAACATTCGGTAGATGAATCAGGCGCAATAGATCAACTTATTCACTGTTATTAAGAAAACCATCAACATGAAAAGCACATTATTATGTGCAACAACCATATTGTATCGATATTGACGGATTCTTCCGCTGAGAATTTAAAAAATGTCACAAAGAGAACATTGCCTCACTGAATGCATGTCGACTAGCAAGTGCAGTGGTACATTTCATTCATAATTTTACCCATGAAAAAACATGTCCAACAACTCCACAAAGCCTTTTCTCAATTGCTTGGATCAGTTACATCAATCCTACCATTATGCTTTATCTAGGGCAATAATTTCAATCCAAGCACGTATTATAATATTTTTCCTTACTATCTCAAACAATTTAAACACTGAACCTAAAATATGAACTCAAAAGAGCAAGCAGGTAGGTACTACCATTAAAATAAACAACTGGGCATGAATCAAAAGAACAGAAAAGTAAAGCAAGCATCAAGAATCAAGGACACAAACTTATATCAGAAACTAAACATTAATAAAAAGTTTCACCTTGGCAGCAACAAGACCGCTAATTTGAGCCATGTCACACATCAAAACTGCTCCACACTTATCAGCAATTTGTCTAAACCTCGCATATTCCAACTCCCGAGGGTATGAACTCCCACCACAAATAAGTATCTTGGGGCGAAAATCGAGTGCCCTCTCCTCAAGCTTGTCATAATCTATATACCCTGTTTGTGGATTCGCCTTATACGGGAAGCTTTCAAAGAATATAGAAGCCCCAGAAACTTTCCTCCCATTTGGAGTATGGTACCCATGACTGGTGTTCCCTCCAGAAGGAGTATCCAATCCCATTATTCGATCACCGGGTAATAGCAGACCTGTATACACTGCAAAATTCGCAGATGTACATGAATATGGCTGAACATTTACACCCCAATTCTCCGATTTCAGACTGAAAGCGGCCAAAGCTCTCTCACAACAAAGCAATTCAATCTCATCTATGTATTGATTACCACAATAGTACCTCGCACCCGGCATTCCTTCTGAGTACTTATTCGTCAAATGGCTACCGAGAGCTTCCATCACTGCTCTGCACACGAAATTCTCTGATGCTATCAATTCGATTCCTTTGAATTGCCTATGCTTCTCCTTCTCCATTATCTCAAAAACATCAGGATCAGCGTCGCAAAGGGACTGGTTGCCCCAAGTCCGCACAATTTTTCTTCGCGATTCGAGACTTTGTTGATTAATCGAAACCCATTTCGAAATCGACGAAGAAGATGAAGACGAAGACTCACCGTCCCTTTTCCTCTTGACGCACATCGATTGACCCAGAATCCTGAACTCTTTGGTTTCTCTCTCATCATCACCATTTCGTATTTCCTCATCTTTGTGGACGTCTTTGTGATTCTCCTTCTCCGTCGTCTGCTGCTCCATCAGCTGCAGCGGAATAGACGGAACCGGGTGGGTCGGGTGGCGGAAACTCGAGTCTATCTGGAACGAGATGGAGTCGTCGGCGATTGGGGTCCGGTGAGGCGTCGATGCGTGAGAGAGAAACCCTAGAGAGAGATTGGATTGCGCGTGATGGGACAAGTCCATAGTTTGAAAACCAAAATGAGCCGAAACAAAACCCTAACAATGGCTTCGAAATTCAAGGCTGGGAACAACAATAACAGCAACATAAACAGCGACAACTACAGCGTCTGAAACAACAATTACAATGGCAGTATCGATACGTTGTGGTTGAGTGTGTGGTAGAAACTTCCATGGAATGTCTGGTAAACCCTAACCCTAATTTTCAACTCTCTCAGCTAATAAAATATGGCGTAGCCTTTGACAAAGACGGGTGGGTACGAAAGGGAATGAACCTGGACGGGTTTCCGGATATCTCGTCCGGTGATCTGTTCTTCATTGTGGGACCCGATCTTACGCGGTACTAAAAAGATGTGAGCTGTTTAACTTTGAACTGAATTCTGTGGTACCAACAAAACTTTAATTCTACATTCGCTCACGTCAAATTGATATCTTGAAATTAAATTTGAAAAAAATTAATTTAAATTTTGAATTAATTTCTTCTGATTTCAATTTCAACTCTAAAACACTATAAAAAAATAAAAGATTTAGGGTAAAAAGATAAACTTGACTTTCTTGATGATTTTATTTAATTCAAAATTCGATAAGGCATGAGAAGTTAATTATGTTGCATTATTAAGGCATGTGAAGTTAATTATGTTGCATTATTAAATCTCGATATAATATGTTACATGAATGTTATATTTTCGATATATATGTATTGCATAAATTTGTGTATTATTAGTGTTATATCACCTATTTAAAATGATCATGATCAACTAATATCTTTGTTATTATGATATACAAGTCAACTTTAGTAAATAATTAGTTTAAAGATACCTAGCACGAAAAATACTAACTAAATAAAGTAAATTTTCAAATTTTTCTTCAAATATTTTGGTAGCATATAGAAAGTTGCTGATATAGAAAAAATAAAATAAAAAATTTTTAAGACTCCATTTGTTTCGACGTAAAATATTTTTTTTTGAAAATATTTTTTTTTTTTTGGTAAAATATTCTATTATTTTTTTTTTTTCAGTGTTTAGCAAATGTCCCAGTCGAGGTTGAAGTAGAGTCCATCTGGTTAGGCGTGTAAAATAACTTCTAAAAATTGATAGATAAATTATTTTTGTTAAATTTTAATATTTTTTTTTTTCGTAAATATTTTACGATAACCAAACACCAAAAAATATATATATATTTTCTAAAAAATATTTTATATTCAAACAAATATAGCCTTAATAAGAAAGTTTTTACATAAATGAGTTTGGAGGAATGTCTTCAACAAAAATAAAATAATTAATTAAAATAAAATTTGGTAATCGTGCATTTCACAACTCCTTTTAAATAAAAAATTATTTATACATTTGGTGATAAAATTAAAGAAGTTATTTTACTAATAAAATTATTTTCATTTTACAATGTTATTCTCGTTTGATAAAGATAAATTTAAATTAAATCTTATAAAAATTAATAGTACTAAAAAAATCAACATCATCCTTCCAATCATCCCACCACGTGGCTCATTTATAAATAACTCATGAAAGATGGCGTCACTTTCGGAAATAGGAAATTAATGGCAAATTTCTGTTTTTATGATAATTCCAAATTAAAGTAAGACACATCAGTACGAAGGGAATGAACCTGGACTACTTTTATATCAATGTTCACAGGTACTTCTGGACCTCAAGTATAATATGATTTTTTTTAGCGGGGCAGTTGTCTTTCAAATCCAGCGAATTAGCGTCTACCCTAAATTTTAGAGTGATAGAGATTTCAACAACCTACATCTATTAATTTAAAATTTAATACTACTTACGTTTAAAATAAAATTTAAAAAAATCAGATATCTAAAGTGTTCGACGAAACACTATAACAAACCTACAAAAAAAAATAAATAAATAAATATTTACCCAGAAAAAAACATATAAAAAAAAGTAAATAGCGTACGTCTGTCTAAATAGTGCGTACTCTTAACATAAATCTTTAATAATTAAATCTATAAAAGCTATAAAACAAATATACATAACATGACACTAAAAAAATTGATGCCAAATTTGAAGAGAACGTATAAGATGCAATACTGTACAACATTTTCCATCTTCTAACATTGATAGAACCAAGATATTCCAAAAGCCAAAGAAAAATTGGCTAAAATTTTCTCTCTTACAAGGAACAGAAAATTAACAATCTGTCACGATAATTAAATCTACCCACTAAATTCATAGTCTTGGATCATATTAGGATCTCGATTACAGACTTGTTTTGCCGGTGTTGACCATGCCGGTAGAACTCGACCTGAATTATTCTGATTAACATTCAAACTTGAGCCATCATTTTCAACATCATAGTAGAAATCGTCAAAATCCAGATCAACATCTGCACATTGGTTGAAATAGTCTTGGTCCCTACAATCAATAGCCGCAGTACTTTTGTCCTGCTTTTTCAGCACCCTTTTTTTCGATCGACCGGTGCTTCGGGCGAAGTCTTCATCATCTTTTGGATTTGCATTTGAAACACTAACACTGTCTCTTCTCCTCTTCACTGAATCAGTACTGTCATTACTGCTGCTGCCTTTTTTGTCTGTGCCGTAGTACTCCGCCACCGTAGCTTTAATGGTTTCCAATACCCGATCTCCGTACTTGCTAACCTTTGCCCTGAATTAAGCCAAAATGTTCAGTAAAATGTTTTTTTTTCCCTGAGTAGATTATGATTTCAAAGGACTTTAAATCTTACTTGCCAATGCCGTTAATCTCCAGAAGTTCTTCTTTAGTTTTGGGAATTTTCTTGCTAATCTGCTGCAACGTTGCATTTCTAGTTCAACCAAAAACAGCAAGTTAAACGACGTTGTGTTCTTCAATCCATTATGCTCTTAGTGACTAATAATAAGGAAGAAATGACGAGAAACTGTAAATACTAAAGCATACACTCCTGCCCAAAATCTGTTCTTTTCCTTGCTCATTTTTCGCCAATACCAGATGGATCTTAAGAAAAATTATTGTTATTAAATAAGTGGATAAAGAATGCAACAGAGATGGAAATGCAAGTGGGCTCACCCAAATATGTGGTATGCCATGACCCCCTCCCCAGCTTCCTTAACAAGAACAGTTCGAAGCATTCGAAGAGAGGAATATAGTTTGGCTGACAGGTTCTGTACAAAAATGTATAAAGTTCTAACATTTACGGTAGTAATAAGAAGCAGCTAAGGAAGAGACAAACGAATATTTAGAAAAATACCAAGTCTACTTCAGATTGAGGTTGGAGAGGAGTGTCCATTTGTGGAGGACTAAGCTTCCCCGACATTAGTGAGCTTTTTGCTGGAGTTGCTTCAGATTTGCTCGGTTTAGATGCTTTAACGGAGGAAGGGAACCTGCAAGGTAAGTCATCTGCATCAGCATGGCAGTTGTGCATGTCAATTAAACCAAAAAGATCAACGATGGAATCCTAACGAATTTAAGGTTATTAATTGATTGATAGGATAACTTAAGTGGCATTAGGCCAGACAAGGTTGAACAAAAGTTCAATCACATTGGTATAGAGAAAGTGATTACTATTTTTTAGCAATAAAATATTACTTCATGAGTTCAAATAAATTCAATATCTTTTAGGAAAAATAAGACAATATGTAAGAAAAAAAACATCCCATGAAGCCCGTCCTTAATTAGAAAAGACCTTCAAACTATGATCACAAGGATTGCCAACAAAGAATCATGGGCGTGTTGATACAAATGTGAACTTCAGCATCACAAACCACCGAATCTTTAGTTTATTTAGTACACATTTGTATATTGAGACCGTAATAATAGCTTAAGTGAAGAATTGGCACAGCTATCTGGCCGTACACAGCGAAGATGCACTGTTACATTTTTCACATCATAATCAAAACACTTGGCTTGATAATTGAGAATTGATTGGATCGATAGTCAAGCAGTTTAAATCCATCAGTTGTGGCCAGTTGGACTTGGGATCAATCCAGATGGTTTTTGAGGTATAATTTTTTGGCAAGAAGTGAAACTCTCGAAATACATATAGATATAGATGTATATATAGAGTAGACGGTCAGATGCAGATCTCCAAAATCAACAGGCATACAACTGGATGTATCAGTGAAGTGCCTTGTTGAACATGCAACTCCAATAGATTTCCAACATATGCAGAATGCTGTCAGCAAGCATCTGACACACTCATAAGAAAATATCGCTCACGTATCGCAAGAATATAAGCTAAATCACATATTTTGGCAAACAAACAGCAGAACAGGAAAATTAGCAAGGATTTTCAAAAGACTGAACCTTAATTTAATTGTCTGACCACCGATGCGTAGATTGTAAGCCTTGGATTCATTCACCTGAAGACAAAAATTCAAAATGGTAATTCCGTATTACAATTCTGTGAACCAGTCATAGAGGATAAAAAAGAAATCTTCTACTATGACGAATCAACTATTGAAGGAATTAAAACAATAACAATTTCCACCTTTAATATTGATGACACAGATCCATAAAGATCACTTTTCTTTACATCCTCCGCAAGAAAATCTTCAGTAACAAGATGACGCAATATACGGGAGGCTTCACCCTTGGCTAGTCGTTTTCCAGCTCCGTGTAGGCTTACACTATCATGTCTATGTTTCTTGACCTAGGTTTTCAGATTAGCAAACAGAAGGTAAGGTTGATAAAAAGCAAGAACAAAGAAAGCAAACTACAAGTCACCATTAGGACTTACAAATTGGCTTAAGGAACCCCGGTAGACTTCCAAGATATGAGATGATGAAAACTGCTGCCCTGTTAACTTCACCAATTCAACCTATACAACAACAGAGTTTTAAAATAACTTTTGGGAACAACAGTGAAGGACTAAAATATATCTAAATGAACAACTGCGTGTACATTATTTAACATAGAAATAACATGAAAAGGGAACCAACAACCAATTAAGTGAGCATGCTTACAAACCACTATAAGGGTTGTAGCCTTGTGGTATCTCCTTTACCTTCTACAGTGGAAGGTCAAGGATTTGAGTCCCGTAACGGGACAAAAATGAGTGTGTTAGTCTCCATGGTATTAGAGGATATATAAATATATGTTTACAAACCAATTGCTTTGCAATGTCAGTGACATCCTTCTCAATAAAGCTTTTAATCTTAGAACAGTTGTCACATGTTTTTCTGCAGTTGCCAGAATCAAACTTTTCCCCAAAATGAACAAGCTGAAGGAGACGTCGACAATCAACATCATTTTCACAGTAACTGACCTGAAAGTAGTTCAATTCAGAAACCCACAACTAATTGAACCTAACTATGATGTCAACGACAACAACAATAGAAAGCTTATATAATTTACCATTCGTAGGAGATTTTCAGTATTTGTTTCCAGCACCCTCCCTGAATTTGCTGCATTCATACGATTATACCCAGAAACAAAAGGACTTTGCTCTGCAACTCCTTGACTAATCATATGCTTGACTCGAATCTGCAGAAGAGTAGAAGAGGAATATGCAAGCATAAAGAGGTGATTCAAGAAAAAGAAGAGATTGATATTGCACATTACCTACAATTGCAGTCTAAATCAGGATGTTAATTTCTAAACTTACAAGCAACAGAGAGAATTGGTTAAAATACCGTAACTTACATAATCACTATAACTGTAATACAACACACAAGATGAACGCTGGCCATCTCTACCAGCACGCCCACACTCCTGAAACATGAAGAAAAAGCTCTTAAATTAGGTTTGTCCAACACTATTGTGCCTCAACCATCACAAATCACTATCAAAAAGTGGTGGTGGTGGGGGAAAATCAATAAAAATTTCACAACTTACCTGATGGTAGCCTTCAATGGATTTTGGAAGAGAATGATGAATCACAAACCGAACATCTGGTTTATTGATACCTGAAATGACTATGTCAATATATTGGCTGTTATCAGTTTATAAAGGCAGCAACCAGTAGTAATCAATTATACCCATTCCAAATGCCACCGTTGCACATATTATATTGATCTCATCCTTGCTCCATTGTTTCTGAACAGAAGCACGTTGAGCAGGATCCATGCTACCATGGTAAAATGCTGCTCTGTGTCCGCATTCCTGAACAACGAATATACTATCATAAGTAGTAACAAAAGATATCACTCATCTCTCAAAGAGAGATTTCATTTAAACAATATACCCATTTTTGATGGTTAAACTACTATCTATTCTATCATCACACTTCCGAGCTATGTTTCAATTGTTCAGCAACCTTGCTCATAACTACAAGCTAAGAGATACGATCCAAAAGACAGGAAATCAAATAAATTTTATCAATTGTGGAAGTCTGGCAGATGTTAAAATAATCTTAAATGACCACCCACTCACAGATATAAACTGAACAGATGATCCATTTTTGAGAAAATAAAGAAAAGAAAATTAAGTCAACAATTATTTAACTTGCCTTTAAAAAATTAGAAATACTTCATTTTGTACACGTTATCATAATGTACTAAACCCTCCCTCAAAAAAAAAAAAAAAAAAAAAAAAAGAAAAAGAAAAGAAAGAAAGAAGGAAAAGCAACCACAAGAAAGAGATGAACCTGTACTAATCAACAAAAGAAAAAAAATAAAAATAAAAAGAAAGAAAGGAAGGAAGAAAGGGATGAACCTGTAACTTTTCAGCAACTTTTTCACAGTCCATTCTAGAAAGACAATAAATAATTCCGCATTCATCAAAATGATTTTCTTTAATGAAGTTGTCAATATCGTCCACACATTTTTTGGTCTTGGGGATAACAGAATACCTGCAATATTCACAAAGTGAGGTCATTTCAACTTCCATTAACAATATATGTCTATTCAACACTCACCATAAATTTGGACGGTTGAAACTTTGACGAAAAATAATGCAGTTAACAAGACCAAGAGCCTGCACAACATCTTCTTTGACACTGGCTGTGGCAGTAGCAGTCAAAGCCAAAACTGGCGTATTTGGAAACTTCTGTTTTAAAATACCAAGGCCCTGAAGATGGTAGAACTAAGTGGTTTAACATCAACTAATAGATATATTATCCACAGCACAGAGTGTAATGGTTTTGGTAGGGCACAACCTGATAATCTGGTCTAAAATCGTGTCCCCATTGGCTTACACAATGAGCTTCATCAATAACAATCCTAGCGAGAGATTCACGAGCATGTAGGCTCTCCAATTGTCGCAACAGAAAATCGCTTCTGCATTCAAGTAGTGGTCATTAAGACATTTAGAACCAGATAGAAGTTATAAAATGAGCAATATATTCCACAAGCACATAACTAATTCATCTTTATAGAGTTGGTCCTTGGTAGTCAACCTAAAAGATCTCATCATTCTCCATAATATTTTGCATTTGGTTCAAATTATCTTTCATCCACATTGTTACGACAAACGCAGCGAACCAAGAACAAATCACGAAACGACAGAAAAAATAAACACGCCACACAAAGAACACAAAGATTTAGCATGGTTCGGCACAAGTTGTGCCTACATCTACAGTGAAGATCCGTGATTTCACTATGCAAAAAAAAGGAGATTACAAGTTTCAGCCCACCAAACCCTAGTTCTTCCTCTCTATCTTTCTCTCCGATTTACAGTATTCTCTCTAATCCCACTCCAAACCCTAAACGACCTTATATATCAGGCTACAAGAGAGTACCAAACAGGGTCCACAATCCGCAAGCAAAAAAAGCTCAATCATCAGGTCGTCAGGAAGATTTTGACCCGAAACCAAATTCGGGCCACAGCATCACACACATTAACCAAAGGGATAAAGCACAAAAATCTTGAATGACATTCATTCCAAAGCACAGTTGCATGAATGTGCTTCCTCTTTGCTTGAAGTTATATTTCAAAAGTAGTTCAAGAAGTTATTAATTTTCAGAAGATCGCTAATAGTTATGGAGTAGGTAAATCACATGAATAACAATTTTATGGATAAAATAACTGATAGGAATTCAACTAACAAAATAAGTTCGATCAACAGTAGGCTCAGCTTAACCAAGTTTATGAACCGTTAAGGGAGCCTTGACAAATTTAGGAATCAAAGAGAAAATTGCTTTGAAAACACTTCAAAATGTTAACAAGCAATATAAACCAAATGAGGTGTGGTTAAAAAAGGGCAAGCTTCTTGATTATGTTGTCATCATTAATTTGCATTATTATGGTAAAAGGCTAGGACCATCATATAGAGATCAATGTTAGACTAGACTGGTTAGCAGACTCTAATAGGCTTGTAAAAAAGCTCAAGCTGGACAACGCGTGTGACTATAAGAACCAGCTCAAACATGCCAGTTAAGCTGAAATCAAGCTCAGTTCAGAATTCAGATCCAAAGAAGCCTAACCTAAAGAAACCAATGTTTGGCTTGGCTAGGCTCATTTGCTCCTATAGAGTTAGATGCCTCAGCATAATGATGCAAGTTGTTACTTTTAATGTATGTCGAGGAAGAAAGTGAACCCGTATATCCGCTAATTCCATAACTTGATAAAATGTCCAAATTTGTGGAAAATGAGTAGAAGAGTTCGAATGTTGTCAATCTTGTCCAACTATTCCCAATTTAAAACATGAATAGAACATGATCTAACTGATATAATGGGAATATTCAGTCATACAACCCGTGATTTTCAACTTTTAACCAAACACTAGAAATCTTTTGAAGAACCCCCGATGAAATTTAGAAAATTTTACCTTGTGTGCAGCATTGCTTGGAACAAACCTAGCCTCTTATTAAAATAAAGCCCCTGGCGGGGAAACTAGAAATCAAGATTTTAGGGAATGTAATAGAATGGACTATATAAAATTAGAATCATGATCGTGCTTCTTTTAATGTATGATTAGAAAATAACTACAGTAAAAATGGTTCCCTTTACACAATAAAATCTTTTTTTGTTTATAAGTAAACTTTAATAAAGAAAGCGCTCAGAAGGGGAGCGAAACCCAAAGACAAACACAAAGACAAACAAAAGGCAAAAAAGAGCCTCAAGCCTTCAAAGAGGCCAAAAAAAACAACAATCTCCTCTATAGATCTATAATCTCTCCCTAAAACCCAACAAAAAGGGTGGAAATAATAGAAAACTTAAGCATAGAAGAAGGCTTCTCCTTTCCATCGAAATAGCGCCGATTCCTCTCGAGCCAAATACACCACCAAATACAAAGAGGAGCAGCCCTCCAAGCATCCTCATCCTTTACACAATAAAATCTCAAAAAGGATCCGCATCCTCATCTGTATAGTTAGAAGCATTCTTGGCCAACTCAATGCAAGGCATTTAAAAAGCACCATGTGTCTCATAACTTCCTTTATAAGGCTTTTATAATGCATTCCTAGGCCAATTATTTATAAGGAACTCATTGTGTAACCTAACCTTCCTTGATCTGTGGCAGTGTGAATGACGTCAGCAACGCACTCCTCGCACGTATGATTTAAAAGCATATTCTGGTAAAACAACTCCTTCTAACAGAAGAGCCAGCACAAAGTGTAAAATGGGAAATATAATAGAATAGCCACTTTCTGGTACGCCCTCAAGTTAACTTAACATTATCAGTGATACCTGGTTTCAAAAGTAATCATAATTTCGTCTTAGAAAGAATAAAAAACAAGGAAAAATATTCTAACATGAAAACTTTCATCTTGTATTAATTTATTATTAGGCAACAAAAGTTGAAACCCTAGTCCATCTTTGCAGCACCCTCAAATGATGGGAACCAACACTAGGTAAAGAAAATATAATTAAATAAAACAAAAATCAAATTCTTGACCCAACTGCCAACCTCCCTTAGATGCCATGTCAATAATTTAAATACTATGTTACAATAGCTTTGGCTCAATTTGCAGTAACTCATGAGTCATTTATCTCTATGACAATGTTTGACAACATACTTGTCCAAATCTGTTCTCTTAATAACTTTAAAGCGATTTGAACCAGAAGTGCTGCCATGATTTGTGGGTGAATATCATAAACTGAGAAACGAAACACTCACTTAGCAACTTTCTCTGGTGTGACATATAATAGCTTGTATTTACAATAATCGGAACTAAGCTCTCTAAGAATCTCCTGTTGCTCAGTCCACTCCATGCTGGCACTTAAATAAGCAGCGGGTATGTTTGCCTATAGGGTAGAAAAAAAAAAATAACGAGTGAAGTTATATAATACATGCCTATGAAATTAAGGTAAAAATAAAGTTATCCGAAGAAGAAAAAAAGTATAGTAAATTTTTCTAAACGGATATCAATAATGTAACAAAAGTCACCTGCAATAGATGCATTATCTGATCTTGGATCAATGAAACAAGAGGTGAAATTACCAAAGTTATTCCTGGACAAATCAGAGCAGGGAGCTGCAAGAAAACAGTATTAAAAACATGTCCAATCCAAGTCCAATTTAGAAGTTACTGCAAAAATTCTAATATCCTAGAAAAGCGGAAGGAACTCTAAAATATGCACACACAAAATACCAGCCACTAAGCACAAAAATTTTGCATCACAAACTTTCGCAACATTGAACAAAGATAATTCACTTCACCAAAATCCGACCTGGAATGGTACGCCAACCAATTCGGAAAGACATTAAGTGCATATTATCATTTCATTGAAATGGAGAAACCGTGAATAGAAAGTGAAACATAAATCCACATTTATTATCACAATCTGATTATAGATTTTTAGCATTACCAGGCTAAGTATCTCATGGTGAGGATTAAATCAAAATATTTTACCTGATATGTCAGGCTTTTCCCTCCTCCAGTTGGCATTAGAACAAAAACATCGTATCCACTCATTGTTGCATTAATAACCTCTCTTTGGTTGGGTCGAAAGGAGTGATTTCCAAACACTTTCTTGTTATTGGCCTGGGGAAGGACCAATTCACATGAATCAGAACGAAATATATGGAAAATTGAATCTTTTACATTACTATGTATACACACCTCCAGCTTCTTTGTCCAAGGGAAATCCCAGCTACTCCACTTTAAGTCGTTTGAGCCTTCAGTATAATTGACTTGAACATTCTTTGGGACATACGGTTCCCTCTCCACAGGGCCCAATGAAGCACCAAACCTATCAACAGAAGAGAATGAATATGATGATGAATTCCACTTATCACAGCCATTGTGGTCATCATGTAAGTGAACCGGGGCATCAAAACTGGGGCCGGTCCTGAATGCAACTGTTTGTGGGGTCTCATATTGAAATGCTCTAGGAGTGGCAGTGGATGCAGAAAAATGTGACTTTTGTCTCTCCTCATCGCCTGATATAGTACGAAGATGTTTCTCTAGGAGTTGAATTTCTGAATTCAACCGCAACCTAACACAAGAAGTGCAAACAAGTGTGTGAGAAAAAATCTAAAAGTTTCAAAGTAACAATGGAAAGAACAAGGTGCACACAATACAAAAATAGGAGTGCTTAGTGGCGCTCAGGAATCCTATATTCCTTTTTCTTTGTTTGTTTTCCTTGCCTTCAAATCAATCTGGTCTTTCTCGACATTATGAAAAGATTACGGAAATGGGAGAGAGCCGAACCTATCTTGACGAAGCTTCCCAATGTGATCTGGACTAAGGTCAGTAATATTGTCGAGAAGTTCATTAGATATGGCAATTAGCATGTCCTTCATATCTTGTAAATGATTTGCAGCTTCTGCGCAAAGTCCTAGCTATACCAATTTCAGGAATAAAGATTAAGAACCAATAGAACATTGAAATGGCATCAAGATAGAACAGAGTGAAAACTGATTGTAGAATACCTTTGAGCCATGACTACAGGTCGAGCACAATTCTGGTGGCAAACATGTCTCCTCGTGCCTTGCAACATTATTTTTACTTACAGTTGGGGTAATAGGTGGAAACTTCAAAATTGACGGTGGAGGTGTGCAAGTTGATTGGAAGTGCTCCATAACTATTTGGTCCACATCAAGGTTCTGCAAACCGAACTAATAGATGAGAAGCATAAAACTATTCACCAAACTCAACATTTCATACACAAATAACACCATATATATGTACTAAGTTGAACAAAGGCACAGTTTATAATTCAAAATTTTGACTTTACCCCAAAATTGGTCAAGTAAACCCATTTAATTGAACCGACCGGAAGAATCTTGACTTGTTTTACTAAGAAGAATATGATATGACCGTACTAACCAAATGATGTATTTTATGCATTTTTCACAAGTCATAATAATATTAGCTCAGTCTAACAAGATCAAGTTTTGAGCTACCATTCATAACAATGTTGACATAGTCCAAGCTGCACCAAGTCGGCTTGATTTGGTTAATTCCATATGCAACAGAAACTTAACCAGAATGAAGTCAACTTGACTGAACTTGGTAGAATCAAGTAAAAGAAATTTCAATTTGGCTCCCGGTGTTGTAAATTGTGATAGTGATACCTCGAGTATGTCGTCATCATCAATGCCCCCAGGAGTAGTGTCTTCAGACCCTTTCATTTGGCTTGAATGCACGGTGTGATTGCTGGATAATGCACTCTTGAATTGTATACGAGAATTATTGAGCATTAATGTGCAGCCCTCGTTTTTCTCACTTCCAGCTGTAGCCACATGACTGCTGCCTAGTGGAAAAGAAGTGCCCACAAAATTCATGGATTCACCAATTCTGGCGTTAGTTTTGGTGAAATTCTGATGTGTTCGAATATGTCCTGAAATATTATTGTTCACACCAGATGCACACTGTTGAGTAGTTCTTCTGACATCTTGAAATGAATTAGAACTAACATCCTTAACTAGTGGTGCAGTTTTCCCAGGTTTTATATAGTTCCTGCCAGACAAGCGAAGGCTAGAAAGAACTTGCCAAGCCTGCCAAAAGGTTACAATTCAAATTTAAACACCATACTATAAAAAATAATAATTATAACATCAACAACAACAATAAACTTTCTTTAAATTTTATGACTTAGGAAGAAAAAAAGAAAGGTTAAAATGATTAGGCAAAGATTTGTTTAACTTGGGAAATAACTAAGCCCGCACATATAGAACCTAGATTCAAGGAATAAAGGGGCGAGCAAGTGGAGAGAACAAAGAAAGGACAACAAATCCACTAAGCGGAAGCAGACAAAAATTGTATTGACAAAAAATGGTAATACAAGCCATGGTGCCCTGATCACTAAGCAGGACATTCAGCCAACATTTGGTAGGAGGGATGGAACAAGCTTCCATTGTTTAATAGAAGAGACATGATTAGTAGTAGGGAGAAGAAGAGTGAAAGGATAGGAAGAGAGGTGAGACATCCCTCCAGGCCCACCATTTTGCTTCCGTCCAAAAGTGGGTGGAAGAGGAGAGAGAGAAAGTGAAATTTGTTAAATAAAATTGAAATGACATACTAACCTCATTTAAATGTATTAAATTAGTCTAATGATAAAATGATAAATTTCCTTCCCTTCCACCCAACCAAACAAAAGGATGGATGCTTAGACTCTGTTCCCTAGGGATGCCTCACCATCCCTCCTCCTCTCCCATACGTCCATCTTCTCAATTCTCCCACCAAACGGGGCATTCATCATTATCATACTTGCCTTAATCCCATGTGAAAGGGGTCGGCCACATGAATTCTCTTTTTCAACTCTTTTCTATTACAAGTTTTATCATATTATATTTAACTTCTTAAAATCATTTCTAGTATTTCATCACATGTTAACTGTAATCAGCCTCTCTACCTTTTGCATTCTATGCAAACTAATCTTCCTGTTCTTACAGGTACATCAACAGGTCTTCGTTGTATATTTCCATACCACCTAATTCTACTTTCTCTTATTTCATCATTGATTGGTGTCACTATTAATTTCTCTCTCATACTTTGATTAGTAATTGTAACCAATCACTTATAAACTTAATTCTAAAAATTCATGTCTAATAGTTTTATTACCTTTTCAGTTTGTGCACTCTGCGCTCTGTTGACATTCCGAACATGACTAGCCATTGACCTGAAATTATGAAGAGAAGCAATATAATAAAGTAAGGACACAGCGAAGTGCAAATGTTGACCTACTTGGATATAATATAATTACAATCAATATGCATGTCTAAGCAGAAAATTAATACTTAAAACTTAAGGCGTGGTGTTGTATATATAAGATAGACAAAACAAAGGCAATCATTATAGGCCTTCAATTCTTGGAGATAAACACAAATGCAGGAATCTATAAAATTGGCTTTAAATAAGATAAAATTGACCTACCAGATATAAATTAACTTAAATTACTTGAATAAATGAATATCCTAGTATGGACAATCTTTACCCTTGCCATAAGGATGAAATTGTACAAAGATAAAAATGGTTGAAAAATAAATATTTTTTGCATATAAAATTATCTTCTCTAACAACTAAAAGTTCTGTGCCAGATTTCCTTGATTGAAATTTTGCAAATATCCAAAAAAGTATTAAGCAGGCATTTTCTGCGAAAGAGATATACACTTTTAACCAAAAGAGAAATGTCAAAACTAATGCATATTAAAAACTAATAAAGTAACATACCTTGCACCTATAGCTTCTTCAGTACAAGGTTTTTGTGTTGACAAGGAGAAAAGAAAATTTGAACTCAAGAACTTATTTTGGCTCGCGAAATTATCATGGGCATTAGCATGTTGCACCCAATTAACTTTAGGAGATCTGTCAATACATTTAGAACCTCCAAGTGAATTGTTTCCACTGCATTTAAGCCACGCAAAAATGAAACTATCAAGATAACTAAAATAAACAAGAAAGAAATAAAAACAAAAAAACAGTCATTATTCTTGCCTCATGTGCTTTTCCTTGGCCATTAGTTAAACATTATTGCCTACTGCCACCAATAGCCCCTTGCCATAAAAATCACATTAACAAGCAAAAAGCTGGCAAACAATATCCCCCTAAATGCCACACTGGAATAGAAAATCCTACAAAAAGAAAAAGCAATTGGAGACCATGAGTTATTAGGAAAGCTTAAAAGTGAAAGAGTAGGACACAAACAATTAACTGTTCAATGTAGGAAACTAAAAAGAAATGAAGAAAAAATATATATACATTTAGGTCTATAGAAAATAGTATTTGTTCTTGCCTTGAATAACATTCCTTAGTCATTGGTGGAGATGTTGACCTGGTAAGAGTGGTGAATGGTGATTCTCTTGCTCAAAAACCATGCCCGTGTACAAAAAACTGCAATTGAAATTCAGTGTCATTAAAACTAAAGGAGAAAGGTGTTGTGTGCCATAATTAAGAGTAGTTCAAGAAAGAATAAAAAAATCAAGCACTAGTATCAAGAAGTAATGTTGCGATAAATATGCAGTAGATGAGTGCTGAAACTAGGTTGAGCCCTATATGTGTGGCTATCTTGCTTCTTGTCTACATGCGTGCAGCCACAAGTCTATCAAACAGAACACTTCGTGAGTAAAAATTAGTTAGGCAGCTCAAGGAGCATGGCACGCATCACTATTGGTGCAGTTACTCATAAAATGAAGCATTTTACTGTTGTCAGTAAGTTACTCCTGGTCCCTCCAAATTTGATTATCATGCGCCACTACTTCAAGATCATATTTGAAGTCATCTCATCAAAGGCCCCACTACTTCAAGATTCGAATATGTTAACCTATATTGCAAGCATTAGTATCAGTGAGATTCTTCTCATCTGGGTTGCACAGCAGTTGATATGGTCCCAACCACAATTCAAGGCAACCAATTAGACATGCAAAAAGATATTTTTGTTATTCTATTGTTCTCATCTGGGTCACTTGACTATTTTGTTTAATGAGACTCGCTCATCTGGAGCATAAAAATAAAAATTTTATTATTGTTGTTGTTGTTGAGTTGTTAAAATTTGCAACAAACCTGGTCAATTTTCTGAAGCTGTAAAGAGATAGATGCATATAGCAGGCTGCAGACACAGGGAGATGCTTTACAAAGGTTAAAAAAATATTCCTATGAGTTTTAAGGAGCAATCAAAGTATGAAAATAGGTAAAATTAGTTTTAGAAAACAGCCCAAAATACTTATTTTTTATAATAGGAGCCAAAGGAAATGTACTTCCCAGCTATTAAAAAAAAAGGGCAGTTTAATGCCCAAAAAATCTGTCCTCGTGAACCCATCCAACCCCAACTTTTGAAATTAAAACTTAGCATCAGCATAGAGGTCGACCCATTGCAATTAAGATTCAAAATTTGCCACCTCCTTTCAACACTTCACACATTACCCAATGAAATCTTTCAAATGTATACAGACATACACATATAATACACTAGTTATAGCTGAAGATATGTAATAGGAATCGGTCAATAAAATCAGATTAATTAAACCATGAGGTCTCAATGGCATTTACAGAGGCGAGAATTAGATGAAACCCTATTAATGGTATCTAAATTTTGAAATGAAAATGCGAATATATATATACACACACACACACACACATATGTATTAGGGCACTGGATTGAAACATTCAGATAATTTACACAGTACCAAGTATGATTATGCGAGTCTAGACGAGAGCGATATAACTATAAACAAGGATCTGAGTTCATGAAAATGACAATTGAAATTTTAAAATTTTGAGAAAATAAAAGAAATACGTGGAAATGACTGACCGTTGAGGATACGGATTCGACCGTCACTCGCGAGTGATCTCCGAGGATAAGTGCTCTGTGCAATTGGTTTGCTGGTGGTCGCCGATAGAAAGAGAAAGTGCAAGTTCTAGAGAGATAGATAGCGGGGGAGAGGGCGGTCTTCAAAAATTATTGCGCGTTGCCATTGGCGGGATAATTCTGCAGATTTAGGGCTTGCCATTTCCAACCCGGCCCGTTTAGCCAAACATGGTAGATTAGGGTCGGGCTTTTCATTTTGATTCAATTTTTTATGAACTACGGTTAGTGAGTCTCAAAAAAATAGAAAATAATTTTGTTTTCTTGAGTGATTAACAAAAAAAAAACAAAAATAACATTTATTGTTATCACAATTTTGAAAGCAAAAAACAATAACAATATTTAATAATATATATTTGTTATTGTAATAGCCCCTTTTTATAATCTAAGACACATAGAAAATAAATTTAAATTATTCAAAAACGAAAGAAAAAAAGTAAAAATTAATCCACCTTGATTGAATAACGAATTAATCATCCCAATAAAAATAAAAAATTAGGAGAAAGAAGATAAAATGAAGTGTACAACATATAAATATCTATGTAACCCATTTATATATGTGTATGTGCGGGCACTTGTGACATCTAAAGAATATAACTATAGAGAAAATATGTGATTAACTATCATTAAAACTGTATATATAAGATAAAAAAATTCAGGATCAACACACTTCATAAAATGAAAAGACAATGATAAACTTGTGTTTTAATGTTTATTAAGAATGTTTAATGTTTAAAAATTATTTAACTGATCATTAAAAATGTATATAATAAAGATGCTATTGACATTTATATAAAAATGTACAAGTGGCAGGAAAAAAAATATATTATTTATATAAAAATGTACAAGTTTTAAAAAGATTGTCAATACATTTTTTTCATTTATTCAACGGTGATGTCAAATTGTCAATGACGGATCAGAATCCTGTACATGATATGGTGCACCAAAATGACTTGTTTTTTTATGCACATGGCCATTCATGGAATCAGGATCCCTATCTATTTATGAAAAATTATTAAATAATTCTAGATTATTATATTTGGTGGATTAATTGAATTCAAATTTTTCTATTAAGAAATTGACTTCACAAAAATGTATTATTATATTACAAAATATATTTAAAAAACCAGTCTCCATTATTAAACATCCATCAAGGCATAGAGTCCAACACACCAAAATTATGTTGTTTTGATACAAAGGCACATAGTCCAACGCATGCCCCATATTATGATTCCATACAGCCCACGTTGGATTGCATGCTTTGTGCCAAAATAGTGTAATTCTGACGGACAGATTTAGGGATGGCAACAGGATAATTTTGGACACCCAATATCTTTTAAATCAGGGACTTTTTCTTCTATTCTCGTCCAATTTAACTTTTTTATTCCCGTAAGCACTCGTCCCATCCCATGAATTTCTCTTCATTTTTTAAATTTTTCCTTAAATATAATTATATAATTATTGAAAAAAAAATTCATAAAAAATGGATAATCAATAATTTAAAATAAAATCAAAAGGTATGAGCTTTTTTAGTTGGTAGGGCTCTGTCGCTTACTAGAACGGTTGAGAAAGTGAGTGAATGTGATTTAAGGTTTCTAAAGTTAATTATATATACTAATAAAATAAGAGTAATTTAGTAATTTATCTACCTAAACAGGATGGGGTGACCTCTCTCGTCCTCACACCCAACCCGCGCAAATTTCCATTAATAAAAATTATTTTCATCCAAATAAATTAAACGGTCTCCCAAAATCACTATAAACTAAACAGGACGGGACAGGACAAATTGTCATCCCTACACGGATCTCTCCAAACACAAGTCGGCCAAACCAATTTTTTCTCCTACTTCCCTACGTGGACGCATTTTTAAAAACCTCTCTCATTGATAATCAAGTGCGGTAGCTGAAGCAAGGCAAGAAGGTTGTTGGCTGATGCGACGTAGTATTCTTGATAAGATCTTGTAGTTGAAAGCATGTTAGATACCGCGAAGTTTACAAATCCTGTCATTATTGATGGAAGACCATATTCTTTGAATGCTGAGATTAAGATCATATTAGTATCAACACAAGCACAACCAATGTGATTTGATGTTTTGTAATAAGTGCACATTGGATCATTAAATTATTGACAGGTCCATGGTTGCATCTAAATTATACACAACATGATTATGTTTCACGTGCTACAATAAGTCAAAATAAGTATAATTTTATGTATAAATCTCAACATCCAATCATGTACGAAAAAATTGTGGTGGTGCGAATATTGGGTTGTCTGTTCCTAACTTTATATAGCCACCACAAGACCCACCAATACAAGTTGCCGCCATAATGATCCAATTTGGCCGTCACATTGATCACTTAAAAGCCGAACTTTTCTCGGCACATGTTGAGAGTGACGTCCACTTTTCCCAGCCTGAGCCTGCCTAACCCGAATGAATTGTAACGTTGAGACTGCTTTATATGACTCAGAAGTTACGGGTTCAAAAAAGAAAGTCATTGCATACAGGTAAGATATCAAATCCTTTTGAGACTCCCGCCGGGTTCAAAACAGAAAAACCTCTATGAGATGAGGCTGCAACATTAAACCCTTCTTAGACTTGTGACAAGAGGCTCATGCACCGAGCTTGCGCTTCTCAGACTTCCAGTATGACGAGATGCTCATGCACTGAGCTAGCCCTTTTATTAACACGAATGAATTGCAAACCCTAGCCTGTGATAGCCTTACCAACAGACTATTTTGGGGCTTCAATTTTTATTCACAAAACACAGAAAAAAAAAAAAAAAAACTGATGAAGGAATCAAAAGTATGCCCTAAATTCACTTTCTTAAAATGCCATCTGGTGCAACTGGCTAAAAGCAACAAGTCCCACCTGTAATACCAAATTCATCATTCTTATGCTGAAACACCAACCATGAAGGAACCAAAAGCAAATGTCAAAGAAAGCAATTCCTTTCTTTCCCTACTAAAAAAACTCCACCACCTTTTCCATGGTTCCTTTAAGAACCAGACAAAGCATTACTTGTGCTGGATGAAAGAATAACCTATCCACTTTCATTATATTTATGCAAGGCCAGAAAAAAATAAAATAAAATAAAATAAATTAATGAGCACCAATATGCAAAGATATAAAATCGAATCAAACGTCGCAGGACTCCTTTAAACATATCATCTTAGCAAGCATGTGACGCGATATAAAGAACATAAATGCATAACTATTAAACAAAATAAGTAGTTTATTAGTAAATACAACCTAAGGGGTTCAAGCTTCATACACACCAGTGAAATGGAGCAAATAACCATATTTTAGGTTCATCCCCAGACAACCTGAAACTCTGGTATGCTAATCCTAGGTCTTACTGGAAAAACCATATCAACTCAAACTATGATACCTATAAATGAAAATCCAAACAGTTTCAAGGTCAAATAAGCAGCACACATGATATTCTGACAGCTGAAACTCACAAACCTCTTGCTCGCAGCACTAGAAATATACAGCCCTTCTTATTCAACCCCAAACCTAAATAACAAACTGACTTTTATACAAATGAAAACATTCTGAAGCTGATGGTTTCTGAATTATAAATCTGATTTTCTAATGAATAGGAAGGGTAAATTAATCCTCAAGCGAGGGGAACTTCTCCACTTTCATGCGCCTCCTTGACTCTCTTTTCATACTCGTCCTCTTCTTCCTCGGGTTCCAAATCTTCTTCCTTTCCATCGTCTTCTCCCTCTCCCCAGCCAAAGCCTCCAATTGAACGGGAAACTGGAGGAGGGGTTCTAGCCTCTTCCACAATTTTCATGATGTCCTCCACACTTTGAAGGGAAAAGCTTGGAGTTTCTTTCCTGTAAAAGATGGTTTGAGCTGCTTCTGTTAATTCCCTTGGCAAGTTCTTTAGGAACCAGGGGTGATTCTTGATTTCTTTAATGGTGATCCTCTGCAAAACATACATGGCTTATAACTTTAATAGCCAATTAAAAATGACTAGCATCATCAATGACAATGAAAATGGCGCACAAAAATGATGAAGTCTGGAAAGACTAGAGATTCTTGAAATGGGCACTGCATTTAGATTTTTGGTCTACGCTGACGCTTTTTAACCTGATAACATTAACATAGTAAAATGGGGTTTTTTTTTTTTTTAAAGAAAAAAATGTTATCCTCACTTGTCTATGGAGTAAAGCTACAATTTGTTCAAACATAAGGGCACAGTCATTTTAGTTATTTGACTGAAAATGCGCCACATGGATACCCATGTGTATATCATAGCATTGCAAGTCACTATCTTCAGCTCAGATGACAACCTTTTATCAGTAAGATAATGAAATGATGCAAGTCAACAGGTGGCTTATACTGTACCAGTGGCAATGTATGTCATGTTAGAGAATATAATTATCAAAATCATAACCATTTCAAATTGTTGTAATAGTTATAGAAGGCCAATAATGGGTATATACTGCAGGCCTCACATTCGTTGGCCCTACACGCAAGGCAACAGGTCACAGTGAAAATGAGGATTGTACTGTTATACACCTAATGTCTCTGCCGAAGAGCCAACAAAAAAGCGTCTCTTAACTGCTTATATGACCAATTTAGTAACACAAGTCATGGTAGAGAATGCAAACTAGCTTAATGTCATCTGTGTCTTCTCAAAAGAAAGTTCCTTGACTCATATTCATACATACCCTGGCTGGACTAGCAACAAAAATGCGAGAAAGGATGTGTCTGCAATCTTGGGATATGTGAACATAGTCCGGTATCTTGTATTGAACAGCCATTATTCGCTGGAGAATATTAAAATTACAGGATATTATAAACAGCAGAATATATGGAATTAATAAGCAATTGACAGACCAAAAGCACGGAAACTTACTTGAATGGTTTTCCTGAAATTTTTTGGATCTTCTTGGTCTTCGAAAGGGTATGCTCCCACAAGCATAACGTAAAGAGTCACTCCACATGACCATACATCCGCTAACTGATCAAATAAACACAAACAAAGTAAACAAAATAAGCAAAGTGGAAACATTTGTATCCTCCACTCTGCCACCCCCAACTCCCTGCTGTTGAACCCAAAAAAAAAAAAACCACACACGCACATACGTAAACAGGCTCCATTAGCAGGGTGCGGGAATGTTTAGACCATTAGGAATTTCTGAATGCATCATACATAAATAGGCTCTTTATTCAGTAAATAAAAAAAAGTATAAACAAACAGGTATTCTGAATAACTACAGTTTAATGACTTAAGGTACTCTCCATTATTTTCCTACATAAGTAAAACTAATACAATACAGCAAATATAAAAAATAAGAGGTAATGCATAAGACTCAAGTGCCACAATAAATTTATTATCAAGGTCAGCTGATTTAGAGATAGCTTAGGATACAGGAGGGCAGTTCAAACAGACAATTGATATGTAACATGTCCAGTGCAATGTAAAGGATCAGTTGAGGGCAATTCCATGTCAAATTAACTTCGAACATTTATTCGAAATGTATACAAGTTTGGAAGGTTAAAATCACCAAACTTAGATAATTACCTTAAGATTATTTTATACAAATCTCAATTAGTGTTCTTTACACTGACAAATTGTCCGATTTATTGTAAAGGTTTGGACAAATTTACCTGTATGTTTGTTAAAAAAAGAAAAGAAAAGAATTGATTATTGTAAATTTAAAGCTTGGGGTAAATTTCTTGTATCCTTGGGTTTCGCTCCCCTTTGAGCGCTTTTTTATAAAATTCTTACTTATAAAAAAAAAAAAAAAAAGCTTGGGGTAAATGCTAGCGTACTTTTTTGTTGCTTACTATTTTTCAAGGCAAAAGCCCAATAGGCTGCTATATGTTTCAAGGAGTCTGAAAAACTTCTCACTATTGCTTGAATATGCTTCGAAGTGAAAGGAAAAGACTTGAAAGAAAGAATGCCCTCCATATACTATATTCTATGACCAAAGCACAGACAGAATACATGCCTCTGCCTCCATCTAGGACCCCCTCATAACCAGGAAACCATATAGAAAGGTGCCAAAATTGGTTCAAAATCAATGGAGTTCATTGTGTACGCTTAACCAACCTTGCATTAAGTCGGTGAAAGATCATGCCTCGGTTGACTTAGTCATGCTCTTGACCATACTGTGCATGTCAAACATAGTAAATGTGAAATCAAATTTACCTTGCCATCATATTCCCTCCTAGAAAGAACTTCCGGTGCAATATATGCCGGAGTGCCTACTGTTGATTTGGGTCTTGAATGCAGCAGAGAGGACTACAAAACAATAGAATGGCAATAAGTAGATGAATTTCATAATATGAAATGCATCTTATTCTGAATTAATGTTGTGAACCTTTGAGTAGCCAAAATCACAGATTTTCAGGCGGGGTGCAGGGCTTCCATCTAACAAAGTGTTCTCCAATTTTAGGTCTCTGTGGCATATTTGCTGCAACAGTGAAAACAATGAAAAAAAATTAGTACCATATAAACTATGAGATGCAAATTGCCACCAAATCAACACAATATAAACACATATAAATATAAAAGTTCTTTCTTTTACCATGGAATGACAGAAGTCAACACCTGAGATAAGCTGCTGGAAGAAGTATCTAGCCTAAAATTTTTTAAGGGAGAAAACATCAGTAAACCTTTAAAGCAATTAACTGCAATAACATATATGAGAGAATTCTATATTTAAAAATTGAGCTACCCCTCTCTATAGGATCATGCATATCATTATTTGATCTCATAAATTCCTATATCCATTAGCATTGACTATGAACTTCATTTCATATTAAATTGACATATGAAGTCACTGCTAAAGAATGAGTTAGTTCATGTTTGCATAAGCTTTGAAAGAACTCAACACTAGAGCTAGAAGCACTTAAAAAACCTCGTCTTCGCTGAATCTGCCTGCATTGCAGATTCGCTCAAAGAGTTCTCCACCGGAGGCGTATTCCATGACAATAGCAAGGTGTGTAGGAGTCAGAACCACCTGTAATGTCAAAACCACAATTTTAAATTTGGCACGTTGAATTAAAAACTTCAATATTTACTCAAAATGAAAAAGAAAAACAGAACTAGCCTCTTTAAATCGAATTATGTTGGGATGACGAAGGGATCTGTGATTTATGATCTCTCTAGCCACATTCTCATCAATCTGCGAACCCAAAACAAATCGAAATGGAACTCAAACACAACAGGAATTCGATCATGACATCAATTCATCAAACACACAAACACAGAGATCAGAATTCAACGATTGAAGAATTTAATCCGAGTTCTGATTTACCATAACACACCCATAAGTGTGATATCTGTGTGTGTGTGAAATAAAGATCTGTCGTGTTTTTAGAGAGAGAGTGAGATCAATAGAATGATTTACAGATTCGAATGCATATTACACAAACCTTATGTCCTCTTTCGATGTATTTCATGGCCACGAGCTCTTTGGTTTCTTTGTTCCTCATAAGCCTCGCCACACCAAAATTTCCAGATCCTATATCCTTCACAAGCTCGTACTTGTCCATTTTCTCACCTCTATACAAAAAAACCCTAAATTAACCTCGTGATCTCCAACCGTTAGGCTTCAATTCATACCTTCAAGGTCAGATGGAGCAGCGATTCTTCAATTGTCTTTGGAATCTTGAAAGGAAAGTTCAAATATTGAAGGGAAGTCTTTGATAGGTTGAAAATGAAAGCTTCGGATTGGAGAAAATGAAATCGATATGAAGAAATCAACAAGATTTAGCTATGCGATTGAGAGTACTTACTATTGAAGTGAAAAGGTGGTGAGTTTGCGGAAGAGATTTGAAGGGAAGTAAAGATTGCGCACCAGGATGCCTTTTTGTAGAGAGAGAAGTGAAAGAGAGAGGAAAGAGATCATTCTCTCTTTTTCTTTTTTGGGAAATTAAAAGAGATTACTCAATAATACGGAGTAATAGTTTTTTTTTTTTTTTTTTTAAGTTATATACAGCATCCATATATATATGAAAAATAAAAATAAAAAATATGGCTACGTGGTGGATATAAAAGGCTAATACATTTCTGGTGAAGTTTTTTTTTTTCTTTGTTTTTTTTTTAAATTTCATTTACACCCTTTTTAAGTTTGCCCAAATAACCCTCTCAAACATGTTTTCAAAATATCTTTTTTTCCGTTAAAGTCTCTGTTAAAAAATTATAAAAAAATAACTTTGTCTCTAATTTTTTAATCTTATTTATTTCAAAATATCAAGTTACTTAAATAATCATTATACCCTTCATATGTATATATATATATATATATATATATATAATTTGAGATTTTGTGATTGTGGGCTCGGCTGGAATTTCTTCGATCTCTCGCCCATTCTTTTGAGTATTCTATTCATGCGCATCCTTTTTTATTTCACTAATGATGGAAGTTTACTGAACCAACTATGTAACTAATCACATAGCCGACTAGATGAGGAGAGCAATGATGAAGAATCCTTACTGGAACTCAATGGCATATCGTACGGGGTTTACTGAATTCCAAGTTTGGATTTAATTTTGGAGTATATGGTTTATTGTATATAATTTTTTTATTATTATTATAAAAAAAAATTGGTAATTAATCAATCCTGGTTTTTTTTTGGTAATTAATAAATTTTTGTTTTTTTTGGTAATTAATCAATTTTTTAGATGTCGATTTTTTAAAAACTTTGAGTCCGGTATATATGGAAAATGGTGCAACGATGTTACCTCAAATATATATATATATATATTACCTCAATTATACATATATATATACACACACACTATATAATACTCATATATATATATATATATAATTGTAAATCTGCAAAACATTTAGGGATAGTTTAGTCTCTTAATATATTTCTTAAGGTTAAAGTTTTTTTTGACAAAGTCAAAAGGTATTTAAGTCATTTTATATGGTGTCAGATGTCTACAAATAACAGTTGGGGTGTGAGTGAAAAACGAAATAAACATTTGTAGCATCAGGGATAGTAATTTTCGAAAGATGTTTCAAAGTAATATTTGGCCAAACTCGAGAGAGTGTTAGTGAAATTAACCTTTTCTTTTTCTTTTTCTTTTTCTTTTTTTTGTGTCAAATTAAGAAGAGAATATTCGAATACGATCACACTCGCTCAACTATCTAAGTGTTATAAGGGAGACTTGTCTCACATCGAATTCTGATAAGAAATGACACAAGTATAAATTGATAGGTATAGCAGCACCACCCAATAGTTTAAACTTTTGGGTAAATGGTCAAACGCCCACCCATTACCGTTGATATAAGAGTCAGATCCAATTATTGATCTGGTGTCACGCCAAGCGCCCAGTTCAGAGGACGTCCGGGTCTTCACCTTAGGTAGTCAGAGTTGTCCGACCGCAATGAGAGCATTGCGCAAGTTCGGGTGAGGGAGAATGTTATAAAGGGATACTTGTCCCACATTAGATTCGGATGAAAAATGACAAAGATATAAATGAGTGCGTATGCATCATACCTAACAGTTTAAACTTTTAAATAAATGGACAAGTATTTACCTATTACACTAAACCACTAGTATAAAAGTTTAAAATATTCACATTTTTGTTTTATTTAACTCTTTTCACTTTTACGACTACTCTTGCTCCAAAATGAAAGAGGGAAAATTTGAGATTTTAACGAAACAAATGGGTATTGTGTGATTTACCTACCATAAAAAATACTTCTCAAATACAAAATCTAAATTTGTAAGTGTCTAAAATGCTATCATTTCTAAGCAATCCATCTATTTCATTACTCTGGCTCAGTATATAGTATGGGGCCCTTAGATATAAAAATGTCATTTCAGAAAAAATTCAGAGCTAATATGTTTTGTTACATAAATTCACATCATTTCCAATCACGTTGATTAAGAATCTGTTCCCAACACATATTTAACTCCATTTTCTGTTGTGGTTCCATACCAAGTTATTACCAACCTATACGCCTGACTATTTTCAATGTTTTATAAATACATCTCCAATTCTCCACTGCATTGCCTTAAACTCTCTTGTTTTTTTTTTTTTGTATCTTCAAAACAACTTCCTTGGGAGAGTTGGGGAAAGATGGACCACAAAGTGAGACAGATATATCATGTATACAATTCTCATATTGTATAACTTTGGAGAATATATATTTTATCAATAATTATTTTTTAGAGTGGCTATTATATAGCATTTCTTGGGTGCTTATTGCTCAAAGATTTTTCAATTTATTCTTTTTTCTTCTCTTTCCTCTCTCCTTTTCAGTTTGGATGTGTTGTTCGGACTTATTCATTAATATAATATTTAATTAGATCCTTTATAGTTGATGTAAACTTGAGTTATTGATAATTTTTCATTAGTTCAGGTAATAATAATTTCTTGTACCTTTAAGTCAATTATACTGAATATTCTATTCATATGCTTACAACAACATTCTGATGATTAGTTCATGTTTACTACTTTGTATGAGTTGGATGCACGTATTGATGATTCTTTATTAGCTTGGTCTTCATTTCTTTCAACTTGTCTCTTTTTCTTGACAATTAGAATTCTGTTAAGTTATACTACTATATTTTTCTAACTCCTTGAAGACTCACTCTAAAAACTTGTGGGTCAAACAAATATTATTGGAATTTTATATTTTTAAAAAATGAACAAAACAAATATAATTTTTGGTCCAAACAAATGACCACATGTGTTATATTATTATTATGGTGGCTTGGCTGATTGGTTTTGCAATCGTGTAAAGTTGGTAGAAATTAATTGCATTTCAATGAATTCAAAGCAATTAGGGATGTATTAATGTCGAAAATGCAACACATGAAACGTGCAGAAATAAATTAATAGATTTAGAAATAAATTAATAGATTTAGAAATGGTGTTTTGGTAGAAGATTGTGTAGTCCTCTTACCATTTTTAAACCTACGAGGCAGGGCCGAGCTAGAGGGGGCCATGGCCCCCCAAATTTTCTCCAATTCCTTCTTATACCCTTATTAAAATTATTATTTTATATAAATATTCTTGCTTGGACCCCTAAAATTTATATAAAATTTTAATTGACCCCTCAAAAAAAATTCAAAACACTAAATTATTGTCCATATAATTATGAATTTAGAATAAATATAGCTTGCATCACTTCAAAACTCATATAAAAATTTTATTCGGACCATTCTAGCGTATTTTTAAAAGCTCAAATCTTATAAAATAAAAATATAAGTTCATTGTTGGTAGATTTTACAATAATACATCATTGTTTTATTTACATGTATATATACACAAGTATAATATCTATTATATGAATTCAAGAGAGAGAATAAAAAATTACTCAAATATTTCCTCATATGTATTAAAAACACAAGAACCTTCTTTGTGAATCAATTCATGAGAAGTAGTAAAAACTAAAACATTGTGATACCAGCATAACAATAATGCCAATAACAATAATATTATCATATATGCTGATGTTTTTAGTTGTCGTTATCAAACAAATTCTATAGCTACTCTTATATAAATTATTAAAGCACTTCTCTATTTTGTCGCTGCTAATTGTATTTTGTTAAATTTTGTTTAAGTTAAAATATTATATATTTTTCTCAACTTTTCATCAAGGTAACAATGACATGTATTTTTCTCAAAGTGGAATCAAAGTAATCAAACTTTTGTTTTTTTTAAATTGAAACAATTGTTTAATAAAATTTAATTCTTGAACACTTTTTTTTCTTTATTTACAACTTTTTCTTTTACTTGTTACTTATCTCTTTCTCTTATTTATTTTTTTTTTCTTTTTCATATCAACCAGTTTTCATAACTACTTATTTAGGTTCATTTTCCTTAATTTTTGAATTATATTTTTTTAATATATATACTAGTAAGAAATTAAGAGTAACGCAATGATTTTTTTTTTATAAATTTTAAATTATATAGTATAAGTTAGCCCCAACTGTGGGGAGTCTAATGCAGTGGATTGAGTCTTCTGTTAATTATGTTCCAGAACTTTTATTATCTCGGTTTTGGGGGTAAGTTATCATCTATGGTCAGTTGGAGGAGATGATATATGTACACACACACACATATATATTCTTGCAACTATGGGAGTTTTCTAAAATTCTGTTTTAAAATTTCTCCAGTTCTTGCTTGGAAACGAATTTTTTTTCAAGGGGCTGTAGTACTTCAAACGCTATGAAGTTTTTACCATACATTCAAATTCATGTATACTGTCTCTGTAAAATTTGATAATTTTTGGACAGGTTGATATCTCTCTAAAAATCATTGACTATCTGGTGCCCCAATATATATATATATTATCATAGTTCGGGGACTGATTTTAAGAAAATGATTTGACAAATTTCCCGACATAGTTAAATTATGAAACTTTCCAATTTTGTTATTTCATGTGTCTAATTTATAAAAACAAATGGCACAAAATTTTATCGGCTCCATAAACAACCAAGCAGGTCAAAGTCTGACACTAGGTTGGATTTTTGCACAAGTTGTGAGAACTCTCTTCCTTCTAAAAACTATTTTCATTGGTGTATTTCTAAAATCTCGGAATACTCGGTCACGATTTACTCTAAATCTTGTATGATCCAGGAAATAATGGGAAATCAGTGTGAATACAGTAAATGGTTAAAAGTGTAAACTTTCCAATGCTTTAGCGCTCTCTTACACGTTCCAAGAAATTATGCTAACTAAAATGTACGTACTTAAGTGATAACCATATAACCATATTTTGTAATTTTTTTAATATCCATATGGAAACTAAAATACCAATATTTTGTCTATAACCATGTAACCATATTTACTTTCAATTTTCTATCACTAATGCTTTATTATGTAGAATTAAGAAAGAGGGGGAAGAAAAAATAGGAAGCAATGAATAAACTTTCTTATTCCGTTAAGAAGAGACAAGTGATATTATTATGGAAGTTTCGAATTATATTATTATTATCTTAATTTATACAACTTTAAATTATAATATTATCCTCCGTAATAATATTATAAATAATATTGGGTATAATGATAAAAACTATTTAAAACTCTCTATTTCCTTATGAGCAAACTAATACAATACATTGTAAGTTTTATTCTCTTATATTCCATTAAATTAAACAATAAAATGAAAATACATAATATTTTCCTTAGGAATATCTCATCTATTATTTCTTCTCTCTTCCATTTAAAATTTTTCTCTCAACATAAAACTTATGTTTTGCCCACATAATTTTCAAGTCCATCCCGACACTTTTTAACAATCTACTATTACTGTTGCATTATATATATATATATATATATATATATTATAAACTTGAAATGATAAATGCAATTCACTTTTGTATAGATTCATTATTTTTTATTTTTTTTATTATTTAAATCAAGTGACAGTCCAATTTTGTATAGATTCGTTAATTAATTGATGTTACAAACGGTCAGTGATTTAGCAGTTTTAGCCTCTTATTTCTTAAAAGGAGGTCAGAAATTCACGTTTAAAAAGAAACATGTGTTTGTGAGTACCAACTAAAAAATAATACTCCTCAATAATAAAAAAATAAAATAAATAAAAGAACAGGAAATAGGGGCACATCCCAATACGCATTATGGGGCAGGCGCCCTTATGTCAAAAAAAACAAAACAAAAATGGGCCAATGTGATACCATAAATTCTCAAAACACAACCCATAGGCATGGGCCGGATTCCATCAACAACCTCATAAAACATCTATGTGATGGTGGTGATTTAGCCATGGTGGATTCAGTTATGGCGGTGGCAGTGAAATTTATGGGAATGTGAAGAAGGGGTTTGAGTGGGACGGTTCATAGAAGGAACTAGGCATATTCCATTCCTTTGCATAAGGACATGAGCATTTCTTTTATGGAGAGCAATTTAAACATCACCGAATTGATGATTGCATTGAAGGTCGGGTTAGAGACACTTCTGTTTCGGAAAATTCTGTTGTTGCGTTCACTCCACATATGGTATACAAAACTTGCCAGCGTAAGCTTCCAAAAATAATTTTGCTAAACTTTGCTTTCTCTTTCCGGTTTGAAGAAGCCCGAATTATAAATTTTGCCATGTAATAGAGTTTGTATGGAACCCACATTTTTGTTGTAACTCATTCCAAATTGATTTTGAGTATGAACATTGGTGAAAAATATGTTCACGACTCTCTGCGGCTTTTAGACACAATGCACACACATTTGGTTGCATTGTACAACTCATTGATGGTAGGTCTTGAGTTGATAATCTTCCCTGAATTGCAATCCAAAACAAGAAGAATGTTTTGGAATTAGGTGCTTGAATCACACTAGTTTGTACCATTGTTTGGTAGGGAGTGAATGAGAGATAGCCACGATGGTGTGTTTATGCGAATATATATATATGTGTGTGTGTGTGTGTGGTTAAAGTATCAATGCTTTGGAATTAGTTGCTTAGAATCGCTATTTTTCATTTAAATCAAATGAAATAAATGTTCTTTCTTTATATATATATATATATACACGTCGTTCCAATTGGGTTTTTAAATAATACCTTAGTATATTTTTATTCCAAATAATAATGGATAAAATAACGAAAGACTTGCAAGAGGACCTTTCATGTTGTACTATTTAATAGCTCTAAGGAAGCCTCAACAAGAAAACAGAAGATTGGAGAATGACTATATAATCATAACGTTAAAATTTAGTATAATTATATCGTAAGACATTTAATAGGATAATGTAAATTTAGTATTGTCACGGGAAATAATAATAGGATAATGCTCACCCTGTTCACCCCTCATGTGTTCCAATAACAACATACTACATCGACTTTAATAGAAAAGTTATTTGATCTGAGATAATGCAAAGAAGGTGAATTATTTAGTTATTAAAGCCGATATGGTATATTATCATTGGAACACACGAGGAGTGAGTAGCGTGAAGCTATTTACCGGTGAGTAGCTAAGTATTATCCATAATAATATGGTTAAAAAAAAAAAAATCAAGACCAAAACATTATTCAAAATGATAAATTTTTTATACTTAGGAATTAGGATCAACTGTACAAAAGGGAGATTAAATTGATTAACGGTGTAAGTATTAGAATTAGAATAGGTTGGACAAAATGGGAAAATGCTGGTAGGGTTTATGTGATAAACGAATGTGTAATAAATTAAAAGAAAATGTATACAGGGATAGTGATTAGTTGGGCTGTGTATATGGGGGTGGAATGTTGGGTCCTACAAAGGAAACAACAACAACAACAACAACATAGTCATTTAATAATCAAAGAATTAGTGGAAATGCAATTGTTAAGAAGACTAAAAAAATATATAATTAATAATCAAAGAATTAGGGTGAGACTATGAGTAAGAAAATAACAAGAGTAATGATAGGCAACAACGCGAAAGAAATAATACAAAAACTTTTTAAATCTGATTCAGTACAGCTAGGTTAGAATTATAAAGAAAGAATCTCCTCTTACATGGTATAAATGAAAAGAAAAAAAAAAAAGGAAAAAGAAAAACAAACAAAAAAATGTGATGCTTTTTCTTTCTCCTAAAAAAAAAAAACTAAAAACTCTCCAAAATTAGATATATATATATATACACAATACTTCTCCTAATCTCCTCAAATGTCACCTTTTGTAAAATTACTTTCAACCCCTACTTTTTTCTCTAGACAAATACATTTTGTAAAAGCTTTAATAGGATGAATGAATTCTAGATTAAAAATTTCTTAATATAAATTTTAAAACAATAAATATTTGGTTATATAAATTTTAAAACAATAAATATTTGGTTTATACAAAGTATAGATAATGCTGTATTTGTATAGTTTTATGAATTTCTACTTTGTAAATTTAAATTTAAGAAATACAAGAACAAGTAACTTCCAGGACTTTTTTTTTTTTTTTGATATAACTTAGCCAAATTAAAATCAAGGAGTTTTCTTGTTTTTCTCTTTTGCGATGTTACTAATGCTTTTGTTTGGAATAGAATGGTAATAAACAAGGGTTTGATTTCTAGAATTGAAAACTAACCATTGCATTATAATTTCGAATCAATCTATAATGTTAGTTTTTGGTTTGGTTCAATTTATTCGGTAACCCATTTTTAATACGGTCAAAATTTATTTTATGACATTTATAACATGTTAAATAACTTTTTAGCACTGCATATGTGAATATAATATGAGTTTTACCTAATTAAAATATAGAAACCTTACACAAGTCATGTGAATTAGTGGATGCAAAAATGTTGGACGCCCTTGTTATTGAAAAAAAAAAAAAAGGCCAAGTGCCAACACCAACATCTTGAAAAACAAAAAAAAAACAAAAAAACATTAATAATTCTTTCAACCAATAAACCGATGGTACACGTATATATGGACATGCATATTCATACATATTTGCATAATTTTTTTTTGTTGACTGAAATAAGGACTTTTGCGAATCAAGACGAGCGAGCATAGTCTCTCTCTAACACTTCCGAGGAAGGCGAAATCGAATCCTATCGAATACTCATCCGACCTCTCTCTCTTTCTCGGTCGTCCGTCACTCGCCCGATCTTCACCGTCAGATCCATATACTCGCCGGCGATTCCGATGCCGCACGTCGTCCGATCATTCTCTCTCTTCGCCCTCATCGTCTTTCTCACCGCCTCGCCGGCATTCGCTTTCGATTCCGATCACAAGGTAAAGTTCACTCGGCCTCAAACCCTAATTTAAATAGCTTTCCCTTTCGCCATTGACATTCCAATTCATAGATCTCGTAATTTTCATGTTAATATTCGTATTTAAATCAGATCTACATGTACGTGTCTTCAATAAACCTAAGAACGGAGGATCTTGAATTTATTAGGTATTAGTATATTAGTATATGTATGGTTTTATATTAATGTCCCTTGTGCTTTAATTGTTATCCAATGGTTTGATTTACGAGTCAAGAACGCTAAATATCGTATCTTTGGTATGATATCATGTGCGTTCATACTGTAGGACTTAGATCTTAAAGTAGTTTTTATGTTTATGTTACCTCTCTCCCTTTATATAGACGTAGACCCAGTGCACATTACGCAAATTGTCAGTGTAGTAATGATGCTGCTAGGTGTAGGCAGTTCACCAGGATAGTGCGGGCTTGTGGCAACGCGGTGGCCCCGGTGGTTGACCCTGCATGATCAGTTTGTGTTTGAAACAATCTCATGCATGGACAAATAGCTGTGGGATTAGTTTAATAAAAAAGGTTGTGTTGATGCAGATAATGTGAAATTACTCCTACTCTTCACTATCAACTTTCAAGAAACCGAGTTGAATTTGTTCTTAAGAATTTTCTGCTTAAAGTTTCTTCAATGCCTTCATGAGGTGGTGAGTGGTTTTGTCCTCTTTCGGCTTGATGTTGGTTACGTCTCTTCTTGGGAGGCTTTTTTGTTTAAGAATAATTCGTGCACAAGGATGATGTTCATCATGTTCCGAATGCAAATCTGTGGACTATAGTATAGTGGGTTCACCCCTTACTTGCGAGCCAAAACTTATAATATGTTGTTATAAGAATTTCAGTCTGCAGATTCTACATGTTGTTCATTTAATTTTGAGTTCTTGTTAACCTACACTTGTTGAGCCATAAGTAGTCATACATTTCTTTCTTATTTTTAGTTATTTTATTCTGTTCCCCAAGATGTCAAATTTGGTTGTGTGGGTGTAAGGAGGACAAAAAAGGAAGAAGAACAAGAGTATAATGCGGCTTAAAAATGAGAACTGTTCAGACTGACATAGGAGATATTGATTGCATTGGATCGTTAACTGTTGAGCAATGTTTTAGAAACTGGTGGTTAGGTGGTTCAACTACGAGAACCATTAATCGTTTGGCTTTCTTGTCCGGGTTGAACCTCAGAATTGTTATGTTTGGAAAAACACCTTAATTTTATTAAGTTTGTCAACCATGGGTAGTTTAGTCATTTAGAGGTTGTAGAGGAGAACCATGGAGGAGACCACTCATGTTGATGATGTCAAAAAGGTAGATGAGGATAAAAAGGATGATTGTAAAGTCGAGTTTTCTACATAGCCTCAAAGTTTGCTCAAGGGAGATGCATGGCTCTTCGTTCTTCTTATTTAGCCAACTCCTCTTGTATTCAGATGGTCACTCTTAGGTCAATCCTTTTATCATTCTCCTAACTCTGATAGACATAATGTTTCCTTCATTGATCTTACAGGTCATTGACCTACTGGTTTTATTTTTGGTTGGTTTGTTCTGCTCTAGAATATGTTTTCCTGTTTCTCCTTCCCTAGAGCCTTGGGTTGACAGTGTTGTTTCATTTTAGTGTCACCTTCTTTCCTCTTTTCGAATGGCTTCTTTCGGTTGTGAGCTTTGTCACATAATCCATGCAGGTGGGAGCCCTTCCCCAAGCTCCACTCAGGAATCTTCACTCTAAAATGGATTTGTTCCAAATTCGCTGATTCAGTTAACATAGTTCACAGGTTGATTTTTGAAGTCCATGGATTCTAGACATTTTGGGGCAATGCACATGTGCAATGCAGCTTTTCTTCTGCTTTAAATGATTGATATATAAAAAAGCAGCCAACAAAGAGGACTTTTATGGGGATTGAACCAGCAACCTATTGATTGGGGCACTAATTACTGAGGCATTTGTTGTTTGTGCGAAAACTAGAATACTTTTTCTATGTTTGATCGTTGATAATATATAATTAATTAAACCAATGATAAATTGATAACAAAAGAGCCTTTATTTTGTAATAAAATGATTAAAATATGTTACATATTAAATAATAAACTAATATTATCATGTATAACATGAATTAAGTTCTTTTTATAAATAAGTAGTCACTTTAAAAACATTTCCACTATTGAAAAATAGTATTTGCTACACTCTCGTTCCTGCTTTATGTGACTTAGTATGCGAGAGCTTATTTTCTATGTAGCCCGAGTGTGTTTTGAGTCTCCAGAATTTTTTGGTAATAAAATTTATCTTCCCGACCCAAAAAAAGTTGCGGCTTCATGGAATTGTTTGGTTCTTTTACAAAGCAACACACATTAAAGCCGGGTTTTTGCCTATTTATTGTTCTCTAACTCCATAGTGTGTAGGGTTTATAGGTTTCACTTCCTCAACCCTACATCTTCCATGTGGGATTCTTTTGTGTTCCTTTTATTTTATTAACCCGATTGCAGTTCTCTGTAATCTGCAACAGGTTCACTGCTCCTCCCTAGATACTTAAGCATGGTGGTTTCAACTCTCTCTCTCTCTCTCTCTCTCTCTCTCTCCCCCCCCCCCCCCCCCCCCCCCCCCCCCTGTATTCAGATTAGCGTAGGCCCTTAGCTAAGCAGTTCTCAGAGCATTTTGAATGTGATTTTCGTAATCCTCTAATTTTTAAGCGCTTCATATTTATCATAGTCTGGGAAGAAGACCCTGATTTTCCGTATTATTTTACTCATTTGATGCACTTGGAAATTTATGAAATACTCTAAATATTCGCCTTAGATCACTTCCAACCAAATTATATTGTAAAGAAAATATTCCAATATAATTTATTTTCATACTACTAATTTGGACCCCAGAAGTAAAATTTCTGGGTCCACCCTGCCCCTGACCCCTTCATGTGTTAACTTGCATACCCGCATGTGTAGAAAACTGTCATAATCTTATCTTCTCATTTATAACTTAAATTATGAATTTTGGACTAAAAAGTTATACTGGAATGTTTAATAAAATCTCACAATTAAAAAGTATACACATGTATGGCTATGTGATTATGTTTTGTCAAGCAAATTTGGACGTTAGACATCCAATATCCACGTCAATACAATTTTTAGTTTTTTTCATGTTGGTTTTGTTTTATAAATGCCTGAAAATTTAGTTTGTTGCCTAGCAAGGTAAACTTGACAAATGTCTACGCAAATTGAATTTCTAAGCTGTCTGTTCCATAATTTGGCATCTTACATTTGTGTGTGTTTGTGTGTGTTTAGGAGGAGCTAAATCAATATTTTGTTAGGCAATATGGATTTTCATGCATCCTTTTCTCTTTAAGAGAAAAAAGAACTCTACTCGTGAGTTCTGTTATGTATCTGTGCATCTTTCTGATGATAATAATTCTATCCAGAGCACGGTATACTGTTTTGTTTTTAGTCAATTTTGTTCATATGAGTATGGGTTGCTCAAGTACAGCTCTTGCTTCTATCTGAATGCACTGAATTTTTATTTTTTATTTTTTCATTACATATATTGGCAGATAACAATGCTTTCTTTGACATCCAGTTTGGTTTATCTTTCAGTATCAATCTGATGACCCTGTTACGCTTTGGGTAAACAAAGTCGGGCCTTATAATAATCCACAAGAAACATACAATTACTATAGCCTTCCCTTTTGTCATCCAGATGGCAATGCGGGTCACAAGTGGGGAGGGCTTGGTGAGGTCCTGGGTGGGAATGAACTTATTGATAGCCAGATTGACATAAAGTTCCAAAGTAAGTAGATCTCCTTCTATCATTAGCATGGTTATTGTGGTTTAGACTGTTTAGTAGAACGATAAAGGTGGCATGTTTGACTTTTTTTGGCAGAAAATGTGGATAAGAGTACCATTTGCGTACTTGAACTTGATGAAGCAAAGGTGAAACAATTCAAAGATGCTATTGAAAATAGTTATTGGTTTGAATTTTTCATTGGTAAGTTCTTCTTTGTAATTTCTTCTACATATTGGAAATATTTTGATAGATGAATGGTCGCTTGTCCTTTTTTTAGACAAATGAATAGATTCTTATTGAGTAACCAATACAAGATGTACTAGTGCAAGTGAATGCTGGCAGAAGTCCAGGCCTGTTGGAGATTCATGGAGACTTGTGCTCTCTGGAATCTGGTGTTAATATGTCTTTCTTTACAGGATACAGAACTATCCTTACTGTAAAGAAATAGAGAGATGCAATTTTATATGTACTAGACTGCACAATTTTTGCCAATCTATATTTTTATTCTGGAAAAAATGGGTTGCATTTTATAGGCAAAAAGGTAGATTGGTGCAATAAGAGTCCCACTTCTTGTGTATGGAGTGGAAAGAAATCATGTTCTTTAGTTACAAAAAATTTAAAAATCAATTTTAGAGTTCTCAATAATGATTTCACTTTTTAGGAAGCTCTTTTATATTAAACAGGTTGGCAGTAAATTGCCATCTACTGCATTATAATTTGCTGCAAAATCACAGCATATTTGGACCACCCCCCTAATAGCAATAATGTAATAGCATAAATAGTTGTTATATATGTTGTTACATTTTATTTAACATAAATATAGACCCAAAAAAGTTTAAAAACTTGGAATACGAATTAAATACAGTCAATATGTAAACAGTGAGTAGCATAATTTGATCATTCATTTGATTTCAGCCTAGAAGATAGAATTCTGGAAGCATTTGTATTGATAACTTTTTGCATGTGTGTATTCAACTTAAAGCATGTGTAGATATTAATATTACCGATATGATGCAAGCACTGCTGTGACTTGAAGTCATACCAAACATCTGCTTTCTGTTGAGTTTCAACGTGTTTGTTACTGCAAGGGTTAAGTTTTTTGTCATTTGAATTCAGGGAATGGAGCTTCTGAATTATAAAGTAGAGGTCCTACATCTATGTTAAAAAGTTATGGTTGTACTTCTGTTAGCTTCACTATAGGCCCTTTCACATCAATCTGAATCATTGTAACAGGCTTTTATATTTTAATAGTCTGACAATAATGGCTGTATACGGCATATAACTGGGAAAATACTGAGTATGGAGCTAGTTTTTTGGTTTGCGTGCTTTTTTGGGGTTCAGGTTTCATTTTCTGTACATAATCTGTTGGTGCTCTATTCTTCACCTTTATTATCTATCTGATCAAATTTTCGTTGGTCTTCGCTGTGCTGCAAACAAGTTCAGACGATCTTCCTTTATGGGGTATGCATACATCTAACTTTTCTTTGATAGAATTTTTAGTCTTCTTATATATTTAATTTGCTACCTAATGCTCATCTTCTTTTTAATGTTATAGGTTTTGTTGGTGAGCTACATCCTGATAAGAACAGTGATAGCAATAAGCATGTGCTTTACACGCATAAAACTATTATTGTTAAATACAACAAAGATCAGGTCTGTCGATTATGAACTCCTGTATGTTTTCTCAATTGATTCCTTTTTATCCATGTTTATATCTTTAAATGTTTCTTTCCTTGCAGATCATTCATGTTAATCTCACTCAAGAAAGCCCAAAACAGTTGGAAGCAGGGAAAACACTAGACTTGACATATTCTGTCAAATGGATCTCTACTAATGTCACTTTTGCACGTCGTTTTGATGTTTACCTTGACTACCCTTTCTTTGAGCATCAGGTGAATATGTGGCATTTTTTCTCTAAATTTTCTTAATGGTGGAATAATTGATTCCGCTCTAAGGCCATCACCTTAATCAAATCACATGCTATCTTATCTTTCCTTGCCATCTCAATCATCTATTGCCCTCGATGTGGATCACATCATTCCTGATTAGTAGTGCAGTTATTGGTCAAGTTTTTAAAGTGATTTTTGCTGCTTGACTGTATGCTTTAATGGTTTAATCCTCTATTGGAAATCCACTCACTGATGCACACTATATTGTGCAGATTCATTGGTTCTCCATATTTAATTCGTTCATGATGGTTATCTTCCTCACTGGTCTGGTTTCGATGATATTAATGCGAACTCTTAGAAATGACTATGCAAAATATGCTCGGGAAGATGATGATCTGGAGACTCTGGTAATACTCCTCAAAATTTATTAAATATCTTATTTATTTATCCATATTAATGTATTTTTGTCCTAAAGTTTGTTAAATTGAGCTGTAAAATTTTTTTCATTTAAGTGATCGTATTAACTTCTAGAGATCCAAATTAAGGCAACTATTTTTTATTTCCCCCTCTCTGTTATTTTGTCATGGTGACTATTTCATGACCTCATTTACAGGAAAGAGATGTGAATGAAGAGTCTGGTTGGAAACTTGTCCACGGCGATGTTTTTCGGCCTCCTCGCAGTTTAGTTATTTTGTCAGCTGTTGTTGGCACTGGTGCTCAGCTTGCGTTACTTGTTCTGATCGTCATCTTGTTTGCGATTGTTGGAATGTTGTACATCGGGTATGTTGAGAATTAAATATGAATTACTTGGTGCTTTCCTTGAGCAATACATCATTGTTGTTGGCCATTCCATTGGAATTATGAAGTGCAATTTTGTGTATGGTTCAAGGAATATAGATAAGGAAAATATCGGTTGTCATTTTAAAGTGACTCTCTGTCATTCTATTTTTGTTTTACCAGAGTATAGCTTTGCTTTCAATCCATCCTTGCCTTTATCAAAATTTTATGTGTTTATTATAGTGTTAACTGTGTGTATTAGATCTTTCCATCCATATGTTGCCATTATTAGTTTTTGGTTGTGTTGTCGGAACCTGTGGTTTTGCTTTGTATATTATGTCTTTCCGTCCATGCTTTTTTGCTTTGATCTGTTTTTGAGCTTTGTTATCCGAATCTAATTTATGTTTGTCGCTTGTGCTTATGCCTTCACAGTTGTTTTCCAACTGATTTTTTCTTAGTATTGGCTTCAATTGGCATGTAATACTGTTTTATGTGTTTCAGGAGAGGAGCAATTGTCACAACTTTCATAGTATGTTATGCTTTCACATCGTTCATTTCGGGTTATGTGAGCGGTGGGATGTACTCTCGCAATGGGGGTATGCACTATATTCATTGACTAACCTATTTTTTTTCTTGTTCTGGGATTTGTTTTATGCTTGTCGGGTTTTGTTTTACTCTCTTCAGAACATTCATTATCATCATATAAATTTGCTTAACTATTATTTTCTTGCCCTTGTCAGGTAAAAACTGGATAAAATCGATGATACTCACCGCGTCACTTTTTCCATTTATGTGCTTCGGGATTGGTTTTCTTTTGAACACAATCGCTATATTCTATGGCTCTTTGGCAGCTATTCCCTTTGGCACGATGGTGGTTGTTTTTATCATTTGGGCTTTCATATCATTCCCTTTGGCACTTCTTGGTACAGTTGTTGGAAGAAATTGGAGTGGTGGTCCAAACAACCCATGCCGGGTTAAGACCATTCCTCGTCCGATCCCGGAGAAGAAGTGGTACCTTACACCATCTGTCGTGTCAATGATGGGGGGATTGCTACCCTTTGGCAGCATATTTATTGAAATGTATTTTGTCTTCACATCCTTTTGGAATTACAAGGTATCTTTCAAAATCCTATATCTATACTTTAAATGGCTTTGATAAATTTACCTGGGCATTCTTATACATGGAAAAGAAAAACATACTCGGTAGTCATTTTTTTTAGTGAGATTAAATTTCTGGATTATTGCAAGATTTGGTTGTATTTTAGCTGCTTAATGGAAACACTTTCATGTCATCAGGATCTTGGATCTTGTTTAATTGTTTTCAGGAGCATTAGGGACCGGCCATGGAATTTAATCTATTTGATTTGATCTTTTTAACAGTTTTTCAAGGCTTGAAAGATCCTCTAGTATGGAGTCATTGAGTTGCTATAAATACAGTCGTCATATTCTTTGTTTTTATACGATCAAATAACATCTTGGCATAGAATCGGAAAATTTTTAATGCGAGTAGAACGTGGACATATGTTAGAATTAGGACAACCCAAACAACTTGGTGATTCAGAAAGCTTTACTTGTGTATTGCTTGGGGTACTAATTTGTTTTGGTTTAGAAATTGGTTTTGCTAAAATTTTTCTATCTGTTGAAAGTTCTTAACGAGAAAAGTCCGCAAGGGACTTGAAACTACTTTCAACATACTTGTAAAAGAAATTATATAGGAACTGTAGCTAGAAAAAAATCTAAATTGATTTATTTGAATTTAATTGGAAGTTCACACCCTTCTCTATTTTTTGGTGTCTAAAAATTCCCGAGAATGGTTTTATGAAGTGTTTTCATAGTACTAACATGAATTTTGGAGCTAAATTGTGTTTTTTTTGGGTGTGCTTAACAGGTTTACTATGTCTATGGTTTTATGCTCTTGGTGTTTTTGATTCTCATAATTGTTACGGTTTGTGTGACAATTGTGGGGACATATTTCTTGCTAAATGCCGAGAACTATCACTGGCAGTGGACTTCATTCTTCTCTGCTGCCTCAACTGCTGTCTATGTGTACTTGTATTCAATATATTACTACTATGTGAAGACGAAGATGTCAGGCTTCTTCCAGACCAGCTTCTATTTTGGATACACTCTGATGTTTTGTCTTGGCTTAGGAATCCTCTGTGGTGAGTTTTACTTCTATGTAATTTTGTATTAACATTCTTCTATTTTGCTGCTTATGAGTTCTGGTAAATGATTTTGTTATTGCATCAGTACTTCAATTTTTCCCTTGAAATTTTTGGTGGAAGCATTTGCGAACTGTAAAGGAGCAGTTGAGCCTGGTCAGAGTTTCAAATTGGTTCAAAAATTTGAAGAAAAACTTGATAACCTGAGATCTGTTAAAATATCCTCAGCTGTACTTAGGTTTTAATATTTTATATATAGAAAAATATATGTTGTTTCATGTTCTACTCTGTTTGATGTTGATCTCCACCTCAAAAATGGTTCTTGGCATTTCCTCTATTAAGGGATATTTTTCCACTAGTAAATGTTCATCTTTGAGGGACTCGTAGTGATATCAAGAAATGGAGGGGAAAAAACCCCGAAGAAAATTCCTCCTATTTTATGTTTCTTCTAGTTTTCTATGTTAAATGACTTCTTTTTAATGTCCAGGGGCTGTTGGTTACTTGGGATCTAATCTATTTGTGCGGAGGATCTACCGAAACATCAAGTGTGACTAGGACTTGCCGAAGAAAGAAAAACCTGATGGTGCTTCCTCAAGCGTTTTGATTATTGAGAACACATTTTGAGGGGGGTTCAATGTTTGTTGACTTGTAGATGGAAATCACGTAGTTTGAGAATGGTGTGCAACTCTCCTGGACAGGAGGAAGCCCTGAGATTTTTTTTTTTTCCCGGACTTTGTAAGTGAAAGCCGCCTTTACTTTATTTAGAATGGGTAGATTGTTTTTATAATCAGATTCACTTGTCATGTAGTTATTTACCTCTTCTTCCCCCCACATTGAATGTCACCTTAGACTGCGTTAAATATATTTTTTTCTCGATATTATTATGCTATTTGTATTTCTTGGGAAAACTTGTCTAGGGGAGCTGGGGAATGAATTTTGTGACTAGTGAAAATATGCAAGCAATGATGATTTTTTTTTCTCTCTTGGCAAACCAAGAACACAACGGATAACTGGAAACAATGTTTACTTGGTTTATTTCTCTATAGTAATATAGCTGAATTGCAATTCCCTGCAAGTTTCAATCTTCTTTCGATTTAAGTCTTGATTGGAATGGCATTTTATGGTTGCAGAAAAGAAGCCGAGTGGCAGCACGTATGACAAGAACTCTTGTTATCTCATTCTATTTGATAATATAAAAACAAAAACAAAGTACTTTATAGCACTTCTTACTATTAGTGTGCCTTACAACGGTTGGCATTTTCCGATGGGAAATCCTCTGGATTGGTATCTTCCAGTACAATATTGTAACGTACATAAAAAATTGCTTCTGTTGAAGTACTGGTACGCTCTCTGTGGGAAGTTCACAAGTCTAATGCTGTTTCACCCACCCAACATGTTATAATCTTAGGTGTTTAATGTTCAAAGGAATTAACCCTCTTCTTACTCATAATCTAACCAGTTGGTTCTGGTTATCGGATGTGAGATGTGACCTACCTTACATCTTCATTCCAATATATGTATATATATGCCTGCCCACACACCCCCTGCTTCAAGGAACTTATACATTCCTTTTCTTTTTTTTTTTGGGAGGGGTGGGACTTGAATTTTTAACTCTTTATTTTTGATACATTCATTTTTTTCTTTTTAGCGGGACTTTAACACTGGACCTTATATTTTAAAGACACAGGAGATACGTGTTTGGTACTTAGATTACACTCTTTGGTATATTAGTGGATATGAGATCTGTATTAATGGAGGTGCTGAACAATTGACCTGGTGGATCTGTGGTTTAGTTTAAAGCTATATGGATGGGGATATGTGGTTTAGTTTAAAGCCATACGGGTCAATTAGATTGGTTCTTAGGTGAAAGGCTAGGAAAACTCGACATATTTGGTCCGCTAATATTCACTTTCAAGAACTTTCCGAAATCTTCCGATTTTTTTCTTTTTTATTTATGCATTTATTCCTCAGAAAAACTCAGCCTCTTAAATATTGCTATTAGAACATAATAGAACCACAAACAACGCGTGACACACTTGAAAGGCCAAGATTAAAGGAGGATATATGGAATCACCAGAATCACAAGTTTTTTCCTATGTTGATAAAACGATAAAGTGAACCACTACAAGTTGACACGTGGAGGATAGGTCTCCATGCCAACTCATCCCCCTCACTCTCTACACCAAACTATTTCCACAAGCCTCCCCCTACATTTTAAACAACCACACCATCCTGACCTTAGACCTTAGCAGCTTCTTTTCTTCCCCTCACCCTCTCTCACAGAGTCACACACCATAATGGCAACGTCAGCCACACTCTCCAGCATCATGGTCAACACCTCCTTCGTCCGGAGACAGCCCGTGTTGAGCCTCCGGTCCCTCCCTAACGTGGGTCAGGCTCTCTTCAGAGTCAAGACCGGGCGTGGCAGGGTCACAGCAATGGCCATGCACAAGGTGAAGCTTATCACCCCGGAAGGAACCAAAGAATTTGAATGTCCAGATGATGTCTACATTCTGGACCACGCCGAGGAGAACGGGATCGACCTCCCGTACTCTTGCCGTGCGGGTTCTTGCTCTTCGTGTGCTGGGTTTATAAAGAACGGAAAAGTTGATCAGTCAGATGGTAGCTTCCTTGAGGATGAGCAGATGGACCAGGGATGGGTTCTCACTTGTGTTGCTTATCCTCAGGGCGATGTTGTCATTGAGACCCACAAGGAAGAGGAGCTCACTGGTTGATTCCATTAATGCACACACTCACTCTCTCTTTTTGTTACCTTTTTTTTAGTGTTTTCCAGGGTTATGATTGTTATATTTCTGAATAAGTAATTTTCCTTTTTTTTAAAATTTTTTTTTCGTTGTTTTTCCCTTCTCTTTTGTGACCACAAAGGAGTTAAATTGTAGCCTTGAATTTGTTTATCTTAATATGCTTTTGCTTCTCTTCTTTAATTTATATGTGTGTTTGTGTGTGTGTGTGTGTGTGTGTGTGAGAGAGAGAGAGAGAGAGAGAGAGAGAGAAATAATGTTGGATCCAGTAAATCTAGCTCCCGAAATCATGTTACAAAAATCCATGTCTTTCTTTGGGGAATTGGGGCTAATTGGAACTATCAATCCATGTTAAAAGTCAGCTTGAAATTTCACTTGGATTGCAAAAAGATGTAGGCCACTCAAAATATTATCATCAGGCAATAAGATAAACAATGCGATATATTTTTAATTATGTGATTGTAGCAAGTCCTGTTAAGTGCTATTGTTACATACCTCCACTAAAGTTTTATTCATAGCTCGAGAAAATTTCCATTTTAACAAGCTTAAATGCAATGGTCCAGCCAATCTCCCTATTCATTCGTGCATTAAGCAAGGGGTCATTGCTAAGAATGCAAATTCGAACTTCCAATGGCACTATGATCCGGTGGTATCTCTTCAAATTCAATTTAAAAATTTGAAGATTCGAATCTATTTAAGAGCATTGTGATCTATTTTAAATTTTAAGTTAAACGATTTAATTTAAAAATTCGAGGGTTCGAATCTCTTTAAGAGCATTGTGGCCTATTTCAAATTTTAAGTTAAATGATTCAATTTAAAAATTAATCGAGTCTCTTTAAGAGCATTGTGACCTATTTCAAATTCAAAGTTAAACGATTTTAGGATGGTAGCAATCAAACTTGTAACAACTGTTACATGCGGAAGAATCTAAGGGCCCGTTTGACATGCGTTTTATTTTTGGGGTTTTGTTTTTGGCTAAAACAGAAATAGTGTTTTTGTTGTAGGAATGTTTTGGAAAAAAATCGGAAGCACATTCGGGAATGACGTTTTGCTGTAAAAATATCAGAAATAGAAATATGCATAGTTATGGTTTTGGGTCACGAACAATTGTCAAAACAAGAAAAAATATCTTTTTGGTATTTTGATTTTGGGCCACTGTTCACGAAGTGTTTTAGTATTGTGTAAAATAAAACAAGGTCACACCAAACATGCTTTTGTTACCAAAATTGACACTGTAGCAGCCCAAAAACAAAAATAGTAGAAACAAAACGCATGTTAAACGGAAGAAACTAACTAATTAATCACCCTTACATTACAAGACATTTTTGTAAGTTTATCTCTATCAATGCTAGTCAGATGGACTCATATCCAACTTTATGAAATTAATTAACTACTCTAAATTTTTTTTTTTTTTTTTTAAAGATCATCTTGTAAACTTGAACTCCGTTATGCCTAAATCCAAACCCACCATAAAGACGATTAAGTTCTTTTCAGCAACACAAGCAACCATATTCCATGCAAATAATGTTGGGTTATCTCAAGTGAGGGTATGCCTTCACGTAAAGTAATACTAAAATTACTTTATTATGACATAAAAATCAGGAGTTGAAAATAAAACACTCTCTTGTGCGTATGAAAGTAAGGTGCATACTGCATACAATCAAGGTGCATGCTGACATGGAATCTCACAGGGAGTCTTTCTATTAAGCCTTATCTCGAGAGGTAAGGATGCATAGTTTTGGCATGCACACAAAGTGTGCGTGTATTCCAAATTGGACATGAAATAGAATAGATATTGCCCACTAAGGTTTATTGTTTCTTTTTTCCCCACCATTTAAACTTAAAAATTAAATTTCACCCTAAAATATTATAAATAATATTGCTTGCAATTCTATCATAATAAATGGCTTCGTCACAAAAATTGAAAACCATTTCTTAAATGATGGCATCTTAGAGCATCTCCAATGGGCTCTTTAGAATTAGACTCTCCGAATTTATCGCATCAGCATTTTTCAATAGCCAAGTCAGCGTTTTAGAATCTCCAAATTTTAGCTATCGGATGTAGGTGTATTTTCGCTCTCCAAAAATATTCATATTTTAGTATTTTTTAAATTTTTAATAAATTTTATTTTTTAACTTTTTCCTAACGGATTATATTTTTAAAACGGCTATATCATACAAAAAATTTAAATAATAAAATATTTATTATGAATTATAAAAATAAAAAATAATATAATACGACATGAATTTTTATAAAAAATAATAATACAATGCCATTATTAAAAATCAACTAGGAAAAACATGATAATTAGGAAAAACAGAACAATCATATGGAATGCTTGAGATAATCCTATGGAAAGCTTGAGTTATCGCGTGAGCGTACAGATTCTAATATTTCATTTTGGCGTTCAATTAGATTCTAATAGATTCTAAGCTTGTGTTGTCATCAATTCTGGATCTTTTTGCATAATCAACATCTGTTTAACTCTTTGTTTGTTTTCAATCTCTCTTAGTTTGCTTTGAAGCTCGAGTTGTCTGACTTTTCTTTATATGTTTTGCGTGCCTCTCGTGCTATTTGAGCGGCTTCAAGACTTTCAGATTTAGATTGATAAAGGGTTGTTGCATGATCGAATTTGCTAATGAAATAATTCTGAATTTGGTAAGAACATTTATCCTTATTTCGTCTCTGCTTCGCTGCTTTTTGTCCTTGTGGTCGTTGACATTCTTTAACATTCGTCGGATCATTTTCACCTATGTGCGCCGATCCTTCAACTGAACTTGGTGTTATTGCTGCATTACTTGATGGAATAGATGGGTTTGAATAACCAATAGGATGGTAGCAATCAAACTTGTGACAACTCTTACACGCGAAAGAAACTAAGGGCCCGTTTGACATACGCTTTGTTTTAGGCATTTTGTTTTAGTCTAAAACAGAAACAGTATTTTTACTGTAGGAGTGTTTTGGAAAAAAATCGGAAGCACAATAGGGAACGATGTTTTGCTGTAAAAATGTCGGAAACAGAAACATACACAATTATGATTTTGGGCCATGAACAGTTATCAAAATAAGAAAAAATATTTTTTCGGTGTTTTGGTTTTGGATAACTGTTCACGAAATATTTTAGCATTGTGTAAAATAAAATAAGGTCACACCAAAAATGCTTTTGTTGCCAAAATTGACACTATAGCAGCCCAAAAACAAAAAACAGTAGAAACAAAACGCATGCCAAACGGAAGAAACTAACTAATTAATCATCCTTACATTACAAGACATTCTTGTAAGTTGACATTCTTGTAAGTTTATCTCTTATCTATGCTAGTCAGATAGATTCATGTCCAACTTTATGAAATTAATTAATTACTCTAATTTTTTTTTTTTTTTGTTTTTTAAAGATCAACTTGTAAACTTGAACTCCGTTATGCCTAAATCCAAACCCACCATAAAAACGATTAAGTTCTTTTCAGCAACACAAGCTGTTAGAAATGGAGGCATTAAAAATATAAATTTTGGATGAGATTTTGAATAGATTCTGCTAAGAATTTTTTACGGATCTATAAATGAACGCGTTCCTTTCCGCAAGGAGATAAATATGGTATATTTACTTTCTCAAATTCGTTTCCGGGTGAATAAAAAATTAGCTCTAAAGTAAGGTATTTGATAAGCCTAAATAGGTTTGCAAAATGTGGGAAGTGTTTGTCCCACATCGGAAAAATATTAAAACCAAAAGGCACCATAAGGCCTATATAAACCCCCCCTTGGGTTCATTCCAAAACACTCCAATTCAGAATCATTTTCTCTAATTCTGAATTCTCTTTTTCCTCTCTCTTCTTCTATAAGTGTCTGTGGATACGAGCCCTTGTCTTTGGGTTCGAGCCTTAGTCAGTCACTCCGAGTCTAAGTTTGAGTCAGAGAGTACTACACCGAGCCGGTTCGCCTATTCCTTTAGTTTGCAGTGCTGCTACTGAATGAAGTAAGAATAGTTATATTCTGGGATATAGACGCCACTGAGTCCGTTAGCACCATAGCGGGGCGAATCTGTCTTAAGGATATATAATCAAATTATAGTCTCGACTTATTTCTAGGTTCTTTTATTTTGTTTTATTTTATTTTATAAGATATTATATATAGATTATTATTTTATAATAATAATTATATATATGCACATATTATATTTATGTATAATATTTAAATAGTAATATTATAGTGTATGGTATACTTAGACTATATTTTGGACAACAATCTTAAGACAAATTCCGTTTATACTATAGTTTAATTATTTAAATATTGTTGTTATTTATTTCTGTAAATTTGACTGTGGTCTGTATATTTAATATATAACAAACGAATGGTAAGTATAAGTACTACTATGCCTAATGTTGCTGTCAGTCATGGGGAAAAGCCCGAAAAATTTAATGGGGCGGAGTTTAAAAGGTGGCAACAGAAAATGATATTCTACCTTACAACTCTAAATCTGAGCAAGTACCTACCTGAAACTGCCTCAGTGCTAGAAGAGGGAGAAACTGACATTACAAAGTTAGGAGCTGTTGATGCATGGAAGCATGGAGACTTCGTATGTAAGAACTACATCCTCAATGGATTGGACAACACTTTATAAAGTGAAGTACTGAACCTCTAACATTAATTCATAGTGATATCTGTGACTTTAAATCTGTGCCAACCAGAGGTGGGAAAAGGTATTTCATTACTTTTATTGATGATTGCACAAGATACTGTTATGCATACTTGTTAAAAAACAAAAATGAAACATTGAAAATGTTTAAACATTACAAGAATGAGGTTGAGAATCAACTTGGAAAGAAGATAAAGGTGTTTAGAAGTGATAGAGGAGGTGAATATGAAGCACCATTCTCTGACATTTGCTCAGAACATGGTATTATTTACCAAACTATCTCTCTTTATTCACCTCAACAGAACGGTGTTACTGAACGCAAAAATCGTACCTTAAAAGAAATGATGAACGCTATGTTGATAAGTTCTGGTTTAATCCATAATTTGTGGGGGAAGCTTTGTTTTCTGCTAATTATGTTCTCAACAAAATATCTCAAAAGAAAACAAATGTGATACCTTATGAATTATGAAAAAGTCAAAAATCTTCCTATAAATTTTTAAAAGTGTGGGGGTGTTTAGTTAAGGTTGCGGTTCCTACTCTTAAAAAGATTAA